AATAATCATAATCTCGCCTGCTTGATAATAAAAAAAAATAAATATCCAAACAGTTTTCTCACAACTTTTGTCTCAAACCCTGGATCAAAATAAAATTAATAATATGTTAATTAGATTTCCAAAAGATAGCTAAATCAGTATAATTTATAGCTCTTTTTGCTCTTTTCATTTAAAAATTTAATTAGGTAAGGAAAAGTTGTAGATTCAGAATTTTTAAATAACGGATAAATAATTATGAAAATATAATTATCAAAGATACTTGATAAAATACTTTATTATGCATTGTTATCTATTTTAGGTATTTATTTTTAGTCTATATCAATATTCATTCTTGATTTCTATAATTTAAAGTTATGATTATACTGTCTCAAGCTAAGCTCCATAAAACCAATCATAAGAATAATAAACCAAGAATTTTAGATTATTTTAAATTTGTTTTAGAATCTAATCAGCTGAGAATTAGTTGAAATGAGATTCAGTGCAATTAATAACTATAAAATCAATTCTCTTGTTTTGGTTTTAAATAAATTTCTATAAGCTTAGTAATTTCTTAATAAACTTATATTGGATCACAAGTATCAAATGATTCAATAGTTTATTATTTCAACTTTGCATCAAGCCCTATCAATTCAGCTGGTATTAATTGAATATCATCTACAACACAAACTACAAATTCTTAATCTAAATTATTTCTCACTTCATCTACTAATCGGCATAACATCATTGCTATTCTGTTTTAGTAATGATGTTGAAATCTTTTCTTAATCTAAGCAATGGTATCAAAGGTTTTCTCTTATTTTCTAGGAAACAATTAATTATGCTTTTTGAACACCTTTAATATGTTATTTAATCACTTCTTTTCGCAATAAATAGTAATGCCGTAACATTACAATATCAATTTCGCATAGTATCCTAATTTATTCAGATTTTATGCTCTTTGAATTGATTTGAGTATCATTCTGTTTAGAATTAGTCATTGGTGTTTTAATAAACATGCTAGTGGAATTGAAATTGAAATTGAGATTAGGGAAGCTTGCGAATATGTTTGGTACCTCTTGATCAATCATTTATAACTCACAATATTCTGTTGGACCTTGTAACTCTGAATCCTATATTTAAAAGGCCTCTGTAAACTTAGTAATAGTACTATACTTATCTGGAATAACAATATTTATACTTCTGAGTGATTTTAATGGCTTTTAATTCATGTTCTACATAATGTTATTAATATATTCAAAATTAAAATTATAATTTATAAGTTTTGCTCAAAATTAATAAGAGAGAATTATTAAGGAATTTTACTTTTTAAAGTTGATTGCTATATAATTATTTGCACAATAGATTAATTTTGGTTTATTTTCAAATTACAACAATCTTAAAGGTTTATTTTCAACATTTCAAATTTCAATAATTTTTTCCTTAATTAGCATAAAATTGTTAATAATATAAATTACTTTAGTATTATTATGAAACTAGTTGAATTTCTAGAAGCATTTCCTATAATTTATTATGATTATATCAATTAGAATTATATATAAAATTATGTTTATAAATTACACAATCCTTTCATTTTTTTTAATCTGCTATCTTTCTATAATTCTTAAATTAGTGTTGATGATCTGGATGATAACCTAAGCAACAGGTTAAGACGAACATAACTCCCATAATTGATGAAACTACAAAAAATACTATTTTAGAAATATGAAATATTGTTTTAAAATAATTTCCTATTGCTGTATAGCATGAATATCTAAAATGATATAAACAGTTACTTATAATTCTTAACATCAGAATTAACATCATCAAAAAATTTAATTGGATATGAAATACACCAACCTGAGCAATCAAATTCATTTTCCATCCATTAAACTACATCAACATCTAAAGGAAAACCACCATCAAAATAATCACATTCTTAAGCATTTATTGCCTAAATTATTTATTAAGATCAATACTTTTGTTTAATCAGTCTTTGAGTACACTTTTACTTATTTTGCTACTTAATAATTGATTTCCTTGTAATAATAGCATTCACAAGAATCCTTACATAAGACACTCTCTACTTCACTATACAATTTTTAAATTGTTGTATATTAAGGATCAGATGGTCTACAAGTATGATCTTTTTCTATAGAGTTATCAAGGGCCATTGCAATAAGTCCTAATATTACAAAACTTAGACCCAAGCACAAATTTCCGACATTAAAAAATACTAATAAGTATTTTTTTTCCTTCATTAGAGTACCAAGCATCCCGCTTATAGCCACAGCAAATATTCCAAAAGCCAAAACAAAGAAAGGTGTAGCTAAGAATGAAGTCGTGATAAAATACTAAAATCGACAAATTATTACTATTCCTATTTCTTGGAGATGATTATCTACTTAACTTAAGAGTTTGTAAATATAATATGCACCAACAAATGCTGCTAAAGAGATTCCTATTTCTATAAAGACCTAGATAAAAGCGAACGTTTTTAAAAATTTAATAGGCAAAAACATTTCTAAATTAATATTTTATTAATATTTATGAGGTGGATTTAATTTTATTCAAAATTAAAATTCTATCATTTTTTCTATTGAAAATTATAATATTTTTTTGTGCCTATTTGAAATAGTTCTTTCCTCTTATAAATTGTGGTGCTTTAACTATTCAAAGAAAATAATCTCTAATCAGTAGAATTTTGGAGAAGAAATATTTTATGTAGAACTTGACAAATTAATTGAATCATTTAAGAATTACTTAAATTACAGCAAATAATATGTTATTATCCATATTTTTCTCCCTATGAATTTATACTTAAGAGAGCTAAAATAATAATCCTATTTTCGAAACATCGTTTAATTTATATTAATTGCTTGAGAGAGTAGTTCTAAATTTATTTAAATTCATGCAGTTTTTAATCTTATAAAGGGAATAACAAATGTATGCATCTATTGATAATTCATTCTATTCAGAAACATAGAGAATGATCAATTATTCCTAAAAATAAATGATTGTACAACTGATAACAAAAGATAGTAGAGTGTACGTTAATGTCCGGACCTTCATTAAATTGGCATAGCGAAATATGAATCTTGTCTAAGATAAACCACATTTTTTTCAATATAAAATGATAAATATTATTATTTAATCCATTCTATTATTAATTAAGATTTAGTAATTTTTTTATTAATAATGTCTTTTATTATAATTACAGAGTTTTTTACAGCCGATTCCGATGCCTTTCCTTGATCGCGCATTCAACCATCTCAATTAAATGCTAAAACTTTCATTATTTGAAGCAAGACTAAATCTGATAATGAATTGCTCATTTCTAAAATTATACATTAACTTATTGAGAGCTATTATAAATATTAATCAAATTTCCAAAACCAACTATTTAATTTCTCAAATCTCCTTTGAATTAGAACCTATCTCATTGAAATGAGGATATTTTACTTTTACTTACTATTACAAAAATAAATTTTTATATTTATTTTGTTATATATATTTAATCAATTAAATTTTTAAATTAATAAAGAATATTTATTTTCCGAGTAGCTTTTAATTGCAGTAAAGAGCGATTACACTTTTTAGAAAGTTAGTCCTTATTTTAAATCTTCAATCTCTGATTATTTACAGAAAAAATAAAAACTATGGCAAGAACTTCGTTAGACAGGACATATTATAATCAATTAATATATTATATGACTTCTTAATATATATTTATTTCTAAAAGATGCTATTAATATCATAGATGTAGCTGCTATATAATTTATAAAATCATAGAGGACCTTCAAACATTATTCGTCCTTAAATTCTCTATTGAAGTGATAACGTATACAAAATGTAATAATAATGGACAAGATGCTTATTACATAAGAGGTATTTCTTATTATTTTTTATCATTTAAGATATATATCGCTCATTTATGTTATATATAACTCAAATATATATTCCAAAAATAACCTACGAGATTTACCCATAAGACTTAATAAGGTCGAGGAATTAACCAAAAGTTGATAATTTAAGCTGCTGGCCACACTTACCAATTAGTTACTATAACTTTTGAAAAGTTTTTTTGAATTGCTTCTATGCCTTTCTGGATTGATCCACTTTCGAGAAGGTTTATTATCATTAAGTAGTGACAGAGTAGGTAACAACTCCACACAGTTTAATCAATTAAAACAGAACCAAATACTCTTCTTACGGGTGTTGAAGTATTAAATGGTAATCTATAGAATATAAAATATATGCGACCTCTTTACCATCCAAGGTAACATGTAAGTAAAGTTATAATGAAACAAAGGCCCCATAAAAACATTTCCCATCAACCAAGCTATTCCCAGTCTTCTCAATTCCAACTTGTGAGGCTATGTTGTTTAGTCAAAATAGGGCTTCATAGTTTAAACTGTAAGATCTCCTAGAGAAACAATGAATCCTACAAAACATGAGTAAATTACAACCTGCAGTGATAGATTTTGTCGATAGCGGATACCTTTGGATGAGACTATGATATTTTAGGAGAAATTGCATTATGTATTTGAATAAGATATTTTTTGAAATAACTAAATAATAGAGCTTGGCTTTTACACGACAAAAAAAAAATGGATTTCTCCAAATGAGTTTATACTAGTATAATAAAAAGTACAATTATGTTGTAACATTTAGAAAAATATATTAATTAAATTTCAAATTACAATATTTTTTTGTGTATTGCGTGATAATAAATGAAATTCTTACTGATTTGTTCAATATTATAATGTATTTGATAGAGTTTAAATTCTGAATTATGGGACTTCTTTATTGGTTAATTTAATTGCTTTTATTATTTAATAAATATATTATATTCCTCAAATTTAATACACAACATAAACATACATAAGATTCTAAATTTTTCTCATAAATCCAACTTTAACTGAGTTTGAACATATTTATAGATATAATTTAACTAAAAATCAATAATTTGCTGTTAATTTATTTATGTAGAATAAATATAAATTAATTAATCGTGAAAATTGTTTTACATATTGAAATAGAAGTTATAGATTAATTGACAATGTTGAATTTTATTGAAAAATTGGGAAAAACTAGTAATTAATTGATTAAAAAGTATTTATCTTATTTCTTGGATTTAAATAAATTGAATATAAATATTTCTTAACGATCAATAAATAAATTTGTTTTTTCTCATTTACTAGATGACGATTTCGAAATCATTTTAATTGAGTTGAACACAGAATTGGAAAATTCCACCTTAACTGTAATTTCATAATTTTATTCTAATATACCCTAATATAATTCAAAGGTGAAATTAATTTCCTTTATACTTCTTATTCTATCTTAAATATTTGGAGAAATAGTCAAAATCGTAATTTATTGGTTACATTTATTTTCAATTGACAAAATCACTAAAAGTAAAGTAAGAATTACAATCAGAAACTTAATTAGGATTTAGGTTGTTTTTAATTTAGAATTCGTTTCTAAATAATTCTAAATATAGTATGTAAAATATAGATTAATTTATTCCAAAAATAGAATCTGATCCTTAAATAGCAATAATCTGATTCAAATATTTATATTTATAAATAATGGATATTTTGTGTCCGAACTAAGGGCATAAAAATTAGATTGAATTCGTTTGCATGAGGGATTCTTGCCAAGAATGCCGCTTTTCTTGTTTTGAATGTTTACAAGCTGGAAATCATAAGAGCCATATTGAAGATGTTCAAAAATTCTCTGCATTTTTGAATGTAATAAAGTAGTAATCATCCGATTACGATGATCTTATGAATAAGCTTTAAAATTGGATTAATCATATGAACAATTAATGTGGGGAACTGAAAAAAGGGTTAGAAATGAGATACAAAGAGATAACAGAATTAGCTAAGAATTTTAGTATAAATCACTTTAATGAACTTTCTTCTTGTTTCTTCTCATTTCAAAGGAGTAAATAGAATTTGTATTAGATGATTTCAGAGAGTGTAGGAAGCCTTTCTGAAACAATAACTAATAGTAGAAAAATTTTATGCTTAGAACCATAAATTCAATAATAAATATTTAATAAAGAGTTGAAGCCATTTAAATATGAATTAATCAATAAAATAAAAGATGAATACATTTTTGCTTTTGCGTTTAATAAAGAAGCAACTCTCTTAGTGGCTGGTTACGAATCAAGCAAAATAAGAGTATTTGATTTTGAGCAAGGATAATTACGACAATTATAGGAATTGAACAATCATAGTAAAAGAGTTAGATGCGTATACTTTTTGTAAAAATCGCTTTCATTCATCTCTGGTAGCTATGATCGCTCGATTATTGTATGGGAGGCCTCAGAAAATGGATAGTTCTATTGTAAATAAAAGCTTGAAGGTCATACTGATGATATTAATTGTTTGATTATTAATAATAATGAGGATTTGATTATATCAGGTAGTGATGACAAAACAATTAGACTATGGAGTAAAAAAGATCAATGGCATTGTTTATAGACATTAACATATCATAATGGGAGTGTATTTTGTATCAGTATGAATGAAACTTAAAATTAATTCATTTCTTGTGCTGCAGACAACCTAATTGTTGTAAGTCAAAAAGATGTGGATAGTTCTTTCTGGAATATTCTATAGACTATTAAAGTAGAATGGGGTTTAAGATTATGCTTTATTAGCAATACTTAATTTACATATCAACCTTATAATAAAAAGCAGATGATAATTTATGAATAAAATAAATTCAGCCAATAATTTGTTAAGCAAAAGGAAATTGCTGTAAAGTCTGGAAATGATTGCTTTTGGTATTTTCCTTAAAAATATATTAAATCAAAATCACTGTTACTCAACAAAAATGGAAGTGGTTTAAATATGATTAAAATAAAAGAGAATGGGGAATTTATTTAAGAATAAATTATCGATTTTGATGATAATTACATTCATGGAGCAATTTCAGATGATGGAGAGTATTTAATCACCTGGGATTGTAAAACAGAAGAAATTCAAGTTAGGCAATACAGTGAATGATGATCAGTCATTCTGATATCATTCCGATATCTATTAATATTAATTGTATTATTGGATGAGGACAATCTAGTAATAGAAATTAATATTTGATATCATTGATATTCAATAAATCTATTAGATATCTTATGTTCAGAAATATAATATGAATATAAGAGTTATATGATTATCATAAATTTAATTTCTTCTCTTCTTTTTCTCTCCTACTTTGCTTTATCTAAATTATATGTTGTATATATCCTATTATTGAACTATGCTTTATTGGTATTCATATTACTTCGAAGGAACATAGAATATTTGTAAATTTTCTTTCAAATTCAAAGATAAATTTGAACTTCAAATGATTAAATTGAGAATCAAGAATATATCAGAGAACTAAAATTATTTCATCTTTATATATGGGATAGAATTAATGTTGCATTATGTTTTTAAAGCAAATTAACTGCTAAAAATAATAGTTTGTCATTATGTTTGAAACCAAATATGCATAATATATATTAATGATGCGTTAATTGTAAATAGTTGTCTTAAAAATTAAACAATTTTAAAGTGATATCATATTATTTATATTATGCAATATTTAAATTTGTTCATACAACCAATACCAAACACAGTAGTATTTCCATACTCTAGTTTGTAACTCTATGATGTGGATTGCTATATTCAATTATTACATTCTCAATACATCGGATTGGTTTCATAAATCAATGACAACCAGCCCAATGTTCAAACTATATCATAATATAGTTAATATGGCACACTTGTGCATGTAACAACAAAGCAAGATGAGTCATCCAATTTTTGCAATGCCTTTGCATTCGCCAGATTTAGAATAAATTCGTTTTGCCAGGTTTCACCATTCTTAATAGCTAATGTTGAAATACTGAATGATGAGATCAAAACCGACGATACTGAAATCTTGAGTACATTTAAAGAGGCGGTTAAAGTAATTTTGCACTAATATTTTTAGATCTATATGGAAAACTTCTCCCTTTTACCCAATGCTCTGTTGAAGCAAAAGATAGACGAAGAAAACAACATCGTCAAATTATAATATCAAGTGGCTAACAGAATTTAAATTCCATTCAACCAAAAACTTAGATTGCTATAAATGAACGATAACAGAGAAAGAATATCAACTATGATTTAATATTTGAATCACAAAATGACCTAATATTCAACAAGCAACGAATTAGAGCAAATATTTAAGCAGGAACTTATGTCTGAAATGCAAAATAATGGAGAAAACTTAATTAATTAAACTGAATAAATTATTCCATAAATGCAAGAATAAGAACTGGATTACTAATAACAATATGTTTAGTCATTGCCATGGCAAATCCTACATCCAGAAGCTGTAAGTATATCTGAATGCAAACAAATTTTGGACCAGAGACATTATGGATTGGACTTGGCTAAACAGCGTATTCTATAATATTTAGCAATTAAATTTTTAACAAAATCTACTGGATCTATACTTTGTTTACATGGTCATCCTGGAGTGGGAAAGACATCATTAGCTTAGAGCATAGCTGAATCCTTGGGGAGACCTTTTCAAAAGATTTCATTAGGCGGAGTATCAGATGAAGCATAAATAAGAGGTCATCGAAAGACTTATGTGGGAGCATAGGCAGGAATGATTATGGAAGCAATAAAGAAAGCCAAGTGTGTAAATCCAGTCATCTTACTTGATGAGATCGACAAGATTAATTAATACACTGTTGGTTCAGCCTTGTTAGAGGTCTTGGATCCAGAATAGAATAAATGTTTTATGGATAATTATGTGAATGAGGAATTCAATTTGAGTTAAGTTCTGTTCATTTCAACAGCCAATTACATAGAATCTATATAACCAGCATTGAGGGACAGATTGGAGATGATTGAGATCCCATCCTACACAATTGATGAGAAGGAGAAGATTGCAATTTAACATTTGATTCCTAAATAATTGGAGCTTAATGGGATTGATGGGAAAGTAGAATTTCAGTAAGGATGTTGTTAGATATTTAATAACAAACTATACCAATGAGAGTGGAGTGAGATAGTTAGAGAGATAAATAAATTCTATTTTAAGAAAGATTGCACTTCAACAAGTAAGAGGGAACAGGAAGGGATCTTACAATATTAATAAGGGATTTGTCAATTAATGTTTGGGGGAATCCACAATTATCTACAAGAACATCAGATTATAGAGTGTTGGAATGTGCAAAGGGTTGAATGATGGAATGAACATATTGGAAATCATCAAAACAAAGGGATAAGGCAATCTATTTTAGTAATCTAAGGATCAATATATTGTTGAATAAGGAATTACTGCATAATCTTATTTAAGGAATTGTTTCAAACACATTTAATTTTAAAATTGGGACGTTACTGTTGCAAACTAGAATTGTTTGGGTGTTTGTGTTGCTGTGGCAATGGTGTCATTATTTATGAATAAGAAAGTGAAATCAAGTGTTGCATTTGCAGGAGAGTTAAGTCTCAAAGGATCTATTTTTAGACAGTACAATCTGAGAGATAGCATCATTTAGGCAGCAGAATCTGGAGTCGAGAGGTAATAGCATTATTTAAAATGAGTAGCATCATTATTCCATCTTAGAATGTGGGGGACATTTAGAACTTAGAACCTTCTATTAAAAAGAGAATTACATTAGTTGATCACATTGAGGAGGTATTCCAATTGGCGTTTGAAGATGGATTTACTTACTAACACTACCCTAACTTATGAAATATATATATATATATATATATAAAAATCTTAATTTGAATAAAGACAATATCACACAATAATATCTCCTTAATAGACTGCTGATTCTAGATTTAATCTCATTTTTTAGCATTTTGATGATGCATTTTGAATTGTGTCCTTAAGTTTCATAAACTATTTTTTTAAATCGTGCATGGGTGTAGTATGTATTTCTACATTTAGTTTTTCAATTCGATTAAACATTTTCATCAATGAGATAGCTAACGATTCACAGGCATGTTCAAAGAGCTACTGATAATGATCTAACAATTTGGATGACTATTGGTTCTTATGAGAGATATAGTAGGACAAACAATAAGACCTGCACAGTAATGATATTATGTATACCATTTTAATATAACTCTAGATTAGATTAGTTCTGCCATGACTTCTTCCAAGAATTGAGTGTCATGCATATCGAAGCCAAAATACATAAATATTTAATGGATGTAGTAATCTCTAATTTTTTTCAATGACTCCTGGGCTTTTTATCCTGCAGCTGCTTAAATTAGATATCCTTTCGAATAGAAATTACATCTTTCTATTAAATCTTTCTCCAATTCTGTATTGTCTTTGGGTGGTACATACTAGTTGCACTTATAATGATCTTTGTGATCTGGTTTCCAAGGTTTAGAACAAACATAGCAAAAAGCATTTGCACATCCTCCTGGAGGTTTACATAACATGTAATTGCACCCAAAAGATCTTTCAACAAATTATTTGCAAAAAGGACATTGTTTTGTATTAAGCCTAATCCAATCTTAATTGGCTTAATCGTTTTTGAGTACTACAAGCCATTTTTTAACCAAATCACAAGGACATGGAGGATGCAGTTCCTCTTTACAATAGAAACAGAACTTTGTTTAACAGAGGCAAGTCACTTCTTTAGTTGATGTGAATTTAGGTTTTATAATCTTGTTGCAATTAACAGCAGGACAATATGCCAAATATCTTGAGCATTCTACAAATTTTCTACAGAGCAGATCTTCGAATTCCTTCTAATTTGAGAATTTTCTAATCATCGAAAAAGGCAGTTTGTAATTGCAACCATTAAATAAACACCTGACAAAGAGAAACTTATCTTTTTACACTCTTTGCATTATGGTCTGTTTTATGCAGGATTCACAAAACATATGTTTACACCCTAATAGAATCAATTGCTCTTAGCAAAAACAAACTGTACAACATCCCTGAAGTCCATTATAAATAACATTTTAGTGATCGTTTATAATTCCATTAGCTTTGAATTCAGTCAACAACTTTTCTGAAGCAGAGTAATATTTTTAAGTGATGTCGTCTTTATTCCAATTGTAGTGCATGAGCAACTTCATAATTAGGATCTAATACTTCGAAAGTGTTGTCTTCATCGAAATACAAGATCTCTGAGAGTTCTTGCACTTCTTTCATTATCACTAACATGACATCCTTCATCTCCAAGATCTCCACCATACTAGAGTTATTATACTAGGTTATACTCTAATTTCAAGTTTTCTTGCCAAGAGTTTATTTGGTTGAATTCTTCTGAATCATTTTAATAGTTATATTAATCCTCATCATCACTCATTATATATATATTTATTATTAAAGACTCAAAATGAATGACTATATGGATTACATCAAGGGAATTAAGACTTACATTGATGATTCCGCTAACAAGATACAAGACAGAGTGGCTGAAATTGTGAGGATAGACGACATCAAGGATTTAAACAAGATGCAAACAAAAAAATATCGACATCGCAATAATAATAAGTAACCTTCGCTTGTAACTTCAGGGGAGGTGTCATAGGCTGAGATTGAGTTACAAAAATTATAGCAGCAAAATCATCAACTCTATGATAAAATGAAGGAGTTAGAGGAACAGAGAACCAATCTCAAATTCCAACTTGGAAAATATCGATAATTGATTGCTGATAAGCGGAAGTTGTTAAACAAAGAATGCAGAGACGGATTCTAATTGCTCACTTAAACTAGGAGACCCAGAATCATGAGTGAGAAGAAGAGCAAGTCTCCTCAACTCTTTCTCACTTCCACTTCTACCATGTCTCAAAAGAAACTGACCCAAGTGCACATCCTACTTAGAGATGTGATGAAGGTCGAAAGACAACCTCCCATCATAAGGAGCAACAGGAGATACACTTTTGATTAATTTATGCAATTAAACAAAACAGAATATTTTAGCTACATACACAATCATTTACCCAAAATCAAAGAATACTTTCTTGAATTCTCATTCAAAAGAACAAAGCAATTCAAAACTCTGTGATTTTGTATCAATTTACTAACTAATTTTTAAATTATTTCATCACATAATACTTATCAAAAACTAGTCTTCCTTCGATTTATAATCCGCATTCAAAAATATATTTATATATATAGATTTTTAATATAGAAAACTTGGAGAATAATTATTTGATGAATGCGGAGATCAGAACATTTAAATTTATATGATAATCTATATTCTAAATATTAGAATTCATCACTCAGGGTTATCAGTTCAATACAATCTTTTTGATTTCAGCTTCCTCTACTTCAGAAGGTTCATTTGCTTAAATTTCTTTGGAAAGTCCATTCAACTTCTTCTTCAAAGCTTCCTTTCCTGCAGCATAAGCCATCTTTTATTTAACTGGTTGGTTGGTATCTGGTGACCAGAAAATGAAGACCAACTTCTCGACCTTTCTTGGTGGAACATCCTCTGTTTAAGCATGATAATCATAAACAGCATATCGTGACTATTCGATTAAACATCTAAATTTACTTCGTTTTGAAGATGACTAACAAATTCAGCGTATGTACTTTCTCTTCCTCCCTTTTGATCAACAACAATCTTAATAATATACAATGAATATTACTTCGTTTTTATCCTTATCCAACTTATATATAACAAATCTGTATTGTTTGCCCAACTTCAAGTTGTTGAATTCTGTAACACAATCATCGCTAACATTGGTACCGACGTTCATAATAATATCTTAAAATTATATTTAAATTATTGTTAATTAAATCACGCTACTCATTTCTTTAAAGGCACTTTCTTAACATTAGGTGATTTAGATCTCATTTAGGTCTAAGGTCTTTGACTCTTCAACAATTACGGTTTCTTATTAACTACTTATTTATTCGCATTATTAGTAGTACTCCCCAAAGTAGTGGTAGTAGTATTTTACATCGTCTTAGCTTTCTTATTAGAAATGTCCTTTAATTTGGATGATGGTCGTTGGCTGCTTCGAGTGGGTGAAACGAATTCCATTTACTCCTTTTATCTGGAGGAGTCCAGGAAATCAGACCCAGGGTTGTAAGGAACATGAACTTGCTCGTGGAGGAAGGCATACTCAGTCGGTTAAATAGATTGGTGTTTAGAAACTGAAGATTGTTAAGATTTCTATGAGTATCTGTGATTCGGAGATTGTGAAATAGTCAAATATTAAAGAGAATTTGCCTATTAAGGGACCTGTGTTGAATAGAAGGCCTATTATTGGCTACTTTAACTAGATTGGAAGGTCTATAAATTAGCTGGAATTTGTGGTTTTTATTGTGTTTGTAATTGTTGTGAGGGAGTCTGATTCATAGATCTATTATTCGAATGCAATTTCACAGCAGCCTATGAATTCTTTTATGATAAAAATGGATGAACTTTCTTCATTGATTGCGGTTCCTCATTTTCTTAATTGGACTTTAACTATTATTTTTGCAATTAGTTCTCCTATTAAAAGAACATTGGGTGTTATTGCATAGATGTTAAGGTTGGGTTCAGATCCTTGAAATTACACGATTACAGTGTAAATTGTTAAGATTATTAACATAATAAAGGGTGTTATTAGTTCGATTGCATAATAAATGACTGTGCCTATGATTGCTGTTCTCTTACTAATACTCGTGATTGGATCTCGATTGCATGGTCATTCAATATATCAGTTTAGGTATTTGGGATAGTGACCTTGTTGTTGTTATTTATTGATTATTGCATCAACTCTACTATGCTTTCCTCGTATATCTACAAGTAATTGGGTCTATCTTCTGGTCTGACTGACAACATTCGACTGACTAATTTATTGTTAGCCCTCGATAACATTTCATTGAGAATCTCTAATTAGATTCACATTATTAAATACCTTAATTGATTTGATATTCTTAGAAATCATATATCTATTATATTTATTCCTATAAAATGAGTTCCAAACAGACCAATCCAATTGTGAAAACTTCGCTTTTCTCTTTGTTATATTCTGGTTTGAACACCTTCCTTCCTAACTGAAAGAAGAGTTCTGGTGAGAGGTAACAGAATTCCTCAAAACCACTCAAAAATCGATTATATTAATCAACATTTGGTAATAGTAATTTCACTTGATTTGTATACATAAAGGATTGAGGTCTCAAATCTCCATGAAATCTATCACGATTCTGCAATTCAATCAAAGTGTGAATGATCTATTGTAAAAACTAATACCAAGGCAAATTGGATGGTAGTTAACTTCCAAATTCAAAGATAGCATCGATTTTGAATAAATTACTACACAAAGTTGACTCCTCCTCTTTTTGAATGTCTAATAAGCGAATCAAACCTGGCATCTAACTGATCTACTAATATTATTCCAATCTATTTAACTCTTTTTAATAATGCATCTCACTCTAATACACTTTATGCACTACCGCGACCTCTTCCATCTGATTAGTGTAAACTTCAATATCACATCCGAAGCTATAAGTTATAGTGCATATACGTACATTCTGCTTTCTCTGGAATCAACCTTTTACCAATTTTTCAAAAAGTGTTATTTGGACTGTTAAACTTAACCCATAAATTTAATTAACGATATTTAGTATAAAATGTATCAATAAATATCTTCGCCATTAAAAGATTATTCTGCCACTGTTGTGCTAGATTCAACTAAAACAAACTGTTATTAGATAATCCTAAAGCAGGTAAAAGACAAAAAAGTAGAGATCAAATTATCTTTGATATATTTATATATCCCCTCATCTTTATGTAAATCTCATAAATATAAAGGTTAAGAGAGATAATTATCCTTAAATTAGAATCAATAATTCATTATCCATTTAAGAAGAGAAGTGTATTCTGAAGAACTATCAAAATTTTCTTATTCTATGACTTCCATAAGAACAAATAATCACCCTTTCAAAATGATTAACCAATAACCTAGATTGCATTGGTTATTATTTAATTTCTTGAGTGTTATTCTTTGAGCAATTTCAAAAAAAGATAAATAATGTAAAATAAATTAATATTTCTAATAGATTATTTTCTGGTTGACTTCTAACTCAAACTTAATACAAAAGTAAACAAAAATTAATTATTTTTAATTATTTATATGAATTTTTCTTAATGTCCAGATGAGTTCTAAGTTGAATAGTAATTTAATAAGATAACACATAAAACAATATATTGTGATTTCAATTATGAGGTATGATAATGTTACCTTTGTTAAGGAATTAGAGTAAAAATATAGGTTCAATTATCCACTTCATAATAAACCATAAATTGATTAAAAGAAAGAAGAAACTTTTAATACTAAATTACCAAAGTATGAAGCCTACATGGAAGCATCCAATTAACAAATAGAACTGCCTCTGCAACCATCACCTCAATAGGTGAGGGCAATCCAAAACCAAGGCAAAATACAATTCTGCCGCCAACAGAACGAATAATAGAGCAAGGAAATTAAATCGATTCTGAACTTCTAAGTGGACACCAAATTCATCAAAATGAAACCCAGCAAGAAAAAAACACAAAGACAATATTAATAGATTCGAAGACCTCAAATTTAAATTATACCAAATAATTGTAAGTACCAACGAGTGTCTGACATGAGCCAAATTCAAAGTCTCAGCATGCACCAAAGTTTCATTCTCAATAACAACATATCCGAGATAACTTTTCAACAAGAGACTCGTCTTTCCAAATTCCAACAATTGTTGAAGAAGGCTCCAAAACCCGTTGAAATTGAACAATATAGATCTCTTAAACACTTCGGTAATAATGAATTGTGTGAGGGAATTTTGGACGGAAAGATTGTGCAATTTATTAAAACTTAATAATCTAATGTGATTTTATGATTTGTTATACACTTTCAATATAACCTCAAAGTTTGGCGTCTTTTGGTAAAAGATCTGGGGTGAATTTGGTGGCAGCAGCCATATTTCCCTTGATCTTCATCTTTCCTTACATGAAGGCTTATTGAGGATTCAATTTTCCTTGAGCCATTGCCATCATGTCATCATCTACCATGGTGAATGTAGCATCAGCTGTTCCAACACGTCCCTTGGCAATTGACTAAAGATATAAATGGATTATGCGTACTCCTGAGCCGTTCTTGAGATCAACGGTCCAAACTTCAGGGGTTTCTCCTTTGGCCTTTGAAACTTCAAAGAAATAGATTGCATTGATTTTCTTAACCAAATCAGCACCTTGGGATTTGATGAATGGATCCATCTTTTCAAACAAAGCTGCAGATTTCAAAGCCATTAAAATTATTTAATAATTTATTTAATATATATTTTTCTTATTTTCTTAACATTTTAACAACACTTCACAAATCATCCCCATCATCATCCTGACACATATTCATTAATTAATTCATGAGATTGGCCGCCTTTTCCCTCCTCTCCTCATCTGTCATTTTGGAAGTCCTACATAATAGACATGATTAAACACCTAATCTTGGTCATATCATGCATCAATTAAGCAAATTGATCGTCTTCGAATTCCAATTGATCAAGCCCTTAGGTTTGCTTTTCACTCACTTTAGTCTTGCCGGTGTTTTCCTTCTTTTCCTAAGATTTGGGTCTCATATATGTCCAAGTATTACATTCCATGATTTCAATAATTCTAGGAAATCCAAGAGTCTCATCCTCCTACTCAGATAACTATTTGATTTATTATTGAATTGGTGGATTGTCCAAGTCCAAATAGATTTGTTCAACAAAGCTCTCCAATTTCTTCTCCTCATTCTCTAGTAACTCAAAGTTAATTTTGGTTCCTTCCTTCCTGTTATAAATTATAGCCTAAAGACCAGGCTGGATTTCATTGAGAATTTAATCACACAAATTAATGAACTAATCCAGTCCATTCATGTTGTTGGCATCAACAATAAATAACACACCATCCACCTTGATTTTTTGTAATTTTTCGAGTGCATTTTCTTAATTAAAATAATTGTAATTTATTGTATGCAAACCAACATCACATGTATAATATTTGGTATTGATCAAACTATTAAATTGATGCCAATTATTACAGTTGAGTTCCAATCTGTTGATGCTATTCATCAATCTTATCAAATATTAATTCATCATTGTTAAAATGTTTGATTAAATCTAACATATTGATATGAGATTGTACACTAAATTAATTTCATTGAGTAGGAGTGTTCTGGAGCGATTATGATGAGATTGGAATTGCTTTAATCCATATTATATAGATATATAAATTATTAAATACTTAGTAACTTAATAGGTATGTTTATTAAAAATATATATATATATAACATAGCATTCAAACAAGCATTTTAACAACCTATTATGGTTACAATTCGATCATTTCCCAAATGTGGCCAAACTCATCAGAAGAAGGATTTGAATGTGGAGTCAATGCAAATTAGTAGTCCATAGACATGATTCTCTCATCATCTCCATCTACGATTTTCGATCTATCAGTCTATTTTGATATTTCAATGACATCTTACCTTGCTAACATAACAAAAGATTTCTTAGGTTTTGATTGTAAATACAAAAACAGGCAATTTGACAGAATCAGGTATGCTAGCTCTTGTGAATCTAATTTCATCGACATTCCACAATTGCTTGTGTTTAGGTTCAGATTTCTAATTAAAAATGTAATTATACTTCAGCTTCCTATTTTTTCAATAACACTTTGAAGTATCCGAGAGCTGCTTCGCCACATACCTTTTAAAGGGACTCCAACTCTCCTAACAAGTATAGGTTATAGATTTATTCGAAGATCACCTTTGCTTCCTTTTCCAATTCGTATAAATCGAAGTCTGGATCGATCATTCTCATTTATTTGATGGCTCTGGCAACATCGCTTTCATTAGTGACTGTTTTCTAATTGAATTAGCATATGGAATTACTGCTGCATACAGAGAGACCTAAACGAAATTGCTGGGATGATTTTAGATTCTATCAGATAAGTCAGCCTTGAATTGTTTCAATTCTGCCTTGAATGTTACGTACTCTTTATAGGCGTCACTGTTGACTAAATGTTGCCCTTGTTCACTCTGCTTGAGTCTACTTTAAATCTTCTGAGCAATTTTGGATTTGAGAGATGCTTCTTCACTTGAACCTTCATCAGTAGCTTGGATGGCATTTCTTTTCCATTCTGGAATTTTCTCTTAAATCTAAATAAATTTTGATTCATACTGCTGCCAATTCTTCTTCAGTCATTTAAGCCAATTTCTCCTCTTCCTTCTTTCTCTCTGCTAACTTTGCCTTAACTGTTTCCATTCTTGCCTTTACTTCGTCATCATGACTGGGAAATGTTTTTCTCCAAGCCAATTTCGCCATGTTCAAACATGTTTTTCCTATGCCTGTCTCCTAATTCTGATTAGCATCTGTTTTAAATTTGAGAGCTGATCCTTTCACCTTCTCTGTTATTTTCGAAGCCGAACCAATAGCTGAATCTTTGACTGTGTGCAAAATATCTATAACTAAGGATGGTTATTTCTCTATTTCTTCTGCTTTCTTGTTCTCACTACAGAAATTGTACAAAACTCGTCTTTGATTGTAAATGTTAAGTCTTGAAAGTCTGTGTGCTTATCTAAATGGGACTAACAAATTAACAAAGGATATCATTAAATAAAAAATTTAATTTAGGGTAATAAATCACTTAATTTTGCATATCTATAAATTTTATAATTAAAACTAATATTAATATATAAATAATAATATTTTAATAACAATAAATTTTATACTGCAATCCCTCAATTAATTTAAATCGATAATTTATTCCATTTGATAATTTAAATTACCTACTAAATATTAGCGAAGTACTCATTAACTACAAATCCACGACTATTCAGTCTTTGGTGAATAAATATAATAATTATTATTATAGAGATAAATAATCGTAAGAAAACAAATTTAGTTAGGATCAACATAATACACTGAGTTTATTCTTCTTAATTATAGCAATTTGGAAATTATTGTTGAGAAAATCGAGAAGCTAATCTGTCTAAGTAAGTTTAAACTTTTATTTAAGTTTATTACATTCAACAGACTGCTGTTAAAGTAAGGATTCTTCTCTCAACTCTTGTATTATTTGTTCTATCAATTGTTGCTCATCCTCAAGCTTTAATTTCGAATAAATCTATTTCTTAGATTACTGTGAGTTCTATTCAAATTTTGTAGATTCCCTTTTAATAATTGTATGAAATCTATTTTTTAAGCAATTCTCGGTTCTCAGATTCTCAAAATCTCTTCTTGAAATTTATGACCATTTCTTTCCATATTGTAGAACAGCAACCAACAATTTAATTTCATCCTCCTTGTACCATGGACCTCTAGGTAAACATTAAAATTATTTTATACCTCTCTACTTATGGATTTAATTTATTTATCCATCTCTCTCTGCACTATTTACCCAATCTCACATTAGATGAATTGCATATCTTGCTCATTTCCATAGCTATCAAACTCCATTTATTGCTTCTGTTCTGTTCTGCATACTTATTGTAGAGTTAACTCAAAACTGAATCCTCTTCTCGAGTCCAAGGATGATCTACTATTGAAGTAGCCTGACTCTCCACCCATCTACTTCTGCAAACCTTCCAATGTCTGTTGAATAGTATCTGTCCGACTTAATCCCAATCATAAACATTCTAAATATTACATTTACTGATACCATTGAAAGGGGCTGAAGATTATGAGCATTGCAGTACAACCCAACAATGATCCTTAGCATATCTAACTCGGTTTAATCCATCTTTTTCTATTTTCCAATGTTGGTAATATTGAATTCGTTGTGTGCCTTCTCTAATTCTTTGTAGGATGACTAAATATCAGCCCAATCCTGCATTGTAATGTTCAATTATTATAAGATGATATGTTATTAATCTTTTCTTTGCACACTGTTATCAAAAAGCTTCTGGAGCTTCTCTAATCTGGTGACAAATTTGTCATGCATTTAGATAGAATGAGTTGGAGAAACGAAATCTTCCATTATTATATTGTTAAATGCATCATATCACTATTTTTTAAATATAGTTCTAAAAAACGTAATATAAGTTAAATTGTCTAAAATGTTTTTTTTCTTTATAATCAATATATTAATTTAATACATAAACTGATGATTAAGCAATAACTTAATTAAAAATAAAAATAATTATAAAAATTTCAAGTATTAATTTAAAAGTATTATTTTGTATTACTAATCCGCAAACCCATAATTTAAATAATTCCATTGAAAAACCCAAATTGTTAACAAATTGAGAAGTCAAAAAAATTCAGTTTATTTTCCATTCCCTGATTTAAAAATACTTATTATAGATGTTGTTCCTCTGTTCTCGTTCTGTCTCAATTAAATTAACCTTGACGACCAAGAATACGAGAATTTATATTTAAATTAAGTGTATATTTCTAATTTACAATATTCTTGTGAACTCAAAATTTTTCTCATTTCAAAAATCAACCGAATCTCTATTATATTAATTAATTCTGGATGCTCTCGTGGAACGATGCAGAAGATGGCTAATAAATATTTGATAAGGAACAGATTGTAAAACAAATAATTTAATAGATAGATAAGAATTTCAGAATTCAATGCAATACTATTTTTAATAAGTAATACTTAATATACATGAGGCAATGAAATTAAAAAGATTTTGGTACAAAATTGAAATAAATAATTTTGAATTCGGAACAAATACAAAACTAGACCTTTATATTCTTAAAAAAATCTTTAGGCTCAATAATTCATAATTTAATATAATATATTAATCAATAAATCAATTTTTGTATTTATTTTAAAATTATGATCATAAAAAATGCATCGTCGATTTAGGGATTCGCACACTGAGTTTTCTGATTACGATGATGCATCTCAAACACTTCTTTGAAAGTATCGAAATTGACACTTGAATTGTTTCATTTTGTGATTGGTTTGGAACTTTTAAATTGGACAAACAATAGACTGTATTTGATATAAATGGGAAAATAGGAACGATTTTAATATTAATTGAAGCGAGAGAGGGGGATGAGATAAAGTTAATGATAATTTTAAATATTAAATAAAAAAACTAAGATTAAATGGTGATAAAAGATTTAAATAAGAGTGAATAAATTGATTATAAATTATTTAATGTCTCAAATAAAGTTTTGCTTATCTCACCAAGTGTATTTTGGACAAGGCGTATACTTGGTGAGTTCCTAGAATGATTGGAAAATCGAAGAGAGTTGTAGGATGACTTGCATAAAGGTAAAGATGTGTTCAAATATGTAGTCTAACCGATGGGAACTTGTTTTGCAAGTAACGGATGCCCAATTGGAGTACAAATATGTGATTGCAGACTATGATAGTCCCTCTGGAAGTGTTCAGATTTGGGAAAGAGGCAACAACAGAAAATTAATTAAATCTAAATCAAACAGTTCGGAAACCATAAGTATATTATCATATTCATCAATATTATAGAAGATATGTGGGAGAAAAGAATGATTTCCCTAAAATTAATGGCTTTGAACAATAACTCTTTGGCCATCGTAATAGGGAACTTCCCAGCCCTCTCAACTCCGATTCAAATGAAATTGTTAGACAAGAAATCGATGAAGTACTTTTCTACCAAATTCTACATTGACATCACTAATTCGGAATAAGTGATTCAATTTCAATACTATTTGCTTATAAAAGATCCTAGTAAAGAATTTTGTAATTTTTAGCCCCCATGGAATTCATTAGTAACCCAATAACTCTTGGCATTTCGGAAAGAAATTAGGAAATATGTCAAGCAGTCTCCTTTTATAGAATTGCTCTATGTTGATTATATTTAGTATTTATTTTATAGATTTAATTGAAATATTTTAATTTTAAAAATATATATATTTATATTGGGCCTCAAAAATGCCATACGTATCATCTCAATTGAAATGAACAACTAAGATGACGTGGATTGGAAGACTATGACAATTGGTGGTAATTAGTGGTTCGAATTACTTTAATTTTAAAATAGTAAATTTGAATAAAAATCATAAGATATTATTCTTACAAATTCTAGTTATTATTGTGTTACGATATAAATTAAAAATTAGCATTATTAATATAATGAAAGAATCTTAAATCTTTTTTACCCTAACTAAACAAGTAAATTATGGAGAGGCCCTCTATTTAGTCTTCGATTTCACCAATTGGGATTTAACAAAAGCTGTACGGATGGAATGTTCAATGGTATTATTAGATTTCATTTATTAGAATGATCATTGGTCGAAAGTTATTGAAATCTCTTGTTCTTCCTTTGAATACAAGTATGTGATTGGACCTTACGACAACATAATACAGGAGGATGTAGTGTGGGAGGAAGGACCCAACAGATCCTCTGAAAACTTGAAGTTGTTGGAAATGAACCAGAGTAAAATTTAATTGGATGATGTTTGGGAAAAAAGAAATTTGATGTTCTTCTTACTTGACACAAAATAGAAAAGTAAAAGTAAAAAGAATCACGAACATGACATATTATTATTTGGATAGGCTAAGGCCTTGAATTCACCAGTTAGATTTACTAAATGTTAATTAACTCAAAATACAGAATTATACTTTGTTAACTTACAACTTGAACTTGATGAGATTATCAATCCTAAGGAAGTTCAAATCTACATGAAGGTCCAATTAAAAAAAAGTAATAATAATATCAATTTTAGGATATATAGAAATGATCTCTAAAAGTATTAAACTTAACTTCAGAAATTCCCCTGTCAATATATGCCAAGATATCTTATAAGACTCCAAGTATTATCTTCTCAAATGATATATAGCTCTAGATTTAGTATTAATTTTAATTTACTTCTTTTAAAAATAATTAAACAAATAATCATATTAATTTTAAATTATAAAGTTCTCTTTAAAAGCAATATTACATGCTTTTCCCTACAAAATTTATTAGAAAAGTAATTGAAATTAACTTACATAAATTACACAGGTAATTTATAATTCTCCAAACCAAACTTTAACAAACCATAATAGAAATTAAATTATTAACTATCGAATATTATTCAAAATTGATTCAACATATTTTTCAATACAATAAGTAGGCTATTCTACTTTCTTTCCTAATTTAATATTACATATTAAAATTATTATTTGAATACATTATATAAATGACAACAAATTTTTTGTAGAGGGGGACTGGACTGGGATTTGAATGTAAAATATTGAATTAAATAATTTTATAATGAATTTGATTGTTTTCAGATCATTCTCATAATTTAAGCAATTTCTTTTGATAAGATTTGTAAGGAAGGCGTGACAACACTGATTATAGCTGCAAACATGGCAATAATAATGATGATAATCAGCATTTACCATGGGAATACAAATATCAAAGGTAATTATGTGAATAAAGTCTATTACAATGCCATGGATTGTCCAATAATAAATCCGACCATCAATCCAATAAAACTGGAACTGAACACCAATGTGAATGCCTCCATAATATACACTGTAGTAATGGATAATTTAGTATTTCCAATTGCTCTAAGCACTGAGATCTCCTTAACCTATTCTAACATATTGGCAGACATCGATGTCATAAGACTGAAGAATGACAATACCATAACAACTCCAGTTAGGAAACTGAATATGATTTGAATTAGATTCTGACTTTGCTTAATGGATGTTTCATAATCTCTGTAATCCCATATCTTAGCAGAGATACCTTAAGCATCAATGTACTTTTTGAATTGACCATAGACAGTGTCGATGTTACCAGAACCAGATACAGAAATGAGTAATCTTTTCATAGGGTAATTTTCAACTGCATCTATCAAATTTCCACACAACCTCCTGTATGTTGGTAAGGAGACGACAACATTTTATTCTTGAACACTCGGCAGACTACTAAATTTAAGGGCAGGTGCTGAAGTGACAATTGAAGAAGCTCTCATTTAATGATATTGACTGTATGTATTATTGTACACAACCAGAAGGAAAGTGCTGTCAATGTCAATTTTGATATTGAGTTGGTCAGCATAACTGGTACCAATCATAGCACTTTGACTTCCTCGACTCGTATACAATTATTCAACTGGATTCAATTTGCTATTAATTTGATTCTCGACTTTCAGAAATTGATTGTATCCCATATCAAATAGAGTATGTGAGACCCCCACGATCTTAGGTTTGAGTTGGTAGACCTAACCTAAATGGGTCATGTATGTTGTGGAAAATCCAAGTTTCTACATGTAACTATCCAAGGGATCAGTGACCCATGCAAAACTAGTGATGTTGCCTCCCAATTCTAAGATTATTTTTTCGAATTCAAATGGTGAGAGATATCCATTGGAAGCAGTGATCTCAAGTTTGCAACCATGTTATTAAAGTGTCTAAGTAGCTTGGTTTTCAATCTGCACGCTCATACCAACAAAGATGAAAATCACAAAAGCTATGGATAAGGCATACATCAGTGCTGTTCTTCTATTTTTGATCTAAAGAAATAATACATATGAGTACCCTATGTGCAGCTAGATTCTTCAACACCATTGTTTTCTTGGCTGAACTAGCCCAGAACAAAAATAGATAAACCGTAAATCGTTCAGCAAGGTATTAGATATTGAATGCAAAGATGACCAATCCCAAGAGCATGCCACATAAGATGAAGAAGAATATTGACAACAGTAATCCAATGTTGAATGACAATAAAGCCAAAGGCAAGAAGTAATAAACACATATTCCAAACAACGAAGCTATTACAGCGAACTGGATTCTACCCCAAGGCAACGATTTGCCTTCAAGATCTACTTCTATTTTCACTGCAGTTGATTTTGATCTGTTGATATCCAATGCAAAACTCAATTACTTACTTAATGCTTCTTTTATGGGAACATAAGAACTCAACAAAGGAATCAGCAATCCCAATCCGAGTGCCATAAATACGGCATTTGTTGTTGGAGTAGCTTCTATCTCAACTCCAATCGAAGCTTTGAGTGCACTACTGGCATATAATAGAAATGGAATCGAAAGGATAATACCTGCTACTATAGCTGGCAACACATAACTCAATGCTTGAGTCAATACTATGAACACTACTCCCAACTTATTAAACCCTAATACTCTCAACACTCCCAAGTCATAAGTCTTAGTCTCCACTGAGATCAACAACAAAGTATATAACAGTAAAACACTCAATAGAAACAATATCACGATGATCATATTTAATATGATACCCAAAAACAGTTAACCAAATCGAGAATCATACAGTTGTTATAAGACAGGCAAATCCATATTACATGGATAAACTCCCAAATCTCGTCTTATGTTACTTGCATATTTGGTTATCTTCCCTTATATATTCTCGTAATTGCTATCCATGTATATATCAAATCTGTCAGGTATATTGATTCTGATTTCATCTACGAATTCCTCAGGATTAGCAGTATACAAAGCCTTTAAAAATGGTTTGTCCCATGACCAATAAGCAAGATTGTTAAAGAAGTGTTTGTGTTCTACAATTATCAATTTATCAGCATCTCCATCTGGAAATTTACCATAAGTGGAATCCAACAACGCTTTGACTTGATACAAATAAAATCTTTAAGTGGCTTTCTTCAGATCTCCGAATTCTTGATTTAAAAATGTCTCATTGTAATTGGTTAAATTGAATTGCCTACCAATCTATTCATAATAGTTCTCTATATAATAAGACCCATAAAAATCATAGAACTCTCCATATATTAGCATGTAATCTCCTACATTCAATCGATAAGTTTCAGCTAGCTTCCTACTCAAAATCACCTCCGTCTCTTTTAATTCATCAAATGGATATTCCCATCCTAATCCAATATCCTTCTCCTTCAATGTATCAATCGCCACAAATTTTGCCGTTGGATGAGGCTATACTCCTCCGCACCTCTAACCCAATTACTATCCATCTCTCAAATCATTAAAGTGGGCATCGCTTCCGAATTCCTACCTTTTGGATAACAATTATTATGCTTTATTCACAGACTATCTTTAAGTGATTATATTATACATTCTCACAATCTCCTGACTTTTACAAATAAGTGAAGTTGACTTGCTACGAAATTCTAGGACTTGCTTGACTTGCCCTGTCTGGTCCTAATACTTCTTTGACTCTGGTGAAGTTTAGGAAGTCAACTATGAGATATCCTTGTTGTCTGGCTGAGTTACTATAGATGGACATCAAATACTGAGGCGATTTCTCATGTTCCTCGCTTAAATAATTTGGATTTGCAGACAACCTAATCTTAAATCGCTAATTACACTATGTCTGATTATCCCGCTGGACCCTCAGCTGATTTTAAAAATATGAGAGGTGCTCTATCAATTATTGATTAACTAACTGCACTAGCTGCAACCACAATCAGAACACTAAAAAATGATACGCAATATCCACAAGGTCTCCTTTTCAATTCGTACCATGATTGTCCTATCATGAATAACAAAGATGAACAAATAGACATTGAAGTACCTTAAGGAGCTAAAGAGTCCTTTTTCTAAATAGGTTAAGGCTGCATTTATAATTAATTATTAATATTATTAAAATGAACATTGCAATTCTTAATAAATAGAATACTTATTCAATTTTATTATCAATCCCTACATTCCTTAATTTCTCTCCAGCATACTATATCTCACCTTATTGCATTACTAAGATGTCAGTAATCATATTATTATTGATATTCTAATAGGAAGTCATCTTTTTAAAAATTTAATTATCTATTTGTGAGAATATTAATCTATTATTATAAATGCATACATTTTTGGAGACTTAATTAATTGAGATGAGGCTTAAGAGTTGAAGCTATACCTAAGAGATATCAAAACAACATTTAATAGTTTGTAGTTATTAATAAATATAAATATTTAATAATGAGTACATTGGCAGCTGCGAGAGCAGATAATTTTTACTTTGGACCTAATTATGATCCGAATGGAGTAATAGATTAATTCTAAAGTAGGGTAGTTTGAAATATTAGAGAAGAATGAAACTTAAAGGAAAGCGAAAGCCTTCGAGATTGGATTAATATAAAATAAAGAGTGGGCCTAAGATCAGGTTTGAAACTCCATTCCATGTAAATGCTTGAAATGTGGGCATATGATAGCGAAAGGTGTGAGGTTTAATGCTGCAAAGAGAGAAGGTATAAATTGTAATGATTTGCTAGTGGGTAAATTTCATAGTACGACAATATTGCAATTCTCGATGCTGTGTCCCTCTTGCAAAAATACAATTGTTTGCAAGACTGACCCTGAGAATTGCGATTACAATTATACAGAAGGAGCAGTGAAATGGGTAGACAATTCTTGATTATGAGTTTAGTTAAGCACTGAGAAGGCCACAGACATGGAGTTCATACCTGATCCTGAGCAGAAGATCAAAGAGTAATCGAATGCGATGTATAAATTGGAGAGAGAGGTTGAAAAGGTCAAATAAAATAACTTGGCTCCCGTTCTAGAGGACTTGCAAAAATATCGTTTAGTATGAAGTAGTAGATATATGAAAGGAAAATTGGAAGGATGATTTTGAGAAGAACTTGATGTTGAGAAGGAAATTAAAAGAAGATAAAATAAAAGATGCTATTATAGAGGAAGAGAAGAATAGGGTCAAAAACTTTGGGTTACCAATGGAGGATTTAACCAAGTCTGAACTTGTAAATATGAGCGTTTAAATAAATTAGCGAGAAATTAAGGAGGTCAAATTTCAAGAATCAAGTAGCAGAAAATAACAGAGAGAAAAACGATAGGAAATTATGAGTCAAAGCATACTGCCTAGTGGTAGGATGAGTTAGCAATTACAAAAACAATTGGAGGAGTTGAATAAGAAAGTAAGTAAATTGCCTGCTGCTACCAGAAAGATATTCAAATAGCAATTGATGCCTAAGAAAAACAATTTTAATTTTTGAAGGATTTATAATTAATAATTATATTTATATATTTTGTAAGATGAGCAAGAGTCGTCATAGTTCTATGCACAAGCTTTTAGGTCCTCCTCAGATTGTAATGTTTGATGGAGAAGAATCCAGATTTCAAAAAAGAATTTTCAGAGGTTTCAAGTTCTGTATTATTAAGAGCATTCAACTGATAAAATAAAATTTTGTTGGGAACAATCTCCTATTCATAAGACTAATGATTTCAATTTCCAAAAAATCAATTATGTTGATCAAAAGGATATGGATGTTCATGTTCGTAATAGTTATCAGTTGCCATAAATTTATAAGCGTAAAAATCAACTAAACAATGAATGCTTTGTTGTATCTCCTCAACTAACTGCAGGTTTATCTGATCATGTATATATATTTTAGATTCTGAGTAAAAATTTGGGAAATATGCCAAACGATACACTTAGGATTCAGACATATTTTCACTCAAAATTCCAATGGATAAATAGTATTCTCAGCACTCCTCTGCATATGGGCAGTTCTACTTCCAACCAGAATTTAAGCTAACCAAAACTAAGCCTGTTTTCAAATACCACACAGCAAAAAGTCAAATTCTTGGCAACTCCAGACTACAATATATTAAATTAAGGCAGGAAATGGATTGATTCTTCTACATTATAAATATGCATATAAATTAGTGTTTATTAATTAATTTTCGAATAATTAATATGAGGAAGAATAAAATTTAAATCTTTTATCTTCAAAGATACACAAATTCTAATTAATTATTGCATTTTCTTCGTTGTAGTGATTGGGATTTCATCCTGCCCAACCCTCTCATATTATTTTAATGATTACTCCTACACCGGGGTTGTCTCTTAATTATGGATATTTGATTTCACAAAAGAAAATTTATTCAGCTATTTAAAAGAAAGAAAAACCTCAGCTCATTTACATTTAACAAAAAACATAAACATATAATCAAAGTCAATTATAAAGACTTGGTTTTCTTCTCTTAAAGAGAGTACTTTCTTCAAGAGAAAACAAAATTGGAACTTTTCGTTATTGATTATACAATTTATCAAAGACAACTAAATATCGTTTTAAATTGTCCTATTTATGTTGCTAAGCATGCACATGTCTCAATACTTGGTCTCTGTGCTATTAATCAATTGCTGCTTATTGTGGATTATTAAGAAGCTCATCAGTTGCTAATAAATCGACTTCACTTTATTATGAATCATTTTCTGGTGATTTTTCTAAAATCTTGTTGTCGTCTGTCCTGATACTGATTGGAGGTAGAGATTATTAATTGCTGATAGTAAGATCTTATTGTTAGTAAGTTAATGATTGCGTTTTTTTAGAATGGCAAACTCCCATTATGAAAGTAAGGAGACTTCTAATTAATTAAATTATTTTTGAATATATCAAAAGACTATCCATTTAACTTCTAAATCATACTAATAAAAAAAGATACGGCTTATAATTGCCACGTCTCCTTAATTTCATAACTCTCATATAATAAATATGATAATTGCACAATTTGCTCAAAATATACTTGATTATTAAATCCAGAGCAAAAAATTTCCAAATTTTTATTAGTTATTCGAATTTTCTCTCATTTTAACTTTATTTAAGGAAAAAATAACAGAACTAACAACAAATGACTAAAAACTTTTAAAATGTGGAAAATAAGCGTCTTATCGATTTCTATAATTTGAATGCTGATGGATTTCAATATTCTCTAATGAAATACAGGGAATCAATGATATTGAGAAAATATTTGAATTTGCAACAATTTGGAAGAGTAGAGCCATATTATGGATGAAATGAAAATCAAACGAAAATTATTTTATAAATAAGTAATCTCGAAATTATTACTCCTAATATTTTTGGAAAACTATGAAATATGTTGAATTTATAGCCAATACTATAGCTTTGAACTCAAAAAAAATTCCAAAAAGATAATGCATTAATTTAGTAGCAAATAGGAAGGTTACGATTAATTGGAAAACTCTCAATTGACTACTCTTTATATTAACCCTTAACAAAAAAAAAATAATCCTCCATTAAGTTCCAGTATATCTGACTATGAGATAATATGAAAAAGTGAATTTAATTGTAATAAATTCAAGTATTAAAAAATGATATGTCAATCCGTAAATAAGATGTGTTTCTATTTGGCTGAAATGTTAATAATTTATATAATTACTATTGTATTTAGAAATAGATTGATATATCAAAATAGATATCATCTTTTTAATAAATTTTCTTTTTAAATTTAAAAGCTCTGTTGTTGCATATTCAACACTTAATGTATATTGTAGGTTCTATTCAATGGGTTGTATTTATTATTAGAATATCTTTCAAAACTTTAGTCTTTCTTATCAAAGATTTCTAGGATGGTTTCTTTCCATCTGCTCTTTTGATTTGATCTTTATTGCGAGATTGAGCTTTCTTTAAGTCTACTCTTTTTATCACTTTCGTTCAACTTATTCCAAATTTCATTGGTTCTATCATTCTTAACAGGACTGAACTTCTGTTAGAATGTCATCATTTTGGAATCTGAAGTTAATCTCTCTTCTGTCTATTAGGATAGAGATTAGATTCGAATTAGCTATCTTTGGGATGACAATAGTAAGGATTTCTATTCATGCACACATATTTTACTATTTACAGAGATTGAGATGGGGCAGTCATAATTTTTTCAATTTCAATTAAGAATTTGCTCAAATCTTCAGGAAAGCCCTTTAAGTTCTTTAGTTCCTCCTAATACTTAGCCATCAATTAAATTTAAGTTTCCTAGGGAAATTGCAAATACGATTACATATTCATTCTCTTGCTTTTGTATCTCCAACAATTGTTAAGTTTCCAGGGCATTGACTTCATTAATGAGACTATTCTTTTTTTATTCCAAAGCGAGTATTTACTAATTAAGATGGATAGCATTACTTTTTGAAATTCTTGGCTGATCTCATCCCTTGTGGATTAACATTTCTATTGGAATTGGAATTTCTGATCTTGAATGTCTCTGATGGATTCGAATTTGTTCTTAAAACTTTTGTCCAATCTCTCCAAATATAATTGTACTCTTTCATTCAAGGCAGGAGTCATTTCATTTTTATTCGCCATTGATTCTTTGATTTTCTTGATATCCTTGACTTCAGGGACTTCCTTGGGTTGGTCGACTTTTTGAAATTATAAGTTGTTTGCAAATTTATCTTTGGATTCAAATTTTTAGATCTAAGAATCATTAGCAATATCAGCAACAAAGTTGGCTTTAGATTCCCGAATAGTTTCAGATTATTTTAGATCAAAATCGTTCTCCAAATTGTGCTCATCCTAATTCTATTCGATGAGTGGAATGATGATCTCCTTGATCACATATTGAATGGCCTCGATTGTGTCTGGATCAAGGTGGGTTTCATATTGACATTTGGAACAGATGGCCACTTTCACAATGTCTTGAGACTCTGGGTTCTGCTGTTGAGATTGCAAATAATTGTAGGCCAAACAAACGAGACAGAACTTGTGATCACAATCCAATTTGACATAATTGTCAGGAGTTGTTTGACATTAAGAGCAGGCCACTTCGAAGTTCGTGTCGCTGTCTTGTGTTTCATTCATTTTTAAATTTAATATATATAAAATGTGAAAGCATTAACTCATAATTTAACATCCCTAATATATTAGCGTAAAAATAATACTCTAAAGTCCTCACAAGAACAATGTTTTCTCCCTTCAAAAGGATTTTCCCCAATTCCTTGGTTGCCTTCGTCTTACGGTCGTATTCCACAGCCCTGTCCAACACCAAATTCAAGTACTCGTCAAAACCCTAAAAAAAGGTAGAAGCTCAACTAAATTACGGCCAATTTGCCTTGAATACGAAGATTGTCATTTTCCACCAGCCAAATCTCCAGCTGAGTTTTCTCTGTAAACAACGTGAAGAAGGCGTGGAGTGGCTGTGTTATTTTCTTCTATGGCTTCCTTTAATACGGGGGATGTTGCATATCTTAATTTAATTAATTAAAATGGCTTCAGCTTTTCCTAAATTGCCAGGTTTTGTGCCCACCCAAGAATTAGATGTAACACTCCCATTTATCATCATAAGAAACCCAACTTCAGGAAGGTCTCAGCTGCCAAACAAGATCAAAACAGAGAAATCGTAACTAAATTGAAATTCTAATCTTTTTTTATAGAAACAACTGCCAAATAAAGAATACCCTGTACCTCGCAAATAACCAACACAAGTGCCCTCTCAAACAGGAATGTTCAACCCCGATTATTTAAGCACAACTCACGCCATGCATCTACCAAAGGTATGTCTTCTAATCAGTTACATCCCCAAGAATTCCAACAATGATTCAGAAGAGCTCTACCAACCAAGTTGGGTCAAGATGGACAGGCACGTTCTCAGATTCAGTGGCTTCTTCAAAGAGGCTGTCGTTGAATCAGCCCTAGAAAACTACAGAATTCGCAAACTAACCATATTTTACTACTTGGAAGACCATTCAATCAGCATTACCGAACCCAAACAGGAAAATAGCGGTGTTCCTTAAGGAGCATTCCTTAAAAGATAGAAAGTAAAAACAGCTCCCCAATCATATTTAAGGTCTTGAGGGCTGATGGTTCAAAAACATTCATCATACCAGAAGATTTCAGAATCAACTAAGACATCGAGATATTTGGCAAAACAATTCGACTTTATGATTGCGATCAATACACAAGAGAATTTTACGAGGTTTCCTTTCTGTGCTAAATTTCTTATAGGGACTTGGACAACCTCAAGAGCAATCCTTCAGTCCTTAGTCAGATTCATTTGAAACAAAGACTATGACTAAGTATATTCCCCAAAAGGATACCGTCATGAAGGACTACTTGGAGCATAAATTAGGAGGAGGAAAGGTTACATCTCAAAAGCAATTCCTAGAAAACGATAGGAAGGTATTAAGATTCATCCCTAATTAAGGTTCTTAAATTCTACGTGTTCTCTGACATTGAATATGTCTTGCATTACTATCTGGCTGATGATACCATTGAAATAAAGGAGATTAATTCAGCTAATTCAGGAAGAGTTCCATTTCCCATGATGTTGAGAAGGTAGAAATTACCCAGAAAGTTCTCTCTCAATCAGCCTGGATAAACATATGCTGAAGATTTCATTAGACCTCAGGATATTCAATTTGGATAACCTTTGATAATTTACAATAGAAAATTTGCTATCCAAGGTTGCGATCCCTTCACAAGATATTATTATTAAGAAAAATTCAACGTTGATTTTCCTTTGGGTGGCTAAGAAGAATAGTAAATCGAATAAAGATCAAGTATTGGTTATTAATTATTTAATTAGACATTATCATTCCTCCTCACAATGGCATTGGGGATGAACAAGATTCTTTAGGATACATTTACAGATTGTAACCTATTCCACCCAAGAAGGATTTCTTCAAATGGGTTGACAATTAAGTCAATCTGAGATATTTGGCCATGTTCAACACTACAAAACCTGAGGATAAAGACAGGTATACTATTAATTTAGCTTTAGAGTTTTTGTCATAACTTATTTTCTAAATGATGATAGTCTTTTAGTTTATGAACCAACTGTTAGAAATTCTGGTATGTTTCTAAATCACTAATTTGATAGGCATTCCAGATGGCAAATTCTTGGAGAAAAGAAAATACAAGAACGCTTTTAATAATAATGAGTTTTTCTCGCCCAAAGATTTAATTGTAGGCAACGAAGTTTAGATCAATGGTTGGAAATTCTAATTACTGGATTGTGATGAGTTCACTAAGAAGTGGTATGCTGATAATTTTAAATGACATTCATCTATATATATTTTAAAATAATAATAACCAAATTAAATATTATGAATTATTTCATTATTGGCTCTTATTAAGTTGAAACCAAAAATATTTAAATTATTCCCACTATTAATGAATATTAAATCTACATCTCTATAAATGAACTTTTAATCAATTAATTTCCTATAATTCAAAGAGACAAATAATCTTCCATCCTGAATTCACTCTCTATATACTCTACCTGGTACATATGGATTTCTAATTAATAAAATTGTTAACAAGATCATTTTCAGCACTTAATTACAAATTAACATTTTATATTTGAAATTTGTATTGTTATCTTATTTGAGAATGAAAAAATGCATTTTTATATATAAAATATAATATAATTTAGATAGAATTCCCATTCTTGAATATCTTAATATAGTATTAATATTAGAGGCTTATTTAATTGAAATGGATATTGATATAAAAATAATTAAATTGTATTAAATGTAGTTCAAAATAACCAACTTGCATTCATATGAATTATCGCATATAACTCTTAGGCTTCCTAATATTTTCTCTAATCACCTGACCTAGAGCATGAAACTGAATAAAAATATGGAACGAAACCTGCAACATGTTTAGGAAGTTTTTTATTTTAAAAACCAATCTCGCCAAAGATTATCACAGATTATATCCATCTTGATGTATACCTTGTTTCGTCTTTCAAGTTCAAATCCTCAAATTCTGCTATCTAAAATAACTCTGAAAAACCAATTAGGACTTCCTCCTCGTGACTCTATTGATCTTCTGCTTCTTTAAGTGCCTTTGGTAATTCGTTCCACATTGCTGATTTAAGAGCAATGAAATCCTTGTTTCTGAAGGCATAATCTTCTTCAATTATATAGCAGAGGATTGCGGATAATCTACGTTCAATTAAATGGCCTTTTAGAATTGCAGCTGCTTAACTTAAAAAATCTCTTATGTTTGATTAAGAGTTATATTGATGATTACTATTTAAAGTTTCTTAAAACAATATCGCAAATAAATATAAAGTAAGTTCGGAACTACCCATTTAGTTTAGAAAATCGATCATTTTTCTAAAAGTTTCAGCATATTCTAAACTGCCTAGCTGGAATTGCAATTAAAATAGGTGATGGGAAAGAGTGAATTGATTATAGATACAATCATTTTCTACTATCTTCATTGCTTTATCTAAATAATGCTTCGCCTTAATGAATTCTCCTTTATAGACAAGGAATTATGAATAACAATCATAAATAGCCCAATTGAAATAGTATCCTTCGAGATTCTACTCGATAAATTGTATAAATTGTTCGATGAATGATTAATATACACAATGATACTACATTATTTCGCAATATGTCCATCCCTATTAAAATATGGCATATTTATCGTAATTCAAATTCTACATCATATTTATTACGTTTACACCAAATGCTACCCTTTCCTCTCCTTCACATTAGTAAAATATTTTAATATACTTCGAAAAATCTAATTCTACAGTATCTTTCTTCTCTTATGAATTGAAATTATGCCTTGGTTGATAAATTTTATTTAACATATTCTTAGATTTGTTCAACCAAATTGAGTCCATAATAATAAACTTCCATTCAATCATGATCTAAATCATTTCTTTATAATTGATTAAGTATGGTATGATTTCTTCTATAGCTTTTATCCATTGGCCATTCAATCTGCTCTTTAAACAAATAAATTTAAGTAGCATTTCGTCATTTTCTAACTCCAGCTCATTTTGAATACTATTAATGGCCTCCTTAGCCTATTCCCATTAGCCAATTATATAAAGTAATTCTGCCTCCTAGAATTTTAAATTGCAATTAGGCTCTGCCAAAGTAGCTTGATATCCCTGACAAAGCATCAATTAGAGCATCCTCTAACCTTTCTTCTCTAAGACATCATAGTAGAGGTCATATTCAAACTTAGACAAATCCTCAATTGATATTTCTTCAAATATTTCCTATGCTGATACATTACAAGAATATTTATCTACAAAGGAATCCAAAATCATGACTTTTCTTATTATTTCTTAATCGCTAGAATATTCCTATGATATTATATTCAACATACACTACATCCAAAATTTCATATCTCCATTATAAGATAAATTTTATGTTGATTGATGTATTTTGTATTACAAACTAAGTTTGAAATTGTTTTCTAAATTCCTTTTTACATCTTCGGTGCTTGCGATGATGGGTTCTTAAATTAATGTAGTTCGAATGTATTTTTGTTATAAAAAGTATGACTTTATTTGGAAATAATCTTTATTATAAAGTGAATTAATCTTCGGATGCACCATTTTCTATTGATCTAATATCTATTATAAAACATTAATATTATCTTGAGGATAAAGTATCTAAAGCATTGACAATTAAAATGCATAGATATCTTTTTTGAACAAATTCATTTTAAATATTTTTAAATTATTGTTCAGAGCTCCTCTCACTTATTTTTGCATATAAGCTCTAGTTCCAACAATAGGATACTCACCATATGGGGTAATGTATTAAGTTGAGCATCCAAAATCAGCTAAGACCCAACCATTTTTTTAAGTATTTATGATATTTTCTAATTTAATGTCGTTGTGAGCAATTTTAAGAGAGTGAATTTTTAAAACACTATCTAAAATACAATCGAACAGATTATTGAATTGAAGCTCTGTAAATTACTTTAATCTCAACTAATATTCTTTTAGGTTCCCCAACCCCAGGTCTAGATATGCATATATTCGATAAGCGTTCATATATTGTAGGCTGATAACAATTTTATTTTGTATTTAGATGATGCATTCAGGAAAGTGGACAGCAATTCTTTTTTATATTTGAAATTCTTCAGCTAAGATAATAACTTAATCAAAATCGCAATTTACCTGTACCTTCAAGGCTGCTGGTAAATTATTATTTGGATTTATAGTTGAGTACACAGATCCATAAGCCCCTTAACCTAATAACAACCCATTTTCTATATTCAGATCCAAACATCCGTTCTTGACATTATGAATTTGTTATTAGTTGTAAGAGAATACATCTGGATACTTTCTTAGTAATTGAAATATAGTTCTCTCTAATAAGAATACATTATTATTTAACTAACATCTATTTTCATTTAATTATTGAAAATAATCTATTGTTTGAGTTTGCTCTGATTTTTTTGATTCATTTTATGAATTATTCATTTTTTAAATTTTATTGAAAAAATGTAAAAATTATTTAAACAATCAACAAACATATCTTATGAATGTGTTGAGAACTTTAACTTATTAGTCAAATCCCACTGTTCTTGTCTTATTGAGATCTAAAGCAAAATAAATATGTTAATTGCCATTTTTTAAAAGTAAAAGAAAAAATTGGTTAATTAAGATTTTCTATATTTAATTATTATATATTAAGATACTGAGAAGTGAAAAGTCGATATCGACCACCTTAGAAATATTATGAAAAGAAATCATAAATATCTCTATGATTTCAACATCTTCAATTATAATTGGGCAGAGTATTCCAATTTATAATTTAATTCGATAGATTTTTTAAATCTTTAAGAGATAAATCGAATTTACCAGTATCTTTATAAAGTAAGCCTTTTTTTATTTAAATATTTTATATGATATTTAATTATAATTCATCTAAAATTGGATAACTGAATAAATAATTCTTTAAAATATTTGCGTAATGTAATAATTTAATTTAATATTTATACTTGAAAATATAAAAACAACAAAATAATTTCAATTTATCTTCATCTCGGGAATAAAATAATAAAATTAAACTCTAATATTAATAACTCTTTAGATAAATGTGAAGTGCTCCCTGGCTGGATTAATAATTTAAATATAAAAATGTTAAGCAGAAACAAATAAATTAAAATTATCTATTTATACGTAATATAATATTGAATTCAGCCTTAAAAATAGAAAATTGCCTCTGCATTTAATCTATCCTATTAGACGAGTAACTTTTGAGTAGAAATAATTTTTAAGGCTTATTCCATCCATAACTATAAATAATAAATACATTATTACTTGAAGTCCATTTTTCTAAAAATTTTGCAGTGATTAGATATTAGATTCTAAAGATTTAAAATTCATAAGTTTTAGAATAATTGAAATTTTGCTCTTGATTTTCAATTTGGTAAATTAATCAATAATATCTTATCTCTTTGATATTAATTTTGCTTAATCTGCAGAACCTTTAAGATTTTCTTGTATTTATTTAAAGATGATATCATCTATAATTTTGTTATCTGTGATTACATTGAGAATTTATTATGCAATTTAAATTCCTTAGTTTATATCTTACCTTTAAATCGATAAATCTATTAAAAAGCAACCCTTCAACAACATAATTTGGAAAATACCCTTGAGGCCCTTAATTAATTGTAAACAATAATTTTTTTAAGGTATTTACTGTAATATCAAGAAGAATAGTTGGACATTCTCTTGAAAGTTAGTTTAAGTAAGATCCTTTAGTGGTAATTATTGCAATAATGAATTGATCTTAAGAAATTCATCATACAAACTCGCCTATTCCATTTCTATGCTTTGATTTATCAGTTTTGATTAAGCCACAAATTATTCAACATATTCATCTATATTTTTAGGTATATACAGTTGATCCTTTATTTAGTATAAATCTTATTTGATAAATGACAAAGTTTATGAGTGCTTATACACATTAGGATGATTTATTGATAAAAACAGATCAAAATTACTGAAGATTTCAAACTCTTTGCTTAAGGGATCTATGGATTTGCAAGCTTTTAATGGGCAATTTGAGATTTGTTGAATAATCATTGTTTTTCTATTCATAACCTTCTGAAGATCCTAAGTCTTTTGAGATTTGATCTTCTGTTCATCTAGTTATTCTAAGAGTTTTGGAGTAATTTATAACTTCGACACTTTCATCCAGGATTCTTATTCATAGATAAGTCCAGACACATTAGATTATGGTCTATTTACTCCTGTAGCATCTTTAATAACCTGGGCATACTCAATCTTTGTGACCACAGAGTCATTGCACTTCCACCAAGTTTTATAATCATTCTTGTCTAGAACATAGCAATAATAATGGCCAGATGTAGCGCCACCATCATGCATAAGCACTGCTGTTAAGTGATACATATTTTAATCTGATTTTAATAATAGTTTCTTTTCTGATTAAATCTATTCCAATCTATCAGTGAGCAATTGAATCGATTTCACGAACTTGTTTCTATAATTTTCAAGTTGAAATAGCATTTGTTGACTAGAGATTAATTATTGATTCGAGGTATTCTCATCGCAGATTTAGAAATCATCAATAATAAGTGGCTAGTCTAATTGGCCTTCTCCTCTTTTAAACAACTTAATTATTTTACTGAAGTTTTCATCAATGTCCTCTTTGGAAGTGCCGTACCTTCTCAATTCGTCTAAAACCTTCTATTCCTCTATATCAAGTCTCTACAGTTCTTTGCTCATCGATTTAGGATCACTGGCCTTGAATTGATTGATATTTAAAGAGGAAGGAAATTCAAATGAGGCATTGTTTTTGCAGGGTAATTTCTATTTGGGATCGTAATAGACTCTGTTGATGTAGAATTACAATATCTTTGGAGGTTGGAGTATGATTTAATCAACTTTGGCTTTGACCTTCTCTTTTGAATTGGTTTCGTATTCGTCAATGATTAGTATTCTAGAGTTGAGGAATCCTTTCTCTAAGTCTTTGTCTTGAGCATCGATGCTGATGGATCCAAAAGCGGTTGTGGTGAATTTGATTACTTCTTATTCTTTTTCCTTGTATGTGAGTATTTCTTTGGATTCTCCATAGAACATTTAGCAAAACTATTTCTTCAATTCCTCATCTCCAATATCTTTGAGGGCTTGTTCAATGGCATCCAAAAAGGCATTTTGTAATTCATTAAAATCATTCTATACTCCCTTTATCAACATGCCATCAGGCTTGTACTTTTAAAAAGCTTCGAACAATTTGATGGGATTTGTAAATGAGCTGTTGCTTTCCTACAATTGAACAAATAAATATTATAATTGTAATAGAAAAAGAGCAGCCTTAGTTTGGTTTTGCTTTGAATCTATTGAAAAAATCAATTATCTAAAAGGAAGTGAATTGAAGAGACTCTGTAACATAGCATTCATGTAGCAAGCTATAAATATATTATTGATGCTGATTACTATTTCCTAGATTCTTCAATCCGACCGGTACGCTCTTATTTGTTCTATCCTGTTGCTCGATTTGGGGTTATCTAAAACTGGTTATAAATGGTACTAATTTTGATCATCAATTGAAAGTTAGATAGCGTGTTTTAAATCCTTTTCTTCTAGATCTTTGAGTTGTTTCTTTAATTGCATCTAGGAATTCATTAGGTCTTCTTCACTAAGGTTTTGGTTCTCTTCTTGACTTCGAATAGTGAATTCGATTTTTACCTAATTCTAATTAGTTCTTCATGGAATGTTAGGGTGTTGAACCCACACAGTTGCCAAGCCTTCAGTATCTAGTGTTTCTAAAAACCAAACGAATGGTATTGCCGCATCAGTTAATCAAATGTGGAAGGACTGTGCTTAAAGCTCTTATTTAAATGCTAGTGATTATTTGACATTTTGTGTAATTATTTTTTTCTTTAAAATATTAATTAATTAAATAAATCATAATGGACTCATACAATGCAGTGAATGATCTGAATGAAGGAGTTGAATATACCTAGAACGTTGAGTATAGATAAGGGCTAAAATCAAACACGTCCGATGGTTCAGCCTAATAAACCCATGAAATATATATGAAAAGAGATTAACAATCATTTTCAGTTGATGATGACGACTTTTACTCGCAGTGAAAACCTACTCACTCAAAAAAGAGTGATTGGATCTCTTGATTACTATTTATATCTTTATTTATATGTAAAACAAACAATATTTCGATCAAATTTGATTCAAGTTAAATCTTTTAGAGGATCTATTAGAACTACATATTTATTTAGATATTTTTTAAATTCTTTCATTTATACTTAAATAAAATATGAAAACTTTATAGATAGTTAAAATTTATAGAAAAAACAGATATCTTTTTGAATAAAGTTGTTGTAATGAGTTTAATGATGCCTTTGAACACAAGGTAGATTTAAAAGATATGTAATAAAAGGTATTAAATCAATTATTTTTTGTATTTATTTATTAATGGGTAAATCCAATCTAATTGATATGTGTTAATTAAAATTGCATGAAGTGCAAAAAATAAAAATCAATGATTTGAATTAAATATTTGCAAATACAATATATAAATGTTCAATTGACATATAGACCCTGTTATTTCAGATCTATTCCAATATGTTATTGGAACTTTGATACTAGCAATTATATTATAATGACATAATTCTAATTTTCCGTTTAAACGAGTTTATGACAAAGAAAAACAAACGATAATTTGACTCATATTAGGTGGATCTCTATTCAAAAAGTAGTTCTCTTCTTGCTATATTAATCCAGCTTTTAAATTCAGTAGGAGGCGAACAATATTCTTCTTTGTTCTCAAATCAAGTCTTGTAATAAGAGAAAAGAGAAAATGGCGGGACTAATCGTTCCAGTAAGAAGAGGTAATTAGAAGCGAAGTAAATTTTAAGTTCCAGTTTTGCAAGTGAGAAAGAATGACAAGAGTCGGAAGAGAAATAGGAGAACCTAAACAAGAGCATAAGATTTAAGTCTGCTTTGAATTTGTAATTACCATATTCAAATTATTAAAATGAATATCCCAATGCCCTAAATCAAACCAATTATTCAAGATAACTCCAAACTGTAAAATGAGGTGATAGGTTTCTTCAAGTTGGGAGATCTCAAATGGAATACTGGATCGACGGTCCAAGAAAAAAAGGAAGGATTAAATTATGTTATTTAAGGTTTAAAGAAAATGCAATTGTGGATCGAAAGTATATTGTCTGCATCCTATGTAAAAAGGGGAATACGACATAGAAAAGAAGAAATCCTTATAAGGGTAATATGATGCTCGGAGAGAAGAAACTGCTAAAAGGTTAGGTGCGTTGGAGAAATACGATAAAGGTGAAATAATTTAAGAATCAAATGGAAATGGAGCAAACAATCAACAACAACAGAAGTAATGTTGTTCATCATTTTAGAAAGTAGGGTGACAAAGAATAAAAGAGTGAGTTGTCCAATGCATTATCGGATGCTATTGTTAAAGATAAACCTAATGTTAAATGGACTGATATTGCTGGCTTAGAAGCTGCCAAATCAGCCTTGCAAGAAGCTGTCCTTCTACCAATCAGGTTCCCAGATTTCTTCGAAGGAGCAAGAACACCTTGGAAGGGAATCCTCATGTATGGAGTAACAATTTAAACTAAACCAATAGCCTCCAGGAACAGGTAAGACCTACTTGGCAAAAGCCTGTGCAACTGAAGCAGAAGGCACCTTTTTCTCAGTATCTTCAGCCGATCTCATCTCTAAATATGTGGGAGAGAGTGAAAAACTGATTAAGACTCTATTCACTATGGCAAGAGAATAAAAGCCATCCATTATTTTCATTGATGAAATCGATTCCATGTGTGGAGCTAGAGGAGAAGGCCAAAACGATGCCAGCAGAAGAGTCATCACTGAGTTCTTGGTTTAAATGCAGGGAGTCGGACATGATGATAAAGGTGTCCTAGTTCTTGGAGCAACCAATCTCCCCTGGGCTCTAGATACTGCCATTAGAAGAAGGTATCACTCTTATTCGATATTTGTAGATTTGAAAAAAGAATCTATATTCCACTTCCAGATGTGTAAGCTAGGGAATATATGATCTAAAATTCTCTCAAATAAACTAAAACTACTTTAACTAAGGAACAATTTGAAGATCTTGCTAGTAAAACTGAAGGATACTCCGGTTCAGATATCAGTGTGCTAGTTAGAGATGCTGTCTATGAACCAGTTCGTAAACTTCAATCTGCCAAGAAATTCAAGCAAATTCCAGTCAATGGCCAATTGAAATGGACTCCAGTTGCAGAAAATGAGGATGGAACTCCCAAGACCTTTATGGAACTAAATCAAGGAGATATTGCCATTCCTGATGTCTGCTACAATGATTTCCTACTAGCCTTGAAAAAATCGAAGAAATCTGTTTCATAAGATTAATTAGGAGAGTTTTAAACATGGACTAAAGAATTCGGATAAGAAGGTTGATCATAAGCATATATATATATATATTTAAATATCTTTTCATAATAAATTCTTAAATTGAACTTAGCTTCATATATGCTTTGATTTTAGTTAATGTAGATATAAGTAAAACGGATTATCAATGAATATTTAAGTACCTTAAATTAACGATAATCTTTTTTTGATGCCATTATTTACTGGTTTTTTTTTCATATCTGTGTGGGGTACATATATAATAAATTAACCTATTTTATTGATTTCCTCAAGATATCTAAACATTTTTCGCTTCTTCATACCTAGAATTCCTCTATTTTCAATTAAAAATTCTAATTTTAAAAATACAGGAAAATTGAGAGAAATCTAGTGATTTATCATTAGATATACCTTATTAAAAATAGTTAATTCCATTTTCATGTGATTCAAAATTAAAATCAAGTAAGATAATTATTTAAATAAAATAGGTTAAAGAAAGAATTATTATAAACAAATATTTGAGATATAATGTGGGTTTAAGAAAATTAGAATAATTTATAATAATATATAATTCTTTCATAAATTAGTAAATTAAGATTTAAGTTTCATTACACTAATAGATATCCTGAGGCTACTATGTATTAAAATGCCTATCCAAGTTATCCTTCATTAGATTGTTTGAAATCTAAGATGAAAACTGATAGAGTAGAAACAATTTAGGTTTCGTGATTGTAGAATTTCAATTCAATTTGTGTTTCGTCTTTAAGATCTATCAATGCAACAACTCCTTAATTTTTTTCAAAGATGCAATAGCCAAACTTGAATTGCTCTCTTGTTGAATATTATTTAGCAACTAACTTGTACTCTGGCATATTGGTTCTCAGAACACTTTTGTTGGAGATATCCTTAACTTCATTGGTACTTATGAGAATCACTTTGGCCATTTTGGTATAATTCTTTTCAATACCAATTTTGATGACTTTGATGATGCCTTGGAAATCAGGTTACAATGGCACTTACAAATCGCGTCGTTGTATTAATTGTTAATTCTAGCGTATCCTATTCCAAAAGAAACTCATGATATCAGTTGCATATGTTTTCTCCTCTTGGGAAGCAATATTAATGACTTTCTAACTCAATTCATGGCTTATTTCATAGATCTTGGCAATTTGCACTTCATAAAATTTCTACTTCTCGTAAGTATTGGGAGGCAAGTACTTTTTGACAAGTCCCAAGAATTCCAATACCTTTTTTTTAAACTCTTTATTTTTTTTTGAAAGACACCCTTTAATGTAGTTGCAATTTTAAAGTTTAATTTAACTGTTGGATGTTTTCATGAAGAGTAAATCAATCCATTGTTCTGGATTGGGACAATCTATAATTTAAAAATGGATTAATTACGCCCATCAGTTTCGTATCCAATAAAGGGCAATTCGACCTATTTGGCTTGGGAGAGAGAAATGTTTTAGATGGAACTGCCAAAGTATAGCCTTTGGAGTGATTAAATGAATCCTGATTATTAGACAATGTTGTTTGCCTTTTTGTTCAATCGAGCAATGCGTTTATAAATATCTCTAATGGGTAGAAAGGAGAGTATTTTGAATAATGTATTAATGGGGAGGCTTAAAAAAGTTGTCTTATTCTATTGCATGGGGACTTGTAATTTTAGATTCTTATCACTAATTATAATTAATTAATTGTAATTAGAATATTTTCGAGTTATATAAATTTCTTTAATAAATTTAAATCGTCTCTTCATACAATATCGGTATATTAAAATGACTGTATATGTGGAAGTATTTTATGTCAATATCACATTTGTGATTTTATAATTAATCATTAAAAACAAATAGAAATATACATGAGTCAGATTAGACTGCGTCCTTGTGAGCAGGACTGCAATAGAACATAGGAAAGCCGATTGGTAAAGGGCATTTCTGAGATTTTGGAATAGTTAATAGAATTAGCTGAGGGTTTGGATATTAAGGACTCTTTGTTTCATTCTTAAAAAGTACCAAGCATTACTTTGGAGAATTATATGAGCCGAATCGTGAGATATACAAAGTGCAGTGAGGAATGCCTCGTAATTGCTTTCATTTACTTAAGTAGAATTTAAGAGTTAAATTAAGAATTATAATTAAACAGGTAAAGTGCACATAGGTATTTAAAATATTGAAATTTAGATTGTTATTTATTGCTATTGTTTTGGCGATCAAATACCAGGACGATGACATTTTTAAGAATGATTACTATGCTAAGGTTGGAGGGATCACAATGTGGGAATTGAATGATATGGAGGAGGTATTCTTGGAATTGTTGGACTATAAATTGTTTGTCCAACAGGATCTTTACTACTTGAATTTAAAAAAAATAAAATAGTCTTCTAGAAAATGAGTTCTTTTTTTAGTGTATTTATACTGCTATACATATATTAATTTTATGATTGGTTTGATACGATAGATACATTTAGATGGAATATTAATATTTAGTTTTGTAAAAATTTAATTTTTTATAATGCAAAAACAAATAATTGGCTTTTTAATTAATAAAATTATAAGCAAGCTTTCTTAAAGGGGAAAAAGTTATGATGTAGGAGAACAGTAATTTAATGCCTGTCGATGAGATCTGGAGACAATTGAGTAAAGTGACGACAACTGTAAACAGGAATGTGGAAAGGATGTCTCAGTTATTGGATCAACTCATTACTCATGCTCTTTCAAATGAATGTGATTACATAGAGATTCCTCAGAGGAAGGATGATCATGTGAAGGAAAGAGAAAAATATGCGAATGATTATAAAAAATGTATACTTCGTGAGTTGAATGAGAAATTGAATTGGACCATTAGGGGTTCTAAGAACGTTTGCAACAAATGCCAAATGATTTGCAAAACTAGAAAAGGTTATTTGCTTCATTTGTTACAGAAACATTGTGAGTACAAATTCTATTTGTGTGTAAAGTGTTATGATAAATTTGATAATTTTAATAAATTTAAATAACATTTATGCAATAACCACGATGAAATAATGATATTTTAAGTGACCGAATAAATACAACAATTGATAGATCATGGAGCCAGAGAAATGTCAAAGAATGATCTATAAAATATCATTTGATTTAGAGTATTTTAATAATTAAATTGTTATAGAAGAAACTACCTATTTCCAATATGTTTCAACAATCATTTAATCATGTTTTTCTTAATTCAACATTAACATTTGGCCCCTTCAGAATGTGCTCCTTCTCCTGTTCCTGCATTTTCTCGTAATCCACCCCATCAAGAGTCTCCCTCAACCTCCCCTTGTAATAGGATTTGGTATTATCCCTCATTCCCCTCTGGACCCTGTCCACAGCAAACTTGTGACGAGTCAGAATCAAGGAAGCCTTCTCAGGAATAGGCGATATGATGAATGATGAGAAGTATTTAAGTCCCAAAAACACAATAACGAATATAGCATACGAAGATGACTAAGAATCTGGAGGTACGACTCCTGATGTAAACACTATTAATCCTGCATTGCAAAAGACAGATAGGAATGCTATAATATCCATGATGAAACTCCAATTTGCGATATCGGAAGCTGAGGATGGAATGGGTCTTTGGATAAAGTGAATTAGCTTGAGTTTGTCGACCTGAATCTAAGTGATATTAGTAAGGAAAGCTATAAAGTAACTGAGAGGGAATGCCAATCCAAATAGTTAGAGGAAGGCAAATTGGACTACCAATTCCATGTAGTCATTCATTAAGCCATCCACTTCGGCATTGGATACATAGGGTTCTAGATTTGCTTGGGTTTCAATGAATTCATCAATCTAATTGAACTCGTGAGTCACGAGATTCTCATCTACCTACTTGGTTTTCCCTCTAATAAATGCCTTTATACATGGAGTAATGAGTTGGGGCAATGTTTTGGCAAAGTTCACCATGAAAATGGTTACCATCTAATCTTTCAATGCTCTGTAGCAGTTGATTCCTTCTGATGTCTTACAGAGAGATAGGGAGGGAAATTGTTCATTCAAAAATGCTATGATTGCCAAACAATTGAAGGTGTTGATAAAAGTAAATATGTAGGTTTTCAATATTAAACTGTCCTCATAGGATTATTCGTATTTGTGATTCTCAAAATCATTTAGATTATTTGAAACATTAAAGTAAATAAGATTGAATAATTAAATTACAATTGCATTTATCATCGACGGTACAAATGATACCAAAAACTGATTGTCTGGATACTCCTCTATTAAATAACTACTTTAATATTATAACTTACTTCTTCAAAATGAACACTCCAATGACACTTGCTACAACCATTGTTATGATTATCAAAGTAATCAAACTAGAATAACACAATTTAAATTATTTCTTCCAAGTAGGATAGAACTCCTCATTAAGTTGATCTGTTATCAATGACCTAACAAAATCACCTTCAAATGCTGGTCTCTCAATTTCCCCTCCCTCACTTTTGTTGTTCTAACCAAATTGAATCTAGAACATTGTTTGCTGTCTCTTCCAATGGCAAATAAAATAACTCGACCAAGAAATCAATATCACTGAAAATATAACAATAAACGCCTTTTTCGCATCCCCTGTCGTATTGTCAATCACTCCCTCGCAAATTATAGCCAATATCACCACTTACCACAATTACTGAGAGTAGAACTGTAGGAATCTAAAATACAAACCTATTTTCTCTCCAAAGTAATCTCTCATACTGTCTATTGGCAATGTCCAAGGAGGACACCAATGGAACTTGCATTCCTCAACCAGACAATCATTATCAAAATCTGCTCTCTCAGCCTCATCCTTCAATGAAACAAATAAGTTATTTAATTTCAATTCTCCAGGGGATTTTTGGACTTCTCCAACCAATTGCAAATCAATCAAAGGCTTAATCATGGGGGCCTTTGACAACCCCATCAATTGATAAGGGTCATGCAATGCAAAGTAACAGGCAATGTATTAATTCTCTATCAATTTTTTTACATTTAAAAATCTGCTAATTGTGGCATAAGCTATTTTGATCTTTTCCATATTCATAAATTCAGATCTATGTCCCTTCTCACTTACTTCATACTATCTCCACAATCCTTCACTAGGTTTAGTTACAAAATATTCCTGATAAGGTGCGATTGGATCAAGTCCTTGTCTATCCCATAGGTTTGCCAGAATCAATTTTTCCTTAAACCAAGAATTATTGAAAGCTGAATATAATTCATTTGGATCGCCAATTGCCTTTCGAAAGATCAGCTTAAACAGAAACCCCTTATTAGCAGCAACCTCCTTCTCTTTGTAACCATCCTTCACTCTTTTCAAATAATCAATCAGATATAACTGATAGATGTAATAGGCTTCCCAAACATCCCTCGCCAAAGGCTAATCATCTGCAATCTAGGTCTTCTCTGAACTCAAGTTAATCTTTAATTCTTTGGCCATCCACTAAATCAAAGGGTCTAATTCTATTTGCTTTTGAACACATTTTGCCCTCAACTCTTAATCACCCCATTTCAAAACTCCCTAGTAGATCTTCTAAGCCTCACTGTCGATTCTGGCTAGTTTCTTCTTCTGATTGGAATCCTCCTTCTTCTCCTCAATATAATTGGGAGCCTCCTTAATGAAATCGGGATCTCTGAGGTAATTCTTTAATCTCAAAGGCCGAAGCAATTTATCACAAGGCTCAAGCGATAGAATGTCAGCATACCCTAATTCGTATTACTTTTGCATTCTCTACAACTCTGCCTAGTATTTGACATACTCTATTTTGCTCTTCAGAACAACAAATATGAATTGATCATCACTGCTGATAAATTATCTACAATGAAAATGAGCATCTCTACATAATTTGGTAATAACAGTCATCCTTATCAGAGAGAGAAAATCCTAAGGAGTTTATCCAACTTGAATCCAGTCATAATCACTTTTATCCTCTGTCCACTTCTTATAGAGGAATCCCCCCTTGCAATATTTCTTGGCCACAGTTGAGAAGATGTCCAAATTCTCATTGGGCTTCAAATGAATTAAATTCAGCATTTAAATAACCTCCTGATTGATTTCCTCACTGGGAGTTCTTTGTAAGGGTTCGTCCTTCCTCAACAACTCCTCTACACTCTAATCATTGATCTATCGATATTATTCGTAGAAGGCGACATAATTTATATAATCTGGATTCTCCTTCAGAGATGCTCCCATCTGAGTTTTCCTCAATGACTCCTTAAGTTTCTTTTTGTCAGTCTCCACATAATCAGTCAATTATAAAAAGGAAGAAAGGAACACCTATCGTTGGAGTGTCAACTGAGATTGAGGGACTCCGCCTTCTGCCGATATTGCTAATTAACTACTGAATACTCTAAGGTTGTAAGGGTAATTATATACTTTTCAGCCTCCTTGATATCCACAGGACGATCGACCATCTTTTCCCAATCGGGATTTGGAAATTTCAATACAAGTTCTCCAATGTTGTAATCCGAATACACATCTTTAAGTTCTTAATATTCAGCTGTCGAAAGGAAATCAGTTCTGTCGATCCTCTCTTCCTATTCCTCCTATTCAGGATCTAAAGTGAAGTCCTGCTTCTTTTTAATTACTGGTTTAGCTTCTGTGTATTCGGCAGGGTCAGCCAAGTTCAAAACTAGTTTAGCGAATTCTAAAGCCCTTTATTGCTCAGTGCTCAATTTATGTAATCCTTTTTGATCATTCTACGGCTTCTATAAATGATCTGTCAATTATTATTCCTACTCATGAATCTATGACATTTCCTATTAAGGAATTGTCGGCAATTTCTCATCCTGCTTTTCTATCCCAGATTATGGTTATTTTTTTTCTTCGTTCTTCTACTTTTTCTTTGATGATATTCTCATGTCCATCCCTTTTGTTCTCAAAATCTATTGCCTCTTCTATTCTGGTTTATTGAACTCAATATTAATCATTGCAATTTAAATTATATTCTTTTGTTTGGTTATAATTTATATTTACTATTGTTCATAAATCAACCTTATTCAAACTTATCCAAAATCAATATAATACACTCTAACAATTAGAAAAACCGCTTAATTTTAAAAGAATGAAATTCAATAACACATATAAATAAAAGAATTTAAAATGTTGTTAAAATTATTTCTAATAATTACTTCTATCAAAAGAACTTTAAAACCTTCTTTAAATCGAAACATGCTTTTATGACTTTTAATAGACAAACTATTGATATACTTGACTACATATATAAAATAAGAATCACTTTTTGGCTAAAGCATATAAAAATATTCCAAAAGAAATTAAACTGGCCACTGTTCTAACTGCATGCAATTAACCCCATTTAGTAAGTAATTGTACTTTTTCATCTTACTGGATATCCTATTTTTCTAACAATATTTTATTTGTAGGCATAATCGCTATGAATGTGAATGGTATCACTGAAAGTAGTAATACACTAGCTTTTAAGGCTAGCTTGTTTTTATTTTTGGCATAGTTAATAACTCCGACTAAACCACCAAGTAAGGCTAAAGATGCTTACCATTTGGCTGCTTTTCTGTATGATGGTGCCCATTGAGCATGTGCTATATCAGCTCCACAACTCAATCTTGCAGGATGCTCAACTACATTTACGTAGATGGCAGCACCACTGAACAATCCAGAGAAAGCAGCACCTAAGAGAGTTAGTTTAGTTTAGCAATCCATTTATTTTAATTATCTTTGTTGAATTAAATTTATTTACGGCTTAAATATTTGCCAAAATTATAAAAACTTATGAAATCTGGTAACATTTAAATTATAATTTTGTTGTTATTATACTTCATCTCACTCCTAAATATTTTATTCCTCCGAATCCCTAGGGTTACTACTCTCTTTCTCCTATGAAAATGCTGAACTCATTTATGGTACTTCCTATTTGAGAATGTCTTAGGAATATTAATTAGCGTTATCCTTACTATCAACATTCTCAGAAGGCTCTTTTTCATTTTCCTATGTTTAGCATGATTCTTCCACTTATTGCTTCTATTAACTTCCACCCCTTTCCTTAAATAATTTAGACCAAGATTGTTTCTCTTTTGAGTAGGCTACCTTCAGATGTTCTTTCACTTTTTAGAGTTCCTCAATAACTGCTGTATTTTAAGGATCCAAATTATAAGCGGATTTCAGATCTGCCAATGCTTTCTCCTATTCTCCTATTTATTGCAATGCAATCGCTCTTCTATAATAAGCCTTTACATTTTATTAATTATTTGAACTAGTTTCTAAGGCTGCTTTAGCATAATCGATAGATTCCTTGTATTCTTGTTACAAAAAACAACAGATTGATAAGTTTAATTGCAAACTGGCTTTTAATTCTTTGCCTTCTTTTGTGTCCAAAGCACAATAAGTCAATGCATCTTTGTATTTTTCTTTGGCTTCAAAGTAATTCTAATTCTTGAATTATTTTGTTCCTTTTCCTCTGATTTTAAGTGCTTCTTCGTATTTCTCTAATGGATTCATTTGCCTTGATAGAACTGATATTTTACCATCTTTTCTTTTTCTCCAATTTGAAACTCAATAGTTCGATCTCATATTTCAGATTAGCATTTTTTGGAACATTCTTAAAGATGCATCCTTCTTCTCCATATCCATATTATGGACTTATTTTGAATTAAGACTTTTCTCCAGGTTTCATAGATTGCAATGCAATTTCAAATCCTTTGCATCGGTCTCCTCTCTTTAGAATGTGTTTGTGTGGCTTACTTTATCCTTAATTGGAATCAAATGGCTTTTCATCTTCCAAAGTGCCCAAGAAATATATTTTACAAGTTGAGTTGGTCTGAGGAGAGTCTCCCTGTCCTGCTGTCAGAATTCTCTTTTAGACTCCTCCATCAGGTGTAACATCAACAAAATCACTTTCCATTCTATTCTTTTTTTATTTATCTCTATTTCAGATTGTAACTCTCAATTATATTTTAATAATAGTACAATAATATTAAATTTTGCTAATCCTGCTAGTCCAGACTTTTAAAAACATTCAATAATATGAGTATGATATTTAATGAATATAACTGTTGCTAAATGATTTTATTAATATATTCATATGTAGTTAATAAGTGAAAATGATAAACATAATTATAATGAATTCATTTTTTATCTTCAAGTGGTGGAAGCTTAACTTCTTTTCTTGTTTATTCAGCCTCTTTCCTTCTTTAGAAATCTCTAATTCTAGTTTTCTCATAATAATCAGTAAAACTTAATGTTTTTTCAGTTCCATCACTGTTTTTCTCTTCCCTGCCAAATATGGTTTAGATCTCCTCATCTAATCCTCCTCTTCCGTGGCGGACAAACAATAGTTCTAATGTATCTTCTACTGTTATCTTGCCATGCTTAGCCTTATCATACATAAAGAACTAAACAATATTGAATAGATTTCTAATTAGTTTTATATGTACATACCTTGGTTCCAACAAAGTGGGATCAAAGATGCATCTTTTATACATCATTTGAAATTCGTAATAATTAATTCTCTTGTCTCCATCATCATCTAATTCCCATATGAATAATTCTGCTTCTTTTATTGGTAATAGGTAATCTACTTTTTCAAGTGCATCCATTAAGATCTCTGCAGTTATTCCTGGTTCAAGTGGTTTGATCTTTTCATTACTAAAAGTCATCAAGTAATTGAAAACAGAATATAGTCTCTGCTATTCTACATTTGATAGTTATTTTTCTGCTGTGATCTCCTCATAAGATCTTTCAACTTTTTTTTATTACTAACTGAGTTTTTAGGTGGTAGCAGCAGAAAATGACTTAGAGTGTTATCTCATTTAATTAGGCAATGTGTTTGACTGTTATGAGGTTGAATTCATTAAAATTATAAATTAAATAGCTAATATAATCAATAGACTTTTTTTTTAAACTCTTTATTATTCATTGAGTCCTTATCTTTGATAATCAATGAAGATGTGAAATTATAATCATCCATGTAATCTTTAACTTATAGTTCATTCTTTAATTTGAGATTTATTTAAGAAGTAAATCTTGAATTTGTGAATATATCATGCAAAAATCCTCCATCTTTATAACTGAATTCAAAATATACAATTTAATGATTTGTTTTTCTATAAATAAGTAATATTAGAGCGATGTGTATGTAAATTACTAAATTGATATTGAATTAAAATGCAGTTACTAAATTTAAGCAGGTATTTAATTGAATGAATGTTAAAGTAAAGTGATAACTAGAGTAAATAAATTTGATAAAGTTTTATAGATTCAACATTTATAAAATATTATTAATCTTTCTTCAATTTAATATATTAATTTCGAAAAGAGCGTAAAATTTGGAATGAATAAAATTTATAGTTAGTACAATTTAGAACGATTACGACTCTCATAATCTTAATCTGATTCCATCAAACTAGAGAGTAAGTATCTATGATATATCTAAGGAACTGATTTAAAAAGAGGAGTTGGGAAAAACGCAATAAGAAAAGTTTTTGGAATTGATGAATCAGGCAAACATGAGTATGACATTTACGAGAAACAATAACTAGATGCATTCAAAAAATACTTAGAGGATGAAAACGAAATGTAGTCAGATGAGCTTTCTCTGAGATTCTTATATGCTAATCAATTCGATTTTGATCAGACCATCAAAGTATATAAACCTATAATTAACTAAGCATCTACACTCACATCAGTAATGGGTTAAAAATGCAAATAATTTTAAGTGGACATTGAACACAGAAGAAATAATAGTAAAGAATTAATTAATAATTTTAAGAAATAAGGAGCTATTTACATAAGTGGTAGAGGATAAGGTTACAAACCAATTATTGTTGTAAACGCTGATAAATTGGATATTTCAATCTATCCTATTGAAGATATGATGAGAGCCATCTCTATTGTGTTTATGGTTGTAAAGGATTATATGCTAGTTTCAGGCAAGGTTGAAAGTTGGTTTGTAATTGTTGAAGCCAAGAACACTACAGCTTATAAGATCCCCTTTAATGTATTTGTATTTCTATTGATTGATAGCATTTGAATTAGATTTTCGAAACATTGAAACAAAATTTTCCATGTTATTTAGAACGAATATTCATTTTATAACCTTAGACATCGATTTAAATCACTTGGCAAATCGTAGAATAGTTTATTCCTTATAATTCTCGACACAAGGTGGAATTCATACATAATGATTATTCTCTATTATTCAATTACATCAAACAAAAATAATTAGAGTTTCGACACGGTGGCAGGGCTCCAAATGTATATGACTATTGGCCTCCTCATATTGATGAATTTAATGAAGTCGAATATATGTAGAAGTAGAAAATGGAAACACAAAAGATTAAAGAGTAAATTAACCTGCTTTAAAAAGTGATGCCTTTTACTTCTGTTATTGATTCTGAGGTTTCCAATTTATTAAGAAAGCAGTTCAAACCGAAAACCAAGATTTATTAAGAGGAAACCCATTTAAATACAGCAGAATACTTTGCAAATAAAACAGTATCGAAAACAGTCTTATTAAATGGGCCTAAAACTGATCGTATGAACTATAATGAGAGTTAAACATCATTGAACTATTAATTGCAATAAAAAGAACTGAATTTATCTCTAGAGTAGAATCAAAGATTTATGAATCATAACAATTAATTAAGTACTAACTTTAATGCTCAGTCCTAATAATAGCCAAATGGTATTCCTTTCTAAACTCGATTTGTGAGTTCTAAAACAAAAATTAATGAGTCTATGGGTTCGCTATTGAATGCAGCTAATCATAATCCCTTATTTTAATCGAGATTTGTTGGAGTAAAGACTTAAAATATAGCATCTAACAAAGATGTTAGTCTCATACTGAACAAGGAAGAATATGTATCAAACCACCACTCTCAATTAATGTGAGATTTGAAAAAGTTAGGAGAATATATTTTAGATTTCTTATTAAATCTTTATTATAAATATGTATATTCTATCAACCTAATAAATAAAGTTAGATGTTTCTACAGCTCCTTATTTGAGGATTCATTAAATTCTATTTGTAATTTCGACTTTTATTTTCATATTTATCAATATAAAAAGAAGCAGACCTAAATAATTATTTCGATTCATTCTTCGCTTGCCAATCCAAATCTGTAGACTTCTTTAATCTAGGACTCCTATATATGGAATTAATATACTAGCTTTAAAGGCTTGGATGAGATGATTGCTGAAGTCTTGAAGTAGCTTTTTATTGTACAACCCAATTTTATCAATTATTTGTTTTCAATTACTAAAGGGAATCTTTACACAATTCAATGTATTAATAGGAGTTTTCAATAGTTTTCATTACTTATAATGGCAGGATTTAATTCATTTGTGATATTGAAGACCTTATTTTCCTTGAACAATTAGTTCTGCAGGATTTCAATCTTTCAATCTAGCATGCTTGTGTTCTCTAAAATGTATTTCAATACATTCACACATATTAATACATGGTTCTTGATGTATTTGGCAGAGTTCATTTGAATTATAAGTAAATTATTAACTCATTTATTAATAATTTCAGGGTATGTTACTTTAATACTCATTTTCTAATTGGAGGACAAATAAAAACTGGCTGAATTGGATAACCAAACCTAAATAAACTTTTTGTGAGTTCAAATTTGGTTGCTCGAAGATAATTTTAGTATAAGTTTTATAAAATTATAAATTAAATAATGAATTTCAGCTTACCTGATGCTCTTGCCTTAATTAAAGAGGGGCGGGCCAATGAGGCGGTTGATTAGTTGAATAAATTTATTGAATGCTTGTAGCCTCTGAGTCCTTAGACCTAATTGTTGGGATAGCAACTTGGAATTGATTGTGACTTTTTCAGGATTGTTAAATTTCAGGATTTTTATGATCCTGATCCGTAGGTTTAGGCTTTACGATTTAAATACTATGCATACAAAGTAGCAAGTAATTGTGACAATTTGATACAATAGAATGGGGATATTAGATAATTTAATAAAAAAGAAAAGTGAAACGAAGACATGATTTAATTGAGAAATCAGAATCGTTAGGTATCTAGAATGAAATAGGAAGAACATTTGGGGTCGATGCGGAGTCAAAGCAATTGGCTGAGTCTCGTTTGCAATCAATATCCGAGAAATTATAGAAGAAGAAACAGATATTCTAAAAGTAATTGCTCTGCTAATTGGATATTGAAAAGAAACGAACTGACTACAAACTTCAATAGGAGGATAAGATAGAGAAAGTAAGAAAAGCTTTAAAAACAGATTATGATAACAAAATTGTTGCTGTAAAAGATCATCTAGAGAAAGTCAATGAGAAATTAAAAAATAATCACAGAATGAAGAAGAAGATGGAGGATGAATTGATAAACAAAAGAGGTGAATTACTAAAAAATGCTTCCTTGATGTATTATCTTTAATATGATGCATTAGAGATGAAAAAATAAATAAATTGGAGGAAATGAGGAAGGAATAGATTGAACATATGAAATAGGCAAGATCAATTAAAAAATAAAGGTAGCATTCTTTTCAAGAGAAATAGAATTAGAAATATGAGGAATATTTGGAGAGGATGAAATAGAAGCTAGATTAGAAAAGTAAGTTGTATCATCTATTTATAAAGGGGTTGTTGAATTTCATTCTGAAAGTCATAAAGATTTTGGTAAAAGACAAGTTTATGATAATTATGAAAAGAATCTTGAAAATATAATCGTTAAATATTAGAAATCATAACCAATAATAAATAGTTTACTCGCCAAATCAATTGAGTAAGTTCAATAAAAAAAGTAAATTGAGATTGAAAAATTTTAAAAAGTGAAATCTAATTAAAAATTGCATTTGAGTACTCCAAGAATAGAACCTAGGAAAGCGGATGATGTCTTAGAAAGGAAGGAGAGAAAATTGTAGGAGGAAACTATTTTGAGAAGAGAAACTTATTAATAAAGAGTTTTGAATTTTCTTTAAAATCGTTAACAATTATAGAGATTACAATCTCAATAGATTGAGAGATATAATGAATTTTATACTAGATAGAGTGCGAGATTGAAAAATATGAGGAATTCTCATGAATAAATGAAATCTACTGTAAAGTAAGTATTTCTAATATCTATTTAAGTTTTGCCTTAATGCAAGCCAATAGGATTGAAGAGTAAACAGCATTAAAGATATCGAGGGCAATTTAATTAATTAATGATCCTGATTTACAGATGTAGTTTAAACCAAATGAAAAATTAAATACTCAATAGAAGGTAGCAAAGAAAAAATAAGAAGAAATGTAATAATTACTAAAATCATTTGTGACAAGTGAAGTTGATTTGTTAAGATTTTCTAAATCTGTAACTGAAGTTAAAAATGAAGAAAATTAATAATAAAAATGATATCATATTTTATCATTATGATATATATATATTTATTTATTCTACATCATTATTATTATTTCTTTAATGTCTCTAAATATTGGTTATGAATCTTGTTTTATTTATCCCATAAATCTTAGACAACCTTTTTCTATTTTTTGGATAATTCATTTCCATCCTTATCTTTCACAGGTATACCTTTTTCATCAAACTCAGAGTATTTATCTAATTAAGATATGAACAGATCTTTGGGAGGAACCTTTGCCTTTTCTAATTTCTCCAACTCCTCTTATTTCTTTTTCTCTTCTTCTTTCTTCTTTAACAATTCCTTTTATTAAATCAATTTTAATTATTGTTCTCTCTCCAATTTCAATTCCTTAGGATCATATTACTTCCAAATGGATGCCTTATTATAATGCAATCTTATACTTATTCTTTATCTTCAATCTTAATTCCTAACTCAAATAACTCTTCATCTCTCAATCTGTCACATAATTAAAACAATTGCTGTTTATTTTTTTCTTAAGAAGCAGCCAACACTAATTATTAGAATTGGTTGATGCAATCTACGATTCCATTTGATAAGTTCTTCTCATATTAGAATTGCTTCTAAGAGACAATATTTGAAATTGCCTCAAACTCCCCTTTTCTTGCAGCCAATTTAACTTAATCTCTTATGGAGCATACTTCAGCCATTATTGACTTGATGTCTGACGAATTACTATTTTAGGCTTAATAATTGAGTCCAATTAACTATTGTTTTAACTTAAATATTTACTCCCAAAATAAAATTGACATATTGAACAACACTAGAAACCAGAGGAGCTCTAACGGTTTTGCCAGCAATTTGTACATTAACTTGGTTAATTAATTTATCAATTGCATCAATAACAGTTGGAAAATCAAAATTCTTAAGCAATGCTGCATGGATCACTTATTTTGTATTTCTAAGCAAATTGCTGATTTAAAAGTCGTTTTATGTCCACTTCTAAGGACCTGTGACCTATGATTCTCTCAAATAAATCTTAGTATTTTAGAAGAATTCTTGATAAGCCTTATCTTTTGATATTGCTTATTCAACTTGCTCTTCAGAGTAGTTCATAACTGCATCATATTAATGGATAGCAAAATTTAATCTGATCTATCGTGGAGTATATCTCTTGAGAACTTCATCAATGGTGAGGAAGTTCTTAAGAGATTTGGACATCTTACGATCAGCAATATTGAGATGACCAAGATGAATGAAATAATTGATCCATTGATCACAATTGAAACATGCTTCAGCTTATGCAAGAGAGTTATCATGATGAGGGAATATTAAATCAATGCCTCCTGCATGTAAATCAATGGGATTTCCCAAAATAGCACTAGCCATCACAGAGCATTCAATATGCCATCCTGGTCTACCTTCTCCCCAAGGACTAGGCCATTTAGGTTCTTCTGGCTTGCTTGCCTTCCAAAGGGCAAAATCATTAGGACTCTTTTTTTCTGATTATTTATTTGCCTATGATTCTCCTTCTCCTTCTTATAATAAATCTGCATTCGTTTCTGGTCTCATTTTAGGATATGTATGCTACAGTTTAATTTAAAATTAAAAATACTCCATCAGCCAAATATTTTTGTACATCAAAATACACACTTCCGTTGCTATCATAGGCATATCCATTGGCGATGATCTTTTCAATGAATGTAACAATCTCAGGGACATAATCACTGACTCTGGTAATAACATCAGGTAATTCGATATTGAGTGCTTCCATGGCGGAAAAGAAATCTTTCTCCCAAACCTTTGTAAATTCAAGAAAGTCTTAATTGGCTGATTTTGCTCCATTAATGATCTTGTCATCTATGTCGGTGATATTCATAACACTTAATAGATCATAATTAAAATAATCTCTTAATGTTCTTCTTATTACATCAATGCCCAAATATGTTCTAAACACATAATTACAATAACATTACCTAGCATGACCCAAATGAGAGTTACTGTATACTGTTGGACCACAATAGTAAAAGCTTGCAAATAAAATTGATATCATACTTCACTTATCTTCCATTTATAGGGATGAAGGGGACCAATTCACTTCCCTTTAAAGAATTAGCCAATTTCAAGCCGGTCACATATGAGTCTTCTTTAATTGATGGCTGCTTGTAGTGAGCAAATAAATCTTTTTATTGTTGCATAAATTAATTAATGGTTCTTGTTGCAAATTTAATCATTAATCAAAGAATTTAAATTCAATAATAAGAACTTAGTATAATTCATCGATATTTATAATATAAGTATTTATAATGAGTCCTCTTTAGGAATAAACATTCTTTGTATAAAATGAAATGGTTTTCCACTTAATCTGGTAGGAACAATACAAAAATCTTAACTCATGATATCATTATAAAATACTCATGTGATAATAATTCATTTTATTAATTTTATATATTTTTCATCAAGATACAACCTTAATATTGTTAGGGAAAAATTGAAAATCAAATAGAATACAAAAGATATTGATGCTTAAATCTTTTTGTTCTACCAGATAACCTCATTTTTGAATGAACTCTACAACAAAGAAATTTTTGAAAAAAAATTCACATTTCTAATTTGCATTCAAAATAACTATCTCCAATTTGGTTAGCGATGTTCGAGTTTATAAAACGAATTTTCTAGACTTAATCAGTGTTTTATATTTGATATATATATAATATTTATTTATCATAATATTAAAATGTAGAACAGGGATGGCAAAAGGAGATAGTTATCGTTAGCTGTATTCATAGAGAAACAGCTACGTTTGAATGATACAAAAATAAATTTAAATGGATTTGAACTCTAGAGAAACAATCAGAGAACGTAAGACTTCTTCAAGAATTACATACAGAAAAGAGATAATGAATTACTTCCCTTTCAAATTAAGAGATATACAGATGAAAGAAAACCTTAAATAATGTAATAGAATTCACAAGACTTTATTGTTGTTGAATATGTTGAAGGTGGAAAGTTTTTGGATGAAATCGATAGAATAACTATTCACACATTTCGAAAAATATTTTAGCAGTTGATTCACTCTGTTTTTTACCTCCATGAACGATAAATTTTAGCAAGATGTATCTCATCCTAAAACATTTACATTGATCAATTTGAAGATAAAATATTTTTGTTTGAATTTGGATTCAGCCCAGCTTGTCCCTGTAATTCAATTTACAAACCAAATCATGATATTAAATTGATAATTGATATTATGAATGATCTCTATTAAAAACGTTCGGGTTCAAATCATGAGTTTCTTGAGTTCAAAAATAAAATGGATAATTTATAAAGGTAGCTTCCAACAATAAATATAATTGAAAGTTATTTCTAATTATATCAACTTGTTGAAGGTAGTCCTTCAAATGAAAAATTAAGATAGGTATACACAGAGTAATGGGTTTTTGATATGACAGAAAAAATCAGAAATATCGACTTTGTATAACCAATTCCCTTAGCCGTATAAGACAATGGTCTTGACTCTGAATTAACAGATGGAGAATAGAAAACTCGACCAGAATTATAAGAACTTGCTATTACAATTTTTGAACAATAGTATCCTAATGAACACACTCAAGTAGGATTAATGCTGTTACTTTAGTCTATATTATATTAACAAACTTACCCAATCTAACAAGTTAATCAATCATAAATTCAAAAGTAACATTAAAAAATGAATGAAATAAATGATAGAAGAACAAAGATATCTAATAATTATCAAAGTATTTCAGAAGAATTTCGTTATATTATTTAACCTAACTTAGAGGAGAAGTAACTTGAACGCTAAAAGGAATTAATAAAGTCTTACTGTTATTATACTTATTATTCAACATATAAATAATTATTTAAAGCTAAAATGAAAGAATATAAGAATAAAAAAATAATATTATTCACCCTTGAAGAAGCAAGAATATGCTTACTGCTGATTGCGAGCATAGAAAGGTTTAAATCAATGGATATAGAAAATATATATAAATCTATGGAAATCTAAGATAAAATCATAAAGAGTTTGGCAATTTTAGAAAAATATAAACCACAAAAATGATAGAATGAAGTTTGATCATTATTAAACTTTCTTATATTATATCTCATTTTTCACAAATACAGGCGTAGGGTCATTCTTTGGATTAAAACTGATTCCATCCAATAAAAATAGAAGTGAAATTCCAATAAGCACATTCAATGTTCTTTTTAAATAAAAATTATACGAACCTTCTACTGTCACCTCACATTAAGGATCAGAATCTCTTAATTTCTGGATAATGTATAAGCTTTATTAATTCATCACATATCCAAGAATCAGACCCTGGCATTATGAGCTATCCCTTGTTAAATGCAATTTGAGTCTATTTTTTTGAGTGTCATAAGCCAATAAACCTAATTAAGTCCAATCTCTTACCTGATTCAGAATGATAAGACAAATCTTGATCTACAGAATTTAATGGGGTGAAATCTCCTTCGAAATACATGCATTGCTCTTCTTTGGTCAAAGTGAAATGTTTTTTTTGAAATAAATCTGCTAATAACATATTAGGAATCTAATTTTGTTTGTTGAGATGAATTGAAATGTTCCCCAAAACCATTTTGTTTTGCATCACTTAAACTCTGTAATTCAATCCTGACTTAGCCGATTCGTGGGTTAATCGTACTGTCTTTTCGAATTGCTATAAAGCTCTTTTCATAAATAAATTATAATATAATCATTTTTTTCTTTAAGAGTCTATAAGAGTAATGGACTTTTTATATGGTATTGCCAACTTGTCTTACGGTTTCTGATTCGTATGAGAGCTTCTCTAAGTTTCAATGTGATCACCAGCATTTTTAATAAAGATTTTGGGTCGCATAAGCCAAATCTTATAGACCCAGTTGAAACATTAATCTAAGGAAGACTAATCTTAAGATTTGGAATTCTTATACTTGAGATTCACAAATTACCATACCTAAACATAAAATGAATTAATTACAAGAAAACCATCCATATTTTAAAATGATTCCTATTAATCCCAACGAGATTCAATTTTCAAAGTGCCTTATTACCATAAATAACAACAACTCTACCATTTACCATATTCTTTTTCAGCATAATATTTAATAGCAATATGCATCATTTTGCTGAGTTTAATTGTTGTTGTACTGGTTTGAAGAACTTACTCGTATAATTATTAACCTAAAGTAATTTCAGATCTAAATCTAAAATTTATACACATACCCTGCAACTGAGAACTCGTAATTCAAATCAATATTGTGAGTGATTGACTTTTCTTAACTTAAAATAAGACTTGTCCTTTTGTTAAGGCTTGCTGTTTGAGATTATTCCAAGCTTTTGTATTAATTTTCAATAGCTCTACACAATTTAATGGTCTCCAGAATTACGAGATGACTCACTGGGTTTTTGTTGCCTATTCCTAAAATTAATTTTGTTATATTGATTATATCATCATCAGTAGATTTGATTAGATCCTTTAGAAAATGGGCTTTATTAAAATCAATCTCTATGTATTGCATAAACAGTTCTGGTCCTGACATATTGGGGTATTGGTATATGTTTTACACTAGGAATGATAAAAAATCATTAGGAGTAGTCTTCTGGTCTTTGGCTCTAATTTACAAGAGAAATATTAAAGGATTGATAAGTAGATAGTCGTCATTAAATCCTGGATAATCAAATAGATTTAGTTCTTCATATGAAAATTCACTAAAGGACTTTTAGTCTTTTCGTTTCAGAAGAGTTGCCAAATTCTTTACAGTAGTGCAAACTGATTTTTGTGAATCCATCATATTTTTTTAAAAGACATTGAATTGGAAATCCATTTCTTTTAAATCCAAGTTAATCTTTCTAATTTCCCCCTACGCTTTTTCTAAACTATTTAACTCCTCTAGTTTGGTCTCCAATTCAATATACATCTAAAGCCATTTCAAATTCTCTTCCTTGAGATGAAGGTTCTTCTTCTACTCTACTGCAACTCTCAGTTGATGTCCCTTTACCTTTTGAATGTACTTCTCTCTTAAAGCATCCAAACTAAACTAACAATCCTTTAATTAGGATTCTACAGCTCCCACTTGAATATCCAGTAAGGCTTTATATCTAGTTTATGACCATTGAGTATTGATATCGAGTAGTATAACCCAAAACTTCCATAATTATTCAATGAAGACCGCCAAAGTTTTATCATCTATAATTTTAATTAATGTGATTATAAAGTCATCCATTATATTGATTGCTTTGATGAAAAAATCAAATCTAAAATTATCTGTAATGTTTCTCTCCTTCTTTTCCTTCATTCCAATTTAATCTTTATCAGCCAAGGATTCATATAAGAACAATTCTTGCATCACATTTTTATCGAGATTTATCAGTGTTTCATACATTTTAAAGAGCAAATTGGGATGCTTGTCATAAAGACTCATTCCATGATTCAATTGTTGAGTTTCATAAAAGTTGATGTTGAGATGATTAATTACAGTAGGCTCCACTAATTTAATTTCCTTTACGATTTTATCATGGTTGTTGGACATGAAAGATTCTTCTATGTATCTTTAATATATTTGCAAAGGAATTTTAGATGCAGTCTAGGATTCAATGATTCTACTAGTATTTGTATAGCATTTTCTAGATGAGGATCCGATTTAGGCACTCTTGATCCTCGAACTGGTTTCTGTGTTTATACGAAGTACGGGCTTTTTGGTTCTATAAACTCTCTCTGTGTATTAACTGGCTAAATTTGTACTCAATGAATATGCTGATTTGGCAGATTTCATATTATATTTTATATATAAATAATAAGTAACATGCAATAAGAAGGCAGAACACATAATTTAGATACAAAATGAGATCTCCAAATAATAGCCTAAATGCAACTAGAAGCCATTTAAATTATTAATATAGTAAACTATTAATAATAAAAAATGAACCCAAAGTTGTCTATGGTATTACCTTTGCCGTAACTAAAACCTGAAAACAACGATGAATACGAGAATAGAATCACTTTCAGATTGTATATAGAGAAGCTGTTAAATTAAAAAGTGGGGAGGTATGATTGATGTAAAATAGATATCTGGAGATAATTTCAGGTATTGCAAGTTTGGCTAGTGTAGGAATATATATAGTCTCAACTTACTTTGATTCAGTGGAATGGCTGGCTACATTAGATATAGTAGTTTGTTCTTTATATTTGACAGAGTATTTATTGAAATTGTTTGCTGCTCAACACAGATTGCAATACATATTTTCTGACTTCGCCATAATTGAATTGTTGACTGTGTTTCCTCTTTTCACAATTCAATCTGTAGGAAGTTGGAATTATTTGCAAAGACTGATCAATATATCTCGAATTTTAAGAGTTTTTAGGATTGTAAGGATGATCAACAAAATATAATCGTTATCAGACACTGAAAATGGAGGAGTGATGAGATAAATATACGTGATATTTTCAACTGTTACAACAATAATCACAGTGACAGCTGGAGTGTTGTATGCATTCGAATCTCCAAAGAGACAAGAACTAATAGCCAATGATCCAAATAAAGGTTGTTCAAATCAAGTTGACAGATGCAACTTTCATGAAATGATATACTTCACTATAGTGACATTGTCGACAGTCGGTTATGGAGATGTAATTCCCTAAAGTGAAGAAGGTCGTGTATGTGTTATAGTTCTAATTATTATTGTGCTGGTGGTCATACCTAAACAGATGAATGAATTGATTAGATTAATGGGGTTGCAAAGTGTATATGCCAGATCATTCTACAAGCCAAACCATGAGATTCCTCATATCATAATTTGCGGCTATGTGAGTGTAGCATCTTTGAAGAACTTTTGCAATGAATTGTTCCATCAGGATCACGGAGGCTAAGACAAAAATGCTATCATCTTGAAACCCTCAATTCCCAATACAGAGATGGAGGACTTCTTGCACAATGAACGTTACGAAATGTTCCTGATCTATCTGCAAGGGAATCCTATGATCGAGAGAGACTTGAGAAGAGCTGCTGTGACTTAAGCTAAGGCTTGTGTTATTCTGACCAATAAACAGATTGTTGATAGTCATTCAGCTGATCACAAGAACATTCTGATTGGGTTGTTGATTAAGAAATTTGTGAATCATCTAACTGGATGCAATATTAGATTGTGTATGCAATTGATCAAACCGGAAAGTAAGATGCACTATAAATAATCATTGGGAGTTAAATAGATAACTGATTAAATCATAGTAGTCGAAGAATTCAAAATGAATCTGTTGGCCAAATCTTGTTTTTGTCCTGGCATCATTACCCTATTAGGCAATTTAGTTACATCTGCTGGGGAACAGAAGGAGAGTTTAGATTCCGAATGGCTCACTCAATACACAGATGGCATGGGACATGAAATCTATAGGACTGATTTGAGTTCCAAATTTCAAGGCAAAACATTTAGTGAAGTAGCTGCCATTGTATACAATGAATTCTCTGGCATACTTTTCGGATTGGAATTAGACTTTGGAAAACAAGCCATCATAACACTCAATCCCGGAGTCTTCGTCATACAAAATCAATACAAAGTTCATGCGTACATCATCTGCTAAGATAAGAAAGTGGCAGATCTCGTGGCTACTTATGATATGACAACGGAAGAAATTGCAAACTACCATTTCTCTTTGTCTTAACCCAATTCGGACAAGGACAAACTGAATGAAGAAGAAGAGAACTAAGTTGAAGATCTTCTGTTGTCTGGAAAAGATCAATTGGATGATCAATACATCATCGAGTAAGATTACCTCCTTCTTAATGAACCTGTTTCTTTAATGGATGCCACTTCAATATTCTTATTGGAATAACCTGAGATCAACAATCATATTGTCGTTTGTGGCATCCACCCTTCAATCTATTATTTTTTGCTCCCCTTAAGAGCCAAGTACTTGAAGGAAATTCAATACGTTGTTATCTTAGCACCTGAAAAACCTACTGATATTTGGGAGTACATCAATAAATTCCCAAAGGTGAAATTCGTGTAGGGATCTCCCCTGATTTCTGAGGATTTGCAAAGAGCCAGCATTCATTGTGCAGATAAGGCTGTTATATTCGCTCAAAGTTCTGATGCTAATAAAACTGAGTCTGAAGATTTCTTAGACTAAATGCATGATGCAGAGAGCATTTTCATTTACAAAGCCATTAAGAAAATCAATCCTTCAATTCAGATCATGATTGAATTGGTTTCCAGTTCCAATATTTAATTTCTGCTCGACAAGGATTATAAATATCAAAATGATTTCAAATATGAATTGGTAAGCATTGTGTTAATTAGACACCTCTATAAGCCTCAGGAGAAGTCTATATTTCTGCCATGATCGACACACTCACCTGCCAGGCTTATTACAATCCGCATATCGTCACCATCCTGCAATAAATTCTCACAGGCATGAGACAGTCAAATCCGATAACCAAAGAAATTGTTAAGAACTTAGAAATCAAGGATTCAAACCTATATCAGGTCCCTGTTCCTGAAGATTATCTAGTAATTAAAGATGTTATTTAGAACAAAACCTTTGGAGAATTATTTAATTACTTATCAATTGAGAGACACTTGATTCCATTGGGCTTATATCGGTTGGCTAAGGCAGTCGATAATAAGCACCCTTACGTTTACACGAACCCTCCAGCAGAAACGACTCTCACTCCCAGGGACAAGGTCTTTGTATTAGCACATTAATTACCCGCAGATTTGAGTGGAATACCATTCGATGCCAATTTTGATCAAAAACAGGTCAACAACAAAGAAGTGGAAAACAACAAGGCTTTGAACTTCCTCCTTGAAAAGTTGAAACAATAAACTTCTTCCTAAAATGGTGCCAATAGAGTAGGTGAGTATTTATACTATATGTGTAGTGAAACAGAAGAATGACAAGACTGTGATATTTCAAGGTCAGCAAATTAAATAAACTAAAAACATAGAAGCAGAAAACATGAATCTAAGTAATAATTCAAACGATCTAATTTAGATGCGGCAGCTATGTAGGTATTGGATTAAGTGAATGAATAAATTTCTATAGTTAAAGATTAAATTAATGATATTAAATCTAGCTTGGCTTAAAAGGAAGATGAGATAGTGGAAAAGTGTAGGAGAGCCATTAGATATGAATTGGGAACAGTGATTTATTGATGGTGAACAGAATATTTCGCTAAATTTTATATATATATATATAGTAATTAATTAATTTTAGTACCAGCAGAAACTATTAAACAATTATCTCACATATAAATGATATATGTATATTTGTATAAAAAATGAGAGTAGAAAAGGGGAGAGCAGTGAAGATTAGAGCTAAATTCAAAATTTCTAATTTTGTTATATGACGCAGTTTTAATAAGTATTGTAGTATGTTGTGATATTAATATATTTTTTACCCGATATTTCTTATTTCTTTGACTGTTAGAGTGCAAGTAAGAGTTTTTCGAAATACAATAAAGGGTCTAATTATTAGTATTACAAATGAGGCTTTATTTGAAATTATTTTTGATAATTCTAACTTTTACTTTCAAACATGTATTTGTTTGTTACAGTTAAGAAAAGTATTTTATTTTTGAGTCGAGGAAGATCTAGGTTTGTCTTTCGGGCCAAAATGGATACGAATTTCATGATTTAAAAGTTGGAAATATAAAAATTGAAATATGTGGCAATAATATCTAAATTAGAGCAATTATGAAAATAGTCGTTTTTTAAGGAATTTGTGAAAACAAATATTTCAATATTATTTTTTATGTAAAACAGAACTCTAGTTTTGGTGCTGTTAGTTTGCGCTGCAGTGCAAGTATTTGGAGAACCAGTTGTTGTCTCCTAATCCTTCACAGGAAATGATTTTGCAGATGCTGATGGTAAAAATATTAATTAATGAATTAGGTTGGGTTACTGCTGGAGGACCAGCTCACGTTACAGAATGCAGTGGCACAAAGATGTTCGGAGGTTTCAATAAATTCGGTGCTAAGGCTGTTGCAAGTAAAGTTTTTGAACTTCCCCCACATTCATTGATTAATTTGAAGCTTCAATTTTGGAAGTATGATACATCAATAAACGTTTAGGATTGACTCATGGGACAATGAAGAAGGATATATCTTTGTTGATGATTAATTAGTTTGGTCAAGAAAGTTCTAATACAATGAAGGTGATGGACAAAAATGTGGTCAAGGTGGTGATTGGAAGGAAATGCTCGTCAATCTCAATTTGAACATTAAGCACACCGGTCCAACAGCCGTTGTTGTTATCACATCCAACTTGAATGAAGCTGCCGATAATGTAAGATAATAAATGTGACATTTTTATAGGAATCATGGGCCTTCAGAGACTTTGTGATTGCAGTTGAAAAATGTCCAAATGGATGTTCTGCTTGTTAAGTTGACGAAAAGGCAGAGAGCTGCAGTTTCTGGTAATCCTTTTCTTCCAGTTGGGGAGCCTTAGATGCTAACTAACTCGGAGCTGATGGTTGGGATGTTGCTGGTGGAGCCTCATCTGCTACACAATGCGGTGCTGCTGCTTTGTTCGGTGGTTTTGATAAGACAGGTGCTAGAGCAGTCGTCAGTAAGGTTCTTAAGGTCAAGCCCCATTACAAGCTTAAGATTAAGGTTCTTTGGGCTAAGATTGACTCTTGGGACAATGAAGCTGCTTAAATCAAGGTCGACGGAAAATTAGTTTGGGAAAGAAGATTCTAATGGCATGAGGGTTACTTCGGTAAGATCTGCGGTTGCCCAGTCTTCGAATGGAAATCAATGTTTGCAAGAACAGAAGTCGATATTGATCACACTGGTGAATAAGCCAAGATCGAATTCACATCCACTCTTGATGAAGCACCAAACAATGAATCTTTCGGTTTGAGAGATTTGTACATCTACTTGGCTGCTTGTTCTGACAACTGTGCTGAATGTACAGGACCAAAGGATACTGATTGCAAGAGTATTATTACAATATATTCTAAATAGAATGCTCCAACAACTGGGCTTTAGTCGGAGGTAAATGCCAAGCCTTACCAAACTTCATTCTCTTGGAATAATCCTTCTTGGAAGACAAATTCACAGGAGTCAACGGTTGGGTTCTCACAGGAAACAAGGCAGGAAGAACAGTTGCTGAATGCAATGGTAAATCAATGGTTGGAGGTTTTGATATTATGGGTGCTGGTGGTAAGGCTACCAAAACATTTGAAATCCCACCACACAAGAGACTTAGATTATAAACAACCATCTATAAGATCGACTCCTGGGATGGAGAGTTCATGATGATCAAGGTCGACGGAACTGATGTTTGGAAGACATCTTGGAATCTTTAAACCGGAGGTGCCAATATTTGCGGACAAGGTGTTTGGTGGGACGGTTTCACCGGTGTTGATGAAATCTTCAATCATCAATCTCCAAAGGCTGAAATCATCTTCACATCTACTTTAGATCAAGATGCTGCCGATGGTATTGTTATCTTTAATTGCTTTAGAATCATGGGGTTTCAGAGACTTCAAATTATGGTATGAACCAAAGGAAGCCTGCGCTGTCTTCTACAGTGAATGCGACTTCAAGGGAGCTTCATTCGAATTCTGCTCTAAATCACCAAACTTCTAGAATGACAACATTCCTCCTTAAATTAGATCCATCAAGGTCCCACCTTAAGGAAGAGTCACCCTTTACGAGAGCACCGATTATAACGGAAAGAAGGTCACCTATTCATCAGATCAAGCTTGCATCCAAAGCTTTGATGTAAATTATTTTAATTAATAAATTAGTTTGCCCTTATCCAAATGAGCGGACACGTTGAAGGTGGCTGGGTTGAAGTTGAATAATGATCTAATATATACATATCATAGGGATCTAAAAATAACATCATTTTTAAATATATAATAGCAATATCATTTAATTTGTGATAATAGTCCAAATTGTTCAAATAATTGATCACAATAATAAAATTGGTGGCTAAATAACTCCTATAGAAACTAATCGATTGCCTTCATCTGCTTTTTTACTGTCTCATGATCCTACAATGAAACCCTTAGGTTTCTTTCCTACTATATGATCTTGGTGGCCTCTTTTATCTCCTCGATTGTCTTCTTGCACTCTGTCACAATTGTTCTTTTCTCTGTCTAAATTGTGAATCTCAAACTATAGTAAACAATTTGTGCAAATGCCTCTGACACTTCCGAATTAAAGCAATCCACCTTGATTTATTTGATCTACAAAAAGTACTCCTTCTAAATAGAATTCATGAACTTATTGCTATGTCTTTGTATTCTGGTCTCCTCTTCTATCTTCTTAACCAAACCATACTTATTCATAATGGCTTCTGGAACATTGAAAAACTCTAGTATTTCTTTCCTCATCAGAATGGGATTCTAACTCATCCCATCCAACCATTGTTGAATGTAAAACAATTTCTTCTCAAGTTCAGCATCCCCATAGGATGGTTTAGGTAAATGTCCATTTGCCAATTGATATAACTCTACATATTGGCAATTCTAGACCCATTGATCATTCTTCACTTTTATGGTTATGGGAATCAGAGTTTTATGTTAATAGTTAATCAATTTTTTAACCACTTGCCTTCCAACAATGAATTACACCTTTTCCATCTTCTATTAAACATAAACGCCACTCTCACTCTCATCTTCGGATAAATTGGCTGAACTCAATTCATCCTTATACCTTTCATAATCACTTTTCTTGTCATCATATAAGTCACTATTTTAGGATTTGTTGTCATCATTTTTATCTTAAAATTCTTCGAAACTTTTAATTCTCTTAATCATTCTGTTCCTCTTTGCAATAAGTCCTTCATCTTTTTATTTCTTTTTCTTCTGTTACTTTTTCTTGTTTAATTCTTATTGAATCTGCTAAGGAATCACAATCAATTTATCAGGATATTCATTATCTTCAACAAATGGAAATTTTTATTGAATTTAAGGAATAGGTTCTTACTTTAATGGACTCTCAATCCCACCTAATTTATCGATATCAACAATTTATTATTATTATTGAACTTCAGGTTAGATCTCGTTGGATGATTAATGTTCATAGCATTTCAACTCTTCCAATTGATCCTCTTCAACGTTCCTTGTACCTCCCTTATTTATTTTATCAATCTCATCGTCAGAACGAATCCCTTATTGTTGCTCTTACTTTTGCTCATGATCTTATTTAATTTCTCTTTGAGAGAGGGATCTCTTTTCAGAAGCTTGACTTCTTCGAACGAAGTGTGTTTTTGGGATATCCTCCTTAAATGAAGGGTAGGAGATTTCTTCTGATTGGGAGTTCTCTTCAATAATAATTTAGGATGATCTAACTTTTAGTTTGTTTTTGTGTTTTGGCGAATCAACAACTTCAATTTGCTTATCCCAGATGTCATCTTCATCTTTAGAAAATACAATGTCCATGATGGCTGGTTCAGGATTTTTAACATCTAATTTGTTTGATTATCTCGTTTGATTAATGAGGAATTAAGCCACTTAAGAAGTAGGGTGTTGTTATTGATGACCTTATCCTTATAGCTATTGATGATTTTAAACTTATTGAGTCACCAACAGAGGATCTTGGACTGTGGATTCATTCAATTCATGTAATTCGATCTCTTCAAAATAAGTGTTTGGTTGAAACTTCAATAGGATCAAGTACTAAGCTACAAAACTGTCTTATTATTCGAAGAATTCACAAAAAGGGTCTAAAAAACGCAATGATATGAATAGTTACTGTATTCCAATGGGTCATCTCCTCTGTATCGTTAGTAGATCACCAGGAGGGATGAGAGCACTAAGCTGAGTAGGTCAAATAATTTGAGAATGGCTTCGTTGCAAATTAAATTGAATAGAAAAATGAAGGGCAAGAAGTTTAGGAGTGATTCTTGATGAAAGATTACTGTGATTCCAAATGAGTAAAATAATCCAATGATTAAGAAGAGACAACATAAAGCAGATAGTAAGTCTTTGCTTAGGAGTGCTATAAATAATTCAATGATTTGAACGATGGCGATTTGGAGTTGAAAGCCAATCTTGACCTTTAAGGCAATGGTTTCTGGTTTATTTCTAACTTACTTGTATCCTTTGATTTTCATTTGCGCATAGCCAGCATACACCAGAGGAAATAGTCCAATAGCAAATTAATCCATAATAATTAATAAAGTAATATTATTATATCACTATGCGAAGGTCACTAATTTGTCAGGACAGTGGGGTTGCTGCGGTTCTGAATGGGAAATCTCAATTGATTACCCCTCCAAAGTAGTGTTGCTTTCCTTCTTCGTATAGGCCATTTCAGAATAGCGAACACGCTGATGCAATCTTCTATGTTCTCTTTGAATGAGTATGATTATAGCAATTACCAGTAACACAACAACAGCAAAAACTCCAATAAATACATATATCGCTATGGAATTAGAGTGATGAGATTATCTAGTAGAATTAGATGAGTTCATCGATAAAATTGATAATTATTTATTTATTAAATCTATTTTCAATTTATTATGTGCTTTTACTCGATTTCGATCTTTGCATAATATTCACTTACCCTAATTTAGATAATTAAAATATTATATAATTTAATGAATAAGAGATCTGTAACTTAGACTGAGAGAGCAAACAGTGCAGCAGCAGGCAAGACCCAAATTAGTACATAGCACAAATAAACTTTTATGACATAAGCATAGAAAACTGAGCATTTGTATAATCCCATTGATATATTTAAGAATCAATGAAATAGTTGAACAGGAGTGTCCTATCTACACGCAATATAAATAGAAGAACACTAAGTATCCAATCATGAAGATTAAGGAATTTAAGAAGCCGAAAGCAGACCCTGTCGATCATACTGATTATATTAAGTTTAAGACTATGAAGAATAACTTTGTGAAAGAGTACAAGGAGAAATTAGATAATTATTTTGAAAACAATACGAAATATGAAAGAAGATTCTTCAAAATATATCACAGGAAAGATCAGATTTATTTTAAGCATCAGCAATCCTCCTAAAAACACATTGAAAATCCAGAAGTTACTGACATGAGAACATACAATTAGATCCTGTAGATGAATCAGCAATAGACTCAACGAGCCAATTACAATAAACAACAAGAAAAGAGGAGAAGAGAATTGAAGTTGGAAGAGAAGGAAGAAAAGGAGTATATTAAACTCATTATGGACAAGTTCTTGAAAGAAGAATAGAAGTATTTTGACAAATTGAGCAATTTGGAGGAGCAAGGCCAATAGATGTTTCAAGAAAAAGTACAATTGAGAAATAAATATACTCATGATTACATTAAGAATCCATAAAGGGAATTCGTAGAGAAGAAGGATCTCATCATAAGCAAGGCTATACAAGTTCCAGATTACATGAATTCATCAGTTATAAGCAATGCTGGATCGCAAATGTAATCATAACCAACTCTAGGTTAAGCCAACATGCCTTTCTCTAGTGCATTCTCGAGTTTCCAATAACTCCCATCTTTTAAAAATGTGCTACATCGAATGAATTCAAATGCTCTATATCAGTTGCCAGTACCATAGATTCAGGAATACGACTTAAAACCAGGAGAGCAAATCAAAAAGCCATCTACTTATCAGACACAATAGATTTTAGATCTCTAGAGATTGATTACATTAAATGAAAAGATTGAATTCACATTTAGAATCGTCAGTGATCCTGCATTGTTAAGATTGGTGGATACCAATGGCTGCACACTCTTGCATTAAGCAGCCTTGAAGGAAAGAAATGGGATTGCCAAGTTTCTGTTGATTAAGGGGATTGATTACAAGAAGACAGATAACAAGGGAAGAACTGCTTTGGACATAGCGATTTCATAAAAAAACCAAAAACTTATAGATTACATCAATTAAATTAAGAAAAAAGGACTCAAAGATATAAACTGAAATCATTTTGTATTTATTCTCAGAATTCTCAATTCAATTTCATAAAATAATAATAATACCAATATGTAAGTCGATCAACCTCTTCACACTCCAGCCAAAAAAAACTGCACCTTCAAAGTCGATGGCAGACCAGATGGAGAAGGGTATTACTTTAAGTCATATACAAGTTATTTGAACAAGAACGATTCCACATATGGCATCATCGTCATCTAGGAATGGTGGGGTTTGAATGAATCAATGGTCAAAACCACTGACAAACTTGCTCAGAAAGGATTCCAATGCATCTCTCCAGACATATACAGAGGAAAGGTTGCCCAAAATAGAGAAGTATCATTTCTTTGTTCTAGAATAATCCCAGGAAGCTGGCCATCTTCTAAGTGGATTAGATTGGGAAGGAGCAGTAAGAGACATTGAAGGAGCAGCAAAACATTTAAAAGAGCTTGGATGCACAAAGGTCGGTGTTACAGGGTTCTGCATGGGAGGAGCATTAGCCATAGCATCCATCTCATTCTCCAATTCAATTGATGCATCAGCTCCTTTCTATGGAGTGTGTGATTTGAACACTTTCAAATTGGATAACATCCAAGGACCTATCTATGGTCATTTTGGAGAGAAGGACGAAATGAAAGGATTTTCATCGCCAGACGATGGTCAAAGATTAGTTGATGCTGGAAAGAAGGCAGGAAAAGATGTCACAGTCAAGTAACTATGAATTGCTATTTCAAATAGAATTTGGCCAGGTGTAGGACACGCCTTCATGAATCAAGATAGACCAGAGGCTTATAATGTGGAAACAGCACAATAAGCCTTAGACGAAGTGACAGCTTGGTTTAGAAAGGTATTCACATAATGATATATTTATTATTAACAGAGTCATTATTTGTTTATCAATCTATTTTATACAAAAGTGAATTGAAATCTTTCTAAACTTAACTAACTCCCTCACAGAATTCCCACTAAATATAATACTATAATTTTATAAATTTTTTCAATCAGAGACTATAAACTCTTCATACTCTTCGATTAATTAGTGAACATAATTCAAGATTTTGTATTCTTACAAAGCAATTTTAAAACATTGTGAAAAGTCGTAGTATTGTGAAGAAGTGATTTTGAATCGTTTGTGAATGATTTGCAAGTCTTATTTCTTGAAAAACCTAACTCCGTAGAGCAATAAGTTTAATTTGCAAAGTATGCTTTTGCCCATCTCCGCCTCTTCAGTTTCATATATTTTATTCAAATGCCTTTAAAAAAACTCGTACTCTAAAATTTAAACCAATTTGGGTATTAGATATTCTTGGCCTAAACTAAGAATCTGTTGTTCTCGAGTTTCCCCTAAAATGATTGGCTTGATCTCATCCCAATCTTCAATAAAGTCTTAGATCACTAAATTATCATCAGTCAGATCTTTGACAGACTCAACAGCCTTCTGTTTGAACCTATCAAAAATCTTCTCGTTTATTATGGCTTTTTTTGAATGAATTAAATATAAGTCTTCTCTCGTTACAGCCTTTATGTTGTAACGAAAAAAGTAATGGAAAATATTGCAGCAATGTGAAATAAATCGTTGTCGTCCTCTGCGTTGGATTAATTCAGATAACATTGCATCTTATGAACAACTGTTCACAAAATTCTCAATGAATTAATTGAAACCTAACTAATTCACATAATGTTGGAGATCATCTTTATTTATTATTGCATATTTGTAGATGTCCATTCTTCTTAAGAGTTGTCTGATATTCTTCCAAGGTATACCTGTCTATTACAAAGTTAAAGACAAGTAATATTTAAAATTTGTAAGCTGCACATTTGTCAAAGCATACTTGACATGTCGTTCTCTCAGCACTTAACAAGAGTAATTGGGTGAATCCAAATGATATATTAATTAAAAGAAGAGTCTAGCAAATTTCAATTCCTAAGTGGCGACGTCAATATTCTCAAAATAAGGTGATAATGTGACATCTGATAGGATTTTTTTATACATGAGTTTGGTGATGGCTTTGATGCCTTCTTCTCCTCCATAAATTTCAAATTCCAGTATTTCATTAAGTATGTAAGGCCGGACATTTTCGATCCTTTCACAACAATTGAACATTTTTTCTGTAGAGATGTTCAATTGCATGTACTTATTAAGAAAGTGGTACTTAAACTTGAAAAAGTGAGCATGTGTTAATTACATGCCTAAATGTATGACTCTTAGACGAGGCAAGTCTAAAAACATTTATTGATCATACGCAGTAGCTAGAAGATTTCTAAATACTTATTTCACTCCAGGTTGATTTTTATTAGGAAACTTAACACTCAACATGTTATCTTTTCTTGTAATATCCAAATATATTTGGTCCACTTCAAAATTCAGTAACTCATCTGTCCCTTGAGGCTTCGGTGCTACTTTCCGCTTTCGAGACAGGTCCATCAAGTATCCCTTAATTATTTAATCCTACGATTTGATTGGTACCAATTACTATTAACTGTGAAACTTAGTTGATTTTCGAATAACATCATTGAATAATTCGGAGTTTCGAATTAAGCAATAGTTTTTATCCTTTTATTTCCACTCGTTTTTACGGAATTGTGATAGACCTGACATGTTGCTCTTTTCACTTTCTAATGTTTTAAATCGCAAACTCAACGGAGGATCAATATGTGTGGTCTTAGATGTGGTGATGGCATAACTAAAATTTTATTCAATTTGAATGGAATTCTTCTGAGGTTGATATTTAGTAAGTAGGAACACTGGATTCTGTTTGGGCAGTCTTCTTTTTTCAGGCTGCTTTTGTCTGATAGTATACGTTTCCAAAAAATCCTTAAACGATTTCTGAGTGTCTTATATCATAAAAACAAATAAAAATTTAAATCAATCAAAAACAATATGTTTCTTGTAGTCATCAATAACATCGAGGACCCATTATAGTTTAGATGGTTCATCCTGCATGACAGCCTTCATGGCCTAAAATAAATAGGGAATGTTAACTTATTAAAATTCAAAATACGCTTGTTCACGAATTCGTAATCTCTTGTGAAGTACTTCAATGTCTGTACGTTTGTAGAAATGCAATCCGTACAGAATCAAATTTAATTTGCATTTCAAATTGGGACCAACTTGAGATTCATTGTCCTTTGATAAAATGATAAAACTATTTTACTTCAAATACTTTGTACAGCAGTGGTCGTTGCATGATTTCATTTTCTAATTTAGATGCAATCCGATTGACAACCGCCTAGCCTCCAAGCAATTTAATAGTAGTCTTTTTAGGTTTATTCATTAAGATGGGTGTAATTTCCTCCCAATCCTCTTCGAAATCACTTAATAAAATTGGATCATTTGTTACTTTGCTGACTGCTTGCATAGCTTTTTCCTTGAATTTCCTATAGACCTTCTCTGAAATTATGGTTTTGTTTTTATGAATAGATTCGATGTCATCATCAGTGATTGATTTCACATTGTCTCTGAAAAAATAGTGAAAGACATTTTCACAATGCGCAGTAAATCTTTACTTCCCTCTCTTCTAAACTAGATCATAGAGAATGGGTTCACTCGAGCACAGACGCACAAAACTCTCAATAAATTCTCTGTATCCTCCAGGAGCATTATTGATGCATTCCTAAAGCGATGGCTTATTCAATATAGCAAACTTATAGGTGTCCATCTTCCTTAGCAATATTCTCAAATTTTTGTAGCTTATACCTAACTTTTGTAGAGCAGTAGATAGATAGAATTTGAAATTAGCCAATTGAACATGTGTCAATTTATACTTGACATGTCTTTCTCTGAGCACTTCAAGTGTATAGTTCGGAGACTCAGTATGATCTATTAATTATGCGAAGAGCTTAGCAAATTTAGTGGCCTACTCTTCCAATTCAATTGCCTTGAAATACGGACTTAATGTGTAATCTTTGAATATCTTCTCGTACATGTTCTTAGCCACTTCATTAATTCCTTATTCTCCTCCGAATATTTCGAAATCACTCCTCTGATTAAGAATCAAAGGTTTAAAATTTTCCAATTTGTAACAACCCTTAAAAAGCAGCTCTACAGGAGTCTCCATCTCCATATATTGATTGATGAACAGATATTTGAATCTAATGAACTATTCTTTCTTTATAAAGAGTGGAGCATGAATACTCCTCATCCTGAATTGATCAAGTAGTATTTCCTAAGTGTATCCTATTCCCAAAATACTTTTATATATATCCTTCAGGTATTTGAGGTGTTTTCCATAGTACTTATTTTTTAACTGCCGATCTAAAATGACTCTATTATAAAGAGACTCAGAATGCTAATCAAGGAGCTCGTTGCTACCATATTATTTGATTTGGGTCTTAATTATCTTTTAGAATTTAGTCTCAAAAAATTTGCTTATGATTTCCGTTTATGTCTTTGGAAGTTGCTTTAATTCACGGTGTTGCTGCTACACTTTAGGTCTTCTAAGCTACTCAAGTTGCTCATGGACATTTCTAAGACTGTTGCTATGGGGATTCCTAATCTTATGTTAAAAGGGAGTAAATTTGAAATGAACCGGAGTATTGGGTAGAACAACATCGCAGATCTAGGAATCACTAATCATTGGTAAATGATAGAGCGTTTTGGTTGGTGACTACTCTTGACTTCTAAAACTCTTCACTTTATTTACAAACTCATTAATTGTGACCTGACTTTGTGAGCCATGCTTAATTATGAACTGATTCCGAGGTTCCTAGTGTAGTAAAGAACTTAACTATTTTTCAGATCTTTATTTCTTTGACACTGTTGGAGAAGTCTAAAGTGAAGATAATTATCCTGTGCATTAGAATTTTTGATCGTCCTTCATCTATTGCTATTGCATGAAATCTCTAAATGTCATGCTTTTATTATCATTCTTGAGATTCTCAGTTGGAAATTTGAATGGACATCTAGAAGAAGAGGTGACATTACTCATAATAATTATAATTTATATTTATCCTGATATTTAGAAATATAGTTAATAATCTATTTGTAAGATCAGAATATCATATTATGACATTAATTCCATAGAGAATAGAGAAGATTAATTTTTATTTTATTTTTCCTAGACCTTCTTGGTTTGGGCAAGGTTCAACTCAATATACATATTTCAACTAAATGGAACTATCATTATTGACTCCCTTATGAAAATTGTTATTTCAATACTACTCAACTAATTAATTACGACATCATAATTGATATGCTTAATTATAACTGAACAAACTATCTAAAGTAAAGAATTTATGCTTTTTGTTAATCCAAAAGTAAAATTTGAATATAGTCATAAACGTAAACTATAACATTTATGAATATCAAAATGGGAATTGTAAGAATTATTCTCTGTTTTCAGTCTATTTTATAACAATTAAATAGTTATTTAGCACATCTTGATATTTATTTAGTCATACAAATCAACACTTCTAGTTTTAAATGAAATATTAGCTATGAACACCAAATTTTTCAAAGTTTCATCAGTATCTAACTGGTTATTCAATTACAATATCACCATCCATTTTAAAGTATCAGCAACATGTATAATTTCACTTTAAAATTTGTCAAAGCCACTTACTCTTAAATATGTTCTCATTTACAATTCAAGTAATCAAATATTGTTATCTTAAAATTTATTATCCCAATATTTACAAATAAATTACTTAAGATTATTTCAATATTCTAGTAGACAACATCTAATTGATCAGATTAGAACTAACTGAAAAAAATAAACTCGATTATTTTAGTTAAACCATTAAAAACAGTCCAATAAAATGACTATACTACTAATTTTATTCTCCTGAAATGTTCAATATTATTGTTAGATTAATAATCATAATTAAGCCTTATATGGGTTAAATATAGTAATAAATTTTAGAACAATTTATGAGGTATTAATAATGGATTATCTTATGTGAAATATGGAGTGACTAAATAATTAAACATTTAGGTAATTTAGTCACTTTTGTATGAGACTCCTATAATAATCAAAATACAAGTTTAACTTTGTTGGTTTGAAAGGTTTTGGATTATATGTCATTATTTTTCACATATTACCAAATATGTTTATACTTTTAAGATATTGGAGTTTCTATTGTTAATAAATTATTGTATAATCAAGTGTATTTAGGCTTCTTTCATTTCATTAAATAGAGAAATTAGCAAGTATGATAATCTGAGAATTCATATGAGTAGATAATTTATTCAAAGTAAAATATAATTGAAATTAGGGATTTAGAAAATACTCCTGAATTTATTGGAATATTTTCTATTTGTATTGATTGGCCGAAATAGAGAAGTAGTAATTAGGGTTTCTGTAAAAAAGTCTTATTTTATAAATATATTAAATATAAAAATTTAGCTTAATTACGAATAATTTCATTGTAATTAAAATCGAAAATAATTATTAAGATTTTTATTTTAAAATTCCTTATAAAGTAATTAATGTAAAATAATTTTAATTTTCAAAATAATTAGTTTATAATAAGTCATAATATATATAAAACTATTCACAGTAGTGTCAATTTAGTCTAAAGGGGTTCACATTTTAATTTGAAACGAAATCTGTTGCAGGAGTGTGAACTTATAACTTGGCTTATTTTGGGGATAGATAAAAAAACAATTAAGCTCTAAATTAGTAAGATTTATATACTTCTAAGACAATTGGTCGGTTTCATCAGTGAAGAAAGGGTGACCAATGCAGTCTTGAGCATTGTATCTTAGTTTAGGGTCTAGACTTAGCATTTGATGCAATAAATCTTAGGCATTTTTATTCTAAATGTGAGAACTGATTCTAATGTCAGCTGCTTAATTTTGCCAATAATCCTCATAGATCGGTCTACCAACAAGTAATTTGTGGAATACAGCTCCGGCACTGAAAATGTCTATTTTTTCAGTGACTCTAGATGAGGAAAATACTTCTGGAGCCATGTATCCGACGGTGCCAGCCCTGGAGTTGGAAGTGTTGTTGATTGCCGAGAGTCCTAGATCGATGATTTTGATTTGTAGAGGGTTAAAAGAAGCAATCATTATGTTGTCATATTTAATATCTCGATGTATAATTTTTAATTGATGCAAGTGATTTAAACCTATTTTTTGAAATATTCAATATGTTATACCTTCTAAAATTTGTTGCATCACTTCTTAGATGATGCTCATCGGTATTTTAAAATTGTACCTCTTCTGAAGGTCTAATAGCGTGCCATGGGATAGATAATCCATTGCAATGTAGCAATGCATATTGTCAATGTAATATGAGTTGAAGCCAAGTACGTTCGGGTGAGGATTCTCCCGAAGAAGCTTAAGGGCTAGTAATTCATCAGAAGACTAAATAGTAATGGTTACTTACAACTGGATAATCAATGCGCTTTAGAACTTAAAACTAATTTTCTTGTTTACCAAGGATTACCTAAAAATGGATTTTTAAACAGTGATACCTAACTTTTCGAGTTGTCTCTGATGTGTTTAATATATTTGTAATCCGATTCCCAGTTTGCAAAACCAATAGACCCGCTTAATATACTTTTTAGCTGGCTGAGCTGGTCATTGCTGGCACTGAAAGTGTACTTCTTGGCATTCTGTTTGCATAGGCTGAAACTTTCAATGTCTCTAGAATGACTATGTCGAATGAAGATAAAATTTACTGAGAGTAATCCCAATGTACAACATATTGTGTAGTTTAAAAATCGAATTCTTTGTCGATTTTTTCACTTTTGCTGGTTTTTCTCAATCCTGTCAAAGAGAGTCGGTCTTGATAAACCGTTATTGTAACAGTACATCCGTTTCTAATGATTTACGATAGCTTTGTAGAAAATATATAAGACTGAGAACAATTTTTCATAAGATTATAATTACAAGCGGTTTTACTCTCTATTATTCGAATATATAAACTTTATAAATGAATATGCATCATGGACATTAAGATTCTATCCTCAACACTTCTTTGGCCATCGTTGTAATCAGTTATCATAGAACTAGAACCAACACCACAACACTTTTGACATTCTGGTCGACGATGAATCAGAGCACAAGTTCTGGACCAATAAAAGGAAATATCAATTCAAATGTCTGTTGAGAAGAATAGTTCTAATGGTCTACAACTCTGGCCCAGTTTATTTTAGTTACATGCTTGTGAGTCTCTACATTTTTAAACTACTGCGCAAGGTTGATACAGACAAAGCTTTTCGATAATAATACATGAAGTAATCCATATCAATCTATATCGCAATCAAGGTAATACTTCTATGATTATATGCTGTGTATATGCATAGCCTGTATTTATACGATATTTTTGTATGGTCTGTTTAATCATTCAGGTAAATTCAAATCTTCAATATTAAAGAATTGTCGGAAGTGAATCGTGAATATTTCCATTGGTCAGTCAATTGTGTGATGTTTATTATGCTGTATGCTATATTCATTACTCAAAAGGAGTTGGTTAAAATAGAAGAAGTGGAAATCGAGAAAGCTGTAAGCAAGTCTTCATATTATTGTCTAGCAATAAATTAGAACTCAGAAAGATAAGGAACAAAGATACGTATTTAATTTCAATTTCTCCTTCCTATTCAGCCAACAGAACTTCTACAATATTGGACTAGGAAGAGCTCACATGGATTTCATCAAAGCTCAGGATTCTCAAGACAAAGATAATCTCAACACTATTCAACAATTCTCAAAATAAGTTGATCACATCATTGACAAAGAAAATCTAGATCCAACCATGATTTACTTTAGCATGTGCTCAGATTTCATTAATAGCGAAATATAGGCATCGCCAATGGTTAAGAGAAGAAAATCGAAATTGATTAAGGAAGTCGAGAAAGCAAAATCTGTTTTGGATTATCTTTAGGATTTGGGATTCAATGGAAATCGTAGTGTTTTCTAGCATTTTCTACTGCCACATTATATCTACACCAGAAAGTTCTTAATTCCTGATAGAAATTTACAGATATTTGTTGTGATAACCTTAATCACACTCAAAGTCTTAATACCCATATTCTTCTTATTTTGGCCTATTCATCCTTACACTCTCATATATTCAGTTATATTTATGGGTTTCTATATGCATTTTTTATCCATTATATTCTAATTGGTGTTGAATGATGATCTGAAGACTCGAAACTATATCTTGTAAGCCTTGAATAAGATTATTACGATAGATATGGACCAGGAAAATGCTCTACATGAATTGATTGACATCACTTGTTCACTCAGTCTTCAGAGTTGGAATCTGATGCGAACAGTCGTCATCTACATTGAGAAGAAGAAGAAAATAGAATATAATTATGTTTATGGATTTCTGGCTCTTTATGGGGCCATTTGTTTTGGTGGATTTACATTGTGCAATTTCGAATTACCTTTTATGCAAGCCATAAATTATTGTGATGATGACGTTCTATTGTATAACATTCATGCAGACATCGTGTTGTCATTTATAATTTGTATGGGCAGGATCTACCAAGGGTCTAATTTCAATCAGACCTTCAGTGAGATTGATGCAGTAAACATTGATAATTACATTAGAACATCCACAAACTCACTGCAATATATGAAGACTTGTACACTTTGTTCGATTACTATTTTAAGAATAGGAATATAGTGCAAAATAGAATCTATTATCAAGTGATTGAATTGATTTACATCTATTAAAGAAAGAGAATGCAAAATCCATTGCAAAGGAATGTCAAGAACAAGGTAGATATAATAGAGACTGATGAAATGGTAATCATGCGAGAGAAGGTATCAGAAATGAAAAGTTGTCTGGAAAAGATATAGAGCAATGTGGAAAGAGATGTTAAGAAATGTCATGATAAATTCATAGGCATTTTTGATGCCAATTTCAAAAAACAAATGAGAATCATGATTTTTGTTATAATTACATTTGTACCATCCTTATCAACCAAGTAATATTATACTTATTTCTAATAGAGTGTACAAATATCTTAGTTAGATGATGTGATTTCTAAATATAATGTCTTTTTATAGAATCAATATTTGATAATATTCCAAAACTCACTTAATTTAGCATCAGCTGGTAGTTTCTAAATAGCCAATCCCAATTCTGGAGAATATGCTATATCATTTTGAATGTCATTATTTTCATTCGCTTGATATCTAGCTGCTTGATTGTAGATACTCTAAACCACTTATACCTTTTCATCAAATCTCTGAACAGTGGGTTGTTGTTTCTCTTGGATTTCAATTCCATAAATTGGATTTTCAGTATGAAATGCATGCAATTTATTACATTCTTTGATCATGCTATCCATATCTATGTTCCTGTAACCTACATAATATCCTCCAAATTCTTGATAGGTTTCAATTATCATAGTGTATAAACCTTTGGTAGTTTTCTTGCTTATTTTCTTTACTGCAATCCAAGGAATACTAATGTTAAACAGGTCATTCGTGGCAGAATACCAAACAAATCTAACGTTGGTAAAGATAAGAGTTCCAGACACATCCTATTGATCATTAGCAACACTGATCGTATTGGCATATTGATTGATTATTTATTCTTTTTCAGAGGTATTGAGTTTCTTTTGGGAAATCATAGCGAATTGCACCTTGATTTCACGATGTAACATAGTTTGAGTGTAAAGTCTTTGGATATTGATCAAGGATTCATATAGTTTTTTGTCTTGACTAGAGAAATGGAATTCGTATTTTTATCCGGTAGCTAGTTTGGTTCGAAAGAGAGTTCCAAAGGTACGGTTATTATTGGTGACTTTCTGCTCAATGTGAAATATTGTGCCTAAGCCAATACTGAGATTGACACTGTTATTACGTTCACTCCACCATAGGATCCTTGTGTTGCTGATTACTAAGCTACCAAGTTGATCTGGGTTTCCTTTGATGTCTTCAACATCTTTCCAGAGGAACAGGGTTTTTTCTCCTTTTTGCATGTTCAATTTAGCAGCTGCGATGTCGAAATGGATGCAGCGATCGTACAGAAATTCTTCACACATAATAAATATTTCATATTTAAATATTCACAAATTTAGGATGTACTCTCTTATACAATTGGAGACTGATGACATCGTTGGGTTTGACGAAGTTATTGAACATGCATTTCATTAGACCATGTGTGCCTAAGGGTTCCAGAATGTTTCCCTATGGAATAGATATGAATGAAATACTCTCAATCCCAATTTTGTGGAGAGTTCAATAGGTTTGAAGAATTTGATGTCAAGTGGATTGAAGAACATCATTCTGATGACTGCCTTTCTCTTGTTAATTTTGACTGGATATCCAGTAAGTACAATTCTCTTGAGGATCACTTGGAAGGTGTCACATCTATGAATATCTCCTACTCCCATGATTTCGCTGCTTCTGAAATCAAAGTCATTTTGCCAAAAGATGACAGGTTGTTGCGGGAATGAATTGTAGAAGTAGAAGGATGCCAGATAGAATGTGTCATCCTTAATCTCCTTGACATATTTGGTTTTGCTGCAATTCTAAATATAGGATGAGTATACTTACATTAAGAATACGAGAATAGATTGGATTTATGTGAGCTCTCCTGAATCCAATTTAAGCAAACACTTAATGTTTGGATTTGAGAACACAATTATGCATCTAATGTCTGTGGAATCTCACATGCATTTGTGTCATCTTCCTTTCATGTTTCAACAACCCAGAAATAACATATATCTTATTTGGTTGAGTGAGTCTTTGCACTATCAATTCAGGTACATTTTTCAATGTAATTTTGATTCTCTATCCAGGCTTAATCTATTCCCTCTGTTTCATCTCCTCCATAACATCTGACTTAATCTTTTTCAGGAATCTGAAATTGTAGATTTTCTCAGCCTCATCTGGTAAAAAAGTGAGAGGATCGAATTCACTCGTCCTGATGTTCTTCAAACCCTAATATTGGTCATATCGTTCTCTCAATTTAACTTCCACTCCATATTCAACCTCATCTTCATAGTCTAAATCCTCAGTGTCTCTATGTACAATCTCGAACTATTCTCGTTTCTTTTGAGCCTCGTCCTCAAACTCCTTATCAAGATCTTCATAACTAACATCGCTTTCTTATTCAATCATTTATTCCTCCTCTTCTTGCAATTGCATCCCTGCTATGTCTTTCAACAAATCATCACAATCTCCAATATCATGTTGTTTGTCTCTGCATATGGGATCCAGGGATTCTGGTTAGGTTGATTCGAATACTTACTCAATCATCCCCAGCAACTCAATGCGTGCAATTTAGAAATCATCGACTCCTGTGATATGCACCAATTAATCTGCACTTAAACCATTCTACCCTCTCCATGTACCTGTAATACTTAACTCTCCATTCACATAAGCTAAGTCATCAGGCAACATATAACCACGACTGTCTCTCCATTCCACTGCTTGTTCATGCAACACAACCACACTCCTCATCAAAGTTGAACAATCATCGACTATGTGAGCTCCAGGAAATTCACTCTCAAAGTATCTTGCGAACAACTTCTTAACTACGTTCCTCTTGCTCTGACTTATTTCATCCAAATCCTATATGTAACACACCTATTGAACTAATCCCTGGGCTCTCAAACTACTAAGCAACTTATAACCCTGCTCATCAAATGCATTCGCATTGCTATGAGGATCCAAACTTATTGTGTTTGTATTGCAATCTCTGCAAGACAGCACTGGACACACGATGTCTGCCACTTTACATGCATCTAGTATTTACTCGGGATTTCTATCCAGGAATATAAATCTTAAAGGCTATTTTATTAATTTCCCATTTGCCTCCACATTTAAAAAACAATCTTGAGTGCTGTAGGAACTTATCCCCACTGATTATATATTGAGATGCTACATTAATCGAAATCTAATGATAATCACATCCAATACTTTAATGCGGCTATGTTGGCTTATTAATTCATTGGAAACATGGCGATGATCTTTGTGTTTACTGCTTTCACCACTCTCTCTCTCTACTCCTAATCCTTCACTTTCCTCTCTATCTGAATTTCCTATTGAGGATCTTTACTTTTCGTTTGTTTGATCTCTTGCTTCTTTATTTTCTTCTTCAATTTGCCCTCACTCCTCTACTTTGCTCTCCGCTTCGATTCCCCCTTAAATGCCTTATTTCTCTACTATGGATGACCCTTCGGCATAATTAAAATGATTTAAAAATAATTAAATATTTAAACAATCAAATATGAAAATATATCTACATTCAATGAGATTATCAATTATAATTCAATAAACTAATTTGTTGTCCACCCATCTCCCCTCCATCATCTTCCCATCCATCCTGTAAAACACTCCCTTCCCATTTATCAAATCCCTCTCAAAACAGCCGACAAATCTCTCCCCATTCGTTAAATGCAAACTTCCCTGACCCTCCTTATTGTCCAACCTAAAATTTCCACTGTACTTCATCCAATAGCTATAATAATCTCTGCAACTCTTACTCCTCCACATTATCAAAGTCCCGATAATCAAAACCCTCCTCCGACATCTAAGGATGCTCATTATACAAAGTCCCGAAACCGTGAAATTGATCCTCACTCCACTCTCCCTCATAAGCTGGCTGCCCTGTTCCATAATACAAGGTTCCTACCTCATAAGGCTCAACAATTACCTTCCCCATGCATTTTATTCTCCTTCCATTCTCCATCATACAAACCACCATCCTAATAAAAGAATCTTCCCTATCCATGTCTCATGCCATTCCATTTCATACCTTCATAACGAGATCCATTTCCATAATGTTCCACTACAAATTCAGGTTCATTAACTTTTCTCTCTTTGATTTTTGAAATCTCATATGGCAAACTAAACTCTTTAGTTAAAGTGCTCTTAAACTATTAAGGCAGATTTGTAGAATCACATAAAATCTAGGAGTATTCACAAACTCCCTATCTTTAAGTATTGACGTCCTCATTCACTTAGGAATCCAGGTTCTCATCAAATTACGAATGCACGCTACACACTTCTGAGGGATGAAATTTTGACAAAGTATCGCATTGATCTTGTTGCAATTAAAATACTAAGCTGGGCAATATTTTAGACTCAGGGGGTTGATTAATCTAGTGGAATTTAGAATTCGTTTAATTCATTGAGTGAATCGACAACTTAGGAGTAAGATTAATTTATTAGAGCATACTCTTATTGCTTAAAATAGATTGATCGGTTATTGTAGTAACTGTTGCAATGTTTTAGATAGAATTCTGTGAATAGTTATTCTTATTTATGTACTCATGACTTATCTATCTGGAACTTGTATTCTGAATTTGACTTGATTGCTTAGGCACAGAACAATCTCTCACTTATGATTGGACCTGTTGAGCTGGAATCATAACCTTACTAATGGGCGTTGAACTTCGTTATGATTAGGTTGTTTTAATTGTGTATTGATGAGCGTATTTCATAGGTGATATATTTTAAACTTGGCTTACTCTCTTCGATTAATTAATTTAAGCATTGTATTGACATTATTCCAATTGCAATGAGCTTGTGCTTGGTTGATGAATTGTATCTATCAATCCAATAGGTTAAACTGGTATGATTTATTTAGGTATCACATTTGGGATTTGTTATTGTTATTTTTATTGTTATTATTGTTATTATTATTGTTATTATTATTATTATTGTTATTATTTGTAATAGGTTGTCTTCCCTGTTAATTATTTATAACTAATGATTTATTCCATTTATATAAAATCGGGTCTTTAATCTTCTTAAGTAATAAGCATCATTTAGATAAAATCACAAAACAATTATCCATATCGAGTTCTTAATTTCTACAGCTTAATAGTCAGGTGTTCTTCCAAGAATTTACCTTGGATGTAATTGTAACAATCACTGTTTACTTAATTCAATCCCAAATGTAGAAACAGCATTCCTAAAGTAAATACATCACTTTTATATTAATTGTGCTTAGGTTACCAATTATTTTTCCTAATTGTATTAACCAAATTAGGAGATAAATAAATTGATTCCACACAATTAGGATTTTGTAATATTTGTAAATAATTTGTATTCTGTTGGAAGTACTGAGGATCGCATACTTTTACCGTGCCATCCATTAAGTATAAATACTTAAGTTATAATGTATTATGTGGAATTTCATTTCTTTACATGCATGCTAATCCGGATATTGTTTGTTTGAGATATTCAATTAATTGATTTTCATTCAGAATCTGTACTCTGTCTAAATTGCTTTACGGGTATTCGAATAATAAATTCACCTTGTAAAATTACCCACATAGTTATTGTTCAAATTCATAAAAGTAATTGCTGAGACTCAGGATATTTGGATGATTGATCTTTTATCTAATTTAGTATTGTTGAACCGTCTTTTTGAAATGCCCCTCGTCTGTCATACTGATAGTACGTAAGATCAATTGCTGATTAGGATCACGTTTATGTTATAAGATCTGGCAGTCAGGGAAGTCTGAATATGATGTTATGGAACTTACCATTATTGCGGACATTGATCTATTTAAAATGCTCATAGAGTTTGTAAATCGGCTTTGAATCGCTAGCTCCCATTTGATTTTCAAAATATAATTAACTGCCTGTATATATTAATCACTCATTCTAAGCAAGTTTATCTTGTGCTATCCTGAACAGTCTTTGGGCTAACTCAAAGTTTGTTGCCTCTTCGTCTGGCATGGTACGTAGACGCTACTCGAAATAAATAGAGTCAGCATCAAGTTGTGGACGATCATAGTATTCCATTTCCTTTTCACTTAATTTTCTATCCAATTCACTTTTCAAGATGTATGGTAAATTGTTCACTTCCTTTTGCACAGTCGTCATGAATTCAGCATGTTTACCAAGCCAATATTTTTCTTAGAGCATTCTCAAATACTTTAATGAATAATCTCATCCTTACGTGTAATTCTGCATAGTTTAGCATAACATCATTGAGTTTCTTTTTATCATCTGGGGAGAGTTTGAATGTGAAACGATGTTTATTGCGATGATCTTCGTAGAATTTGGTGAACAATTTTATTCTCTTTGCATCCAGCCAAGGATGAATAGACCCTTCTCCTGTAAACTCAGGGACATAAACATTTAATCCTCTGAAACGTCTCTTTTCCTTTCTAGCCAACAACTTTTGTTTGAAGGTTTTGTGCACCACAAAGGAGAATTTAGGTGTAAAAAATTACATAATTAATTTTTATAAATATTTTGTTTGCGAATAGATTTTAACTTGATTGGGATTCAATATAGAAATAGTATAGACATCCTGGTTATTTACATAATTTAAGTATTTCTTCAAAAGGAATTATTAATAAACATCTTTTTGTTCATAATTTCATAGATATTCATATTATATTAATATTTCATTTTTTGATACTTGGAAGCTTGAATTACTTTTTAATATCACAAATACTCTTTGTAGTAGGAGTTTTAGATTTCAAGACTGGCTTTTTTGTCATCGAAGAACTTTCTATTAAGGGACTCTTGCTGGAATCAAGATCAACAGATTTTTTTATGATTAAGGTCGAAGCTCCATTTTGCATCTATTGTTTTTTGAACAAATTAGTTTGACTTTAATTGGTACTCTTGATCTTACAGAGAGGATACTTTTTTTTGTATTTATTCAAGTAATCATTCAAATCTATTTTATTAATTTCCAAATCATCCCTCTCTTGATCCAATATGAATTGTCTCTATTTTTAGTCATTCTTAAATATGATTTCCTCCTTTTCCATCATTTCTTGGTCTCTCTTATTCAATAAATTCTCGTCATTTGGTTTCAGCAATTCCTCTTTGGTTTGATGAATCATAAATTGAAAAGATCGAGATCCACTCAGAATGCAATCCTAAACAGCTTCATTAAACATATTTAAGATGGATAGATCATCGTTGTCTATTTTTTTATATAACAATGGTAGGATCTACAATGATTACAAAAGATACCTTTATTAATCTCATCCTGACATTCACAACAGGATCTTTTGAAAATATCAGAATATCGAAGAACTCATATTATTTGAATAGTTTCTTCGATATGAATTCAGAAAATGATTGCACAATGTTGATGAAAGTGATTCGATTATGGTAGATGTCAGACTTGAAATAAAGATCGAACAATTGTATTATCCAATCTTTCCTCTTCCTCAAGTCTCCATACTGACTCAAGTATTAAGCGATGTTATCACAACACTGTTGCTTAGTCTTTGGAATGCCCTTCCCAATTGTAGTAACCATTGCATTCATGAACGTATTCACATCACTAAAAATCTACTGGCATTTTTTGAATTGATCAAGTAATTCAATTTAGAAATCCCACAAGTTCCTTGCTATTAGACTATTCAATAATTCAATGGCTGGTTGACCAAATTGCGGTTGTTACTGACTAAGCATATTATGAACATAATACTTGTTTCTAAAAAGAGTTGATGATGGAGGCAAATCTGAAGATCAGAATTTCCAACAGTGTTAAACTCTTTGATTTCATGAGGTTCATGAAAACCTAAAACAGAATCTCAGTGTTCTCGGAAAGCAGTACAACTTCATGGAAGCAATTGATGATGGCTCTGACAACGACTTCATTGCTGTCATTACAACACTGTAAATAAGACTCTTGGAAGTATTCGAATTTCTTGGATGCCAAGGATAAGAGAGCAGGAAAATTGCATACGAAATTGACTCTAATGTCAACGTTCTTGCTTTTCACATAGGACATGTATATGTTGATGAAAAGGGTGACTTGGATTTAATTGAGATGATCTTTTATCTAATCATAAATAAAGATATTTAAGTACAAGGTGAAAGACTCTTCCACACATCTTGGACATGACTAACTTGCTCTCCTCATTTTGGCTTTGTATTGTATCAATAAATTGTTTAGTGCACCTGTTTTTAATTTCATCAGCTGACAAATTATTCGCAATCGTAAAAAATAACTTCACTCCTGCACTTCTCACAATTGGATCAGTGTCATAGTAGAGTTCCATTATCTTCTCCATTAAATAACACTCGATTAAATCACTGGAAATTGATTAGCAAACTTTGATCAAAACGTTGTCAGCCATTATCAAACGAGTCTCTTTATCGTGATCCGAACACAAACTCCTGGCTCTATCAAGAATTGGACCTTTAATCTCATTCCCGAGAAGCTTAGGATTATGAGGGAGATCCTTACCTACGCTAAAGTGCCGATGAGTTTGGCAGCACTCTATCGTGATATAGCTGGTTAGGAACTATCGGTTAATAGTAGTATCAATTGTTGGATTGGAAGAAGAATATTCCTGAGACCTATTGTTCTAAGGAGAAGATCCATAGTTTGGACCCATTCATTCAGCACAGGGAGTGACCAAATCTTTAATATTTGGGTTGTCAAATCATAGAGTTGTAATAATTCTTGCATGGAAAGCGAATTGTCTTTGAGCAACCTCTGAATTGATTTAGCTGCAATGATTTAATTGTCTTCTTCTTGTTACTGGATTTCTTCACTTGTAATTGTAGTATAAATGGCATTACATTATGACTTAGAATAGGAATTCAAAGGCACTAGGTTCCTTCAAAATCCTGTGGAGATTAGAGTAAATCTAGAGATAATTTACAAATAATGTACGGCTTTCTTTTGCAGTTATTGCCCCTTGGTCAAAATATAAATGGATCTTTGACATTCACTTAAATCTTCTTCCAGGGTCAACTTCTTCAATTCATCTTCACTCTAGGATAAATATAGGATGTCTACTTTGGTACTGGTTTTATATTCCTGCTCAGGGAAAAACATGCGTATGCAAATATAATTAATAAAAAAAGGTAAAAAGGTTATAAATGTATATATATTTATCGATATTCATTTAATTAATTATTCCCCCTACAAATTATTTCTGTCCTTTAGAATTTCCGCATTCAAGTCGATCACCTCAAGCCTATCCTTCCCCACCAGTCTTTGTATCTCTTCAACGATATTGTAAAATTTGACACCCAATTCAGGTCTCTCAAACTTATAGATAATCTTGGGTTTCTCAAAACATTTCCTAACAAATTCTCCATTCTCGTTCCACAATTGGAACTGGGTGACTGAGAGTTTCCATTGCTCACTTTTTCTCATGGGCATCTTCTCCAAGTACTTTAAAGTCTGCTGTACAGTGGGACTGAAATAGACACTCTCATTTCCGTATTGTTTAATTATTCTCCATTCTCTACCAAATTAGGCCAGATCGATCCTGTGTTTCAATGGTCGGTCTACTGGATGAACTATAATAGAATGAGCATAGCAATTGTACTTGTTTTTAAGGATTCCTGATTGATGATTTTGGCCAAAAGGGGAGCAAACTTTTGATCTGGTTGACCCTGATAAAGTAATCTTCCTAGATGATCAATGACCAAAATAGGAGAGATGGAATCTAATCCATAGAGATCAGATAATATTTTATAAAAGTTGACTCCAAGAAACGATTGTTCAAGTGGAAACCATGCTTCAAAGATGCCTCTTTTCATTTCTTATTCTAATCTATTCATTTACTTCTGAAATTGATCCTCGGATCTCCTCCTTTCCAATCCAATCACTCTAACATTTGAGCTATTCCATTGGTTACCCTTGATGAACTCCAGCAACTGATGCAACAGTTCAATGTGTTTATCAAGAGTATAATCAATTAAAAATATAATGAGCACTTCACTATTAATTTGATGGATTGAGTGAATCTAATCGTAATTCAAATCCACTTTATTATCGCCATCCCATCCTTAACTTAAATCAAATTGACTTTAATTGCTTTTGATTTATTCTGTTATTCCAAAATGCTGATTCTGATCATCAACCGATTGATTCATTGATTGGACTAATTTGCTATCAAAAATTCCTTTGTTTGTAGGTCTAATGATAGATTGCATGATTTGACTACTCCCAGAAAAGTCATTGTGTTGCATCTTATACGTGTTGGGGATTGGTGAGAAGAGAGTGCCAACATTGAACGAGGTTCTGATGATAAACGATAAATTGATACTTCAAAGAATAGGGATTCCCAAAGAATTCTTTCATCAATTCCAATTCCTTGTGAGTGTAATTGTCAGATTAAGCAAATATGGATTTACCCAACTTCTGTAAGGCTTCTTTCCTGGAGTAGACACAACTTACAGATTGGGGAGCATTGTGGATTGAGGTTATATCTCTTTTCATTTCGAAACGTTTAGAAGTCTCTTCATACTAGATCTCGATGTTCTTCTCTAAGATGAATCTGATGTCCTCATATCCTATATTTCTATATAAATATCAGTAATACATTAGTTTTCGACTCAACTTTTCAAAGAATAGCTTTTTATTCACAGAATGATGTTGTTTGAAATCAGTTTCCATATGAGCAATAGGAGTGAAATCCTTTACATACTTAATCAAATCATCGCAATTTTATTGATATTTCTTGGATCCAGCAGCTTAGAAAATTGGATTGAAATATGTGGCTCCAACTTTGGAATAATCTCTAAAGTACGTGTGTTTTTTTATGGATAGACTAAACGTATCTCCAATTGGCAATTTGTGTTTATTAGGTAATTCCTCGACTATTAGTTTCTTGACCTTCTGATAATCATCTTTTCTTATCTTCTACTTAATATTCGCGAGCTGATAGGCATCTTTTGGTTTGATCTCACCATCTATGATATCATTTATTTCATGGATGAATGAGTGATCTCCAAAGTTCTCCTTCAAACAACCTACAAAGACTCCCTTCGAATTTACTATGAAAATGGATTACTCCAACTACCGTGTCTAATAGTTGGGATCCTCTGCATACTTAAACACCTAGGCTGATTAATCATTCTCGTTTATCCATATGTGAGTGTCCTCCTGTGATATCACCTGCTCATACAGAGGTTTCCTGTCCTGACTATCCAAACAGATACCAACCAAGTGAAGTGGTCGCTTGATCGACTTCTTGGCTCTTATAAATGCAGTCTCCAAATAAGATTGGGATTCGTCATCAGCTCGAAACCGATTGCTAATGTTCCGAGTTTTGACCTATGACATCCTCCCTATCTTGATTTCCTCCTCCAATCTCCAGAACACAAATATTGTTACAACATTTTACTGAATTTAAAAACTTGTAATTTGATTACTTCCCAACTTCTCAGCTCTGAAGCTTGGGAATTGATCTCCCAAACTCAATAACATCCTTAAATGATTTAATCGTTTATACATACCCTAAATTTTTGGGGAAATCCTTGAACTCCTCTGGGTACAATTGTTTGAAATTGGTCAACCCCGATATCAAATTATCAAAATTATCAGGCAAACAAGGAGATAACAGTACTGGATTCTACTCATTGAAAATTGATTTCGAATAATTCGATTGCCAACTCTTACTTCCCCTGCAATATTGAAATTCGTATTCAGTTATTTTCACAACCTTACATTCTTTTATTTTCTTACCTGCGATCTCTTAAAACCATAATACTGACACTAATCGAAAAAACTCTTCATCCTTGGATTCTTTATTGTCCCATTTGTTATCTAAGTGCAACCCATTGTAATATTTAAATAATATATTAATATATATATATATATGAAACAAATCACACATTAAGTAAAGATTTCATTCTCTTCCCCATCTCCTCATAGACATCCTAAACATTCATAGACACTCCTTCAGACCACATCGAATTCTTCACCTCCTCCATACTGAATCGCTTATCCGGGTTCGGATTGACCATTCTCAGGAAGAGTTCCCTCGCCTTAAATTACTTAATACTTGAAATCAAAGTGAAATTCAATCTTCTTCTAAGAATGAATCTCCCAAAATTATTTGTAGTCCTCCTGAATTATCAAATTGAATAGAGCATCCTATTAATTAGCTTTCAAAAAAGGGGGTTAACCCTTATACATGATGAACAATATCACTCCCAAAGAAAACACATCTGCCTTCACTCCATTGTATACTGCACCATACAACACTTCAGGTGCCTAGTAATCTTCATATGCATTTATTAATTATACTCTCAGTTCCCACTTTGGTCTTCAATTTACCGTCCTTATATTTATTCTGATGTTGCGCACAAGAGAAATTGCATAATTTTAGATTAAATTTTCTATCTAATAATATTGACTCTAATTTTAAATTCCGATGAACAAATCCATTCTTATGTATAAAATCAACCACCTAAACCAATTACCGAAAGTAATAGCGACACAGACTCTCCCCAAAATGACCAGACTTAGCTATGAATTCAAATAAATCGCCCTTTTCCAAATATTCCAAAATCAAACTATTCATTTCTCCTTGATCCCCCTATCAATAGGAACCTCAACTAACCTGTAACTTTATTTGCTGGTTCCTTTTTATTGTTATTATGTTTGGATGGCTCAACTTTTCAAGGATGATGGCCTCATTGTGACATCTAATATCACTATTAAGACAAGTATAAACTTTAGCCACATAATTGAGTTGTGAGGTCTTGTCCTACACAAGATAGATGCTTTTAAATAATTGAGATTGTTACTCAGCCATAGATCCAGTTCCCAATTGCTTTATGAATTAGTAGCCATTCACCGTTGTACCAATTAATTGATCCATTAATATAAATATAAATTTTTGCTTACACATAATATCATTTTTTAAATACTTAGGGAAAAAAACACAACAAGTGCTATCAATATTTTATTATAATTAAAATAAAAATGAATAGTCAGACTAAGGATGATGAAAAATACAAATAGTTTTAATGCAAAATATGTCTGGACCTAGCCACTGAGCCAGTTATCACTCCCTGTGGACATCTCTATTGTTGGCAGTGTCTCTATACTGTAATTCATTAACTATATTATTAGTGGGCTTAAAAGAAGAATCCATTGCAATGTCCATATTGTTCAAATGTTTTCGAATTGGACAAAGTCACAACCATCTTCACCGGAGACTCAAAAGAATCAAAGCAATCAGAAATCCCCAAAAGACCCACAAACCCAAGACAAGAATAGAACAATTCATCATAACAACAACAACAGAATTAGCCATTCGGAAACTTTTAATTTGGTTTTGGTTTTGGCATGCCGTTCATGATGATGTCCAATTTCAATTTCGGATAAGGACAACAAGGTAATGCAAGAAGTTTTATGATCGTTTTCTTTATTGGATTTTTCTTGATGAATTTCTTGCCCTTTATCACCTCCTCCATCCAAGAAATTCCACAACAGACCCAAAGACCGTCAAGGAGACACCAAGAAATATACGAAGACGACTAACTAACCAATTTTGGAATCAGCTTTTTGGCAATTATTCTTGGTTTTGCTGGCCTCAACTATTTGGCTAACAAGATTTTGAACAAATGATAAACGTGTATATTTATGTTATGCAATCTCAATTTAAATTCAATTATACTATTTAAGTCTAAATAATTTATTTAATCAAAAATATCATACAGAATTATTATAATATATTGTATTATTCAAATTTTATAACAATCTCATTAATATTCTAAAGTGCCTTATAAAATATTAATTGTATTGTTGTTTGACTACCTTATAAATTCAGATCATATTCACCATCACTACGGCTGCTTATCGTCTTTGAGAGTGTTTCCTTTAAAATTTTAGGTTCCAAGAGTTTTTTTCAAAATTCATAACTCTAAAAAGTGAAAGAAAAATTCAAAATGTTATCATATAAGTTTCATTCATTGAGAAGGATGTATAAATAATCAAAGTCTTTATATAAATGTATAAATATGAATATCATAAATTCAAATATGGTTAGGGATCTAATGATCTCATTAAATCAAGTGTTTTATTAGTAAGTGTAGTTAGTCTTTTTCTATACGTATTATAGTTTATTTTTTTGTTCTTTTGTATTTTCTTTTACATAACTTCTATATTTTTCTATATCTCTTTTAAAAGTTTATCTTTCATAAATTCAAATTAATAAAATATGAAAATACTTATAATTTATTCAGGTTAAATATCTAGATTGCATTATATTTTTATAATATGGAATATTATTGATTAATTAAATTATGTAAATTCTGTTTACGCCAGGACCTCTCTTGACAACCAAAACTGTCAAAGAAGCTGCTCTAGTAGATATGGGTTCAAGAGATCCCAAATTTGTTTAGATTATTCAAAACATACGATCCACCTTGTTGAAATTATCGAATGTAGAGGAAAAGGATTACACAGCAGTAATTCTCTAAGGAAGTGGTACCTATGCTATTGAAGCTACATTTCACACTGTCTTAAAAAGAGAAACCGATAAGTAATTCATATCCTCATAGTAGAGTACTTGTAGTCTCCAATGGAGCATACGGGGAGAGATAAGCCAAGATCTTGACTGCAATAAATAAGAAATTCGTCAAGCTCACCTATGACGAAAACCAAAAATGCGTAGTAGAAGATATCATTAAAGCCATCGAAGAGGATCCAACCATTACTCATTTGAGTATGGTACACTCTGAAACAACTTCAGGAATCATCAATGACATCGACTTTGTTCATAGATTAAGTAGAAGAGTCGTATTCATTTTGGATGCTGTCAGTTCATTTGGAGCTTATGAAATTCCAGTTTCCAAATTAAATATAGATTTCTTGATCTCCACAAGCAACAAAAATATTCAAGGATTACCTGGCTTTGCCTTTGTCATCGCAAATAAATCAATCCTGACTTAATGCAAAGGCAATGCTGCTTCTTTGGTGCTCGATCTCTATGATCAAGAAGAATATATGCTTAAAACCTAATAGTTCAGATTTACACCTCCTACACATGTATTGAGATGTTTTGAATGTGCACTTAAAGAATTTGAGGAGGAAGGCAGTATCAAAGGAAGATAAAAGAGATATACAGAATTATAATAATATTTATCCTAATAGATGCAAAGCTTAGGTTTTAAGTTATTTGTCGACCCAAAAGACTAAGGCTGCATTATAACTACATTCCTCTTTCCGAAGGATCCTAATTTTAATTTTAACTGTATTAGATAATTCATTATGAATAGAATTTTATGATTACTTGGCAGCTAAAAATCTAATTATTTATCCAGGCAAAATGACTAAGGCAGAAACATTTAGAGTTGGATCTATCGGTGCCTTAACTATGGAGAATATGCATTAACTAATTGAAAGCCATTAAAGCATTTATTGCAGAAACAAATTTATAAGTTTAATGAGAAATAAAAAGAGTTTTATTTTATTAAATTTTTATTATTATAATTATACCAATTATTAGAAATGACTTAGGATTTTAATGATAATAATTATTATAAATAGAAACTATTTTATTTCTAAAATTTAACTAACTCTTAATTCCAAAATAATGGTTTTCTTTTAATTTTTTGATATGAAAAAAAGAAAATATATATAAACATTAAGTCTCAACTAAATAAAGCAACATAAACCTATCACATAATAGGGTCTACTTCAATGACTTCTTTTTTTGATTTCAGAGTGAATATGAAATGGATATTCTATCTAGAGTTATTTCAAAGAAATTTGGTTAACATTGGGTTTGAATAAATAATTATTAAATTTAATGGAACCAGATCCCAAATTATTGTCTCTTTTAGAGAAGGTTAATAATCCAATAGAGTTGTTTAAAATACATATAACTGTGAAAGTAAAGTGGCAATACAATAATTATTAAAGGGAGTGTATGGATTTAGTGAAGATTGGAAATTAACAGATGAAACGAATCCAGGAATATTTGCAAATGTAGTTCGTTACTAAGGGGAAGATTTGTTTGGCAAGATCAAGGGTCGAGAATAGACAGAGAGAGAGAAGTTTGAGGAGTATTAGAAAAATAGTAAAAAGAATAAAAAGGACACTAAGAGTCCAGAAGAAGAAGAATAAATGAAGAAGGCATTGGCATTGGAGGAAGAGGAAGAGTAGAAAAAATAACAGCATTTGGGGACTCTATCAGAGCAAGATAAATTATTTTTTATTTCAGAAGACAAATTCAAAACTATTAGCATTTAGTATGAGGAAACTCATACAGTCGAGGTGACTAATGTGCGTTAGTTGGAAGAAGAGATTCTTGAAAGCAGAAATTACATTTATTTTATTCGATAGCCTGCAATCACAGAAGAAGAATTAGTTAAATTAAAGAAGGGTAAGACCAAGAATTTAAATAATGCTGAATTAACTCAAATAATATTTAAGGGGGTTTTTGATTTGTCAGAATTATTAGAGCCTGGATGCACTCGTACAACAGTGAGGGCACTCTTAAAATAAGAAGAAAATGCAGATTGTCCTAAATATAATTGTGATAAGATGTATGTCAAAGTAGAAATTGAGACTGAACCTGCATTAACTCCCTTGGTTGAAGACATTCCAGTTTTGAATATCGAACCAATAGTAGTATAAAGAATACCAAGCAAATTCGAGTGTGTTGGCTAATTTCAAAGTAATCCTTAAGTTTTATTATTTCATAGGCGACATCAAAGAAGCCATGAAGGCATTGGATGAAGAATATTCTAAACTCTATCCAAGTGATCAAAAGGCTAAAGTAAGTGTGAATTTGACAGTCTAAAAAAGACAGGAGTTACAAAAGAAGAAAGAATCCTTCCTTAATGAAATTAATTAATCAGGAAAATACAAGATCCTTTAAGATAGATTAAGATCATCTATTATTAGAGTCTGTATTGATAAATTTGCTAAGGAAGGACTGTTTGTTGGAGTTAACAAGGATGAATAAGACAGGTTGTTTGCAGAGCTTTATGTTTTTATGATGGAAGAAATGTAGACTACACTTGGAGAATATGTACTTAATAATAAGGAAGATATTCATGAAGACTTATACTCAACCTACGATTAAAATTAAAGAGATAGAGACGTAGTATTCCAATCTTTGAAAGAATCGGCTTTTAAGAAATTCAAGAGATTTGCAGAGTAATATGAAACCATTAATCAAGTCGATTAGGCTTTAAAATATTACACCAATATGGTCTTGGTGGATCCTAAATCAGCAACTATATTTGCTAAATATTGCTTCAAAATCCAGAGATTCAAAGCAGCCGAACAATTAATCTAAATGGTTAGAGATATAGAATGGAATAAAGAAAATGAATTGTTGATGGCCTGTCTTTACATCAGAAGAGAACGGTACAAAGAAGCCACTAACATAGTTCAATCTTTACTTCAAAAAGAGCCTATAAATACACTTTTCAATTTACTCATGGCCTTCATATACAAGCAGCAAGGGAATCAGAATATGGCTGACAAATATTCGAGATGCACTCAAAGAATATTTATGAGAACCATGGGCTTGCTAACAAAAGGGTATGACTGTCTATATTTCTTTAAGATTTCCAAAACAATAACCAGATCCTCACTTATTGCCAAATTTCAAATAACAAATGATTGAACAATAAGAAAAAGCCAAAAAGGCTCCAGTCTTGACTCCAGAATAGACAGATCAAATTCAATTAGAATTAATTGAGTATTTCGCATCTCGCAGTTTATTTGATCTAGCAGAGAAAGCACTTATTAATATTAAAGACAAAACCACTCAAAAGATTAACATAATAAAGGCCTAGATTCATATCTTCAATGAAAACTATACAGATGCTTTGAGTTTAATTCAAAAAATCTTAAATCAAAATCCAAAAAATTATGAAGTCTACTTAATAAAAGGAGCTTTGTGTTATTAAACTGAGCAGTTTTATGAAGCAGAAGAGACTTTCTTAAAAGCTTTATCTATATAACAAAGGAAATCCTTTGATATCCTACTGAGATTGGGTTATTTGTATCTTAAACGTAAGTCTTGGCAAGACGCTAAGGCTATTTTTGAAAGGGCCTTAGATTAGTAAAATCCTTCAAATAGTTCCTTAACTTGGTTAGGACTTGGAATTTCAAATCTAAGGTTAAAGGACCCAATAGCTGAGGAGTGCCTTTGTTAAGCAAGCATTCACGAACCGTTTAATGGTGAGGTTTGGGGATATTAGGCTCTAAACTGTTTATAATAGAAGAGAGGGTAATAGGCCAAACAATGCTTATTAAGAATGGAATAAACAGAAGTAAATGATTTAGATTTATTGATTGAATTGGCAGAGGAGATGTACAAATGCCAAGATTATGAGAGTTGTCGATAAATATTAATGAGAGTCTATAATTCAAAAGTTAAGATACCTAATATGGGTTTACTGTTAAAGAATCTGGGGTAAGTGCATGCAGAATTAAGAAGAAAAGAGGAAGCCAAATAATATTACGAAGAGTCATTAATATATTTAGAGAGTGCTAACGAAATAGAAAAAGTAAATTAAGAAATAAAGTTTTTATGAAGTTTTGCAACTTCATATATATATTTATCTATAAATGTAAATATTTTGTTATCAAATAAAATCTAATAATCTCTTCTAAAATCGTATTTACAAACTCATTGTAATAAGAATAGAATGAAAAAGAATAGTATCAATTTGAATATTAAATTCTGTGACTAGCATATTACAGATTTATTTGAATTCAAAACATAAAATATAATCTATGAAAATAATTCTAATATGAAATCTAGAATGTCTTAGTGAATATTCATAAGAACCAACTTAAACCTACATAAAGCTTATAGAAATTTGAAGAACATATAATTAATATAATAGAGTTATTTTCAATTGTAGATTATAATTTATTTTTATGGATTTGAATTCTTAAATAGCTTGCATCAATAGAGAATAAAATTAATGACTAAATAATTATGGTTATCAGATGATTAGTTTAATTGGTATCATTCAATATATTAAATTCATAAATCCCTGGCATCTTCGAAACTCAAGATAAATACAGTGTGAGGATAATAGCTGACACCTCTTTCGTCAGTCTTAAATTAATAAGAGACTTGGCATGTAAAGCCAGAAGCATTCAAGACTCCCTTACCGAATTTTAATTATTTCATACTTTCAGAATTCCACACATAAATTATGCAGGTGAAATGTGCCCTTCTTCTGAGATGTACTTAAGAAGTAAGGGATTTTCATCTCTAATTAGATAATCATTGGGTCTGTCCTTTAATTTTTCAATGGACTCTGCTTGTCTCCCAAAGAGATGCTTCCAAAACTACGAATGCAGATGTAATATACAATTCCTTATATGAATCTCAATTGTTCCACTAATTTTGTTTCCCTCTTGTTTCTTTCTCTCAAACTTACTACCTCATAGAGTCTGATTCCAACTGACACTCCCAACTGCTCCATCTTTGAGTTCATTTCATTGTAATCATTCCCATGCTTCCTCTTCAAATAGCAAATGTATCTAAATGTAAATCTAATGGAAATACTCAGCAAAGACATAATTGAAGGTGCAGAAATTCAACTCTGGTCTTTGTTGCCTGATATTTTTGTCGAAAAACTAAAATTTTTTCATGATTATATGAATTAACTAACATTATCATAATTGCTTTAATGATTCAGCAAATTATTCAATTAAAGTCATAAGATACTTCCCATTCATACAAGTTGCATCAACTAATGCACTACATACAAGATATGGATCCATATTGGCTGCAGGTCTTCGATCTTCCAAATACCTTACGATTACACAAGTATATAATACCCCTTGCCTAATTCTTTTGTGATTATTGGTACTCTAATGGAACACCCCCTAGAGCCATCTCCCCAAGAGAATTAATTGTATTCTCCAGTCTCATGTTTGCCAGTCAATCTCGCTTCATTGTTTAACCCATACAACAACATCATTTTTTGGTGGTTCTTTTCCAAAAGTGGCAACATAAAATCCTTTATGTATTCATACCCTCCCTATTCTCTTGTGCTCGTTGTTGAGAAATTGCAATGAGCCCCTGTGCCATTCCAATCTCCTTGAATGGGCTTTGGATCATAATTGATATCAATCCCAAACTCTTCGCCCAATCTCTCCAATATATATCTTGCCAACCATAGATGATCCCCTGCCTCTATACCTCTTGCAATCCCAATCTGAAATTCCCACTATGAAGGAGCTACCTCTGAATTTATTCCTGATAATTTCAGGCCTGCACAAAGACAAGCTCTTTGATGAGCTTCAGACAATGCTCTTCCAAAATTGTTGCGTTCTCCTATCGAACAGTAATATCTTCCTTAAGGATATGGAAACCCTCCGACTGGCCATCCCAAGGGCCACAAATGAGTTGTGCCTGTCCTCTTTAACATAAAATATTCTTATTCAATGCCAAACCAAGGATCATTCTCACTTGCTTCTTACATTATTTTTTCAGCAATCCACCTAAAATTGAAACGTGCTGGTGTTTTACGGTCTGGCTTGTATGTTTCACATAATACAAATTTATGTGGATCTCCACGAAAGGGATCTCTCACCATACAAACAGGCTTAAGGAAAATCTCACTAAATTTCGTGATTGCTTGATCTGTAGATGAACCATCAAAGGTCCACCATTCAACATCATCCAGACTTTTAATAGCAGTATTGTACACTTTGGTTTTGGATCTCAGTCTCTCTCCAGTACCATCTATCCAAATATATTCTACCAATATATGTGTATTGGTGTTTAATTTGAAATAGTTGAAATCCCTTAAGTTTTCAATAGTTTCGGTCATTAATCAAATAAATTTAGAATAAATAATTGTTATATATTTTCTGCTGAATCATGGATTGTACTTAAGTAAAATGTTCAAAAATCTAATTAATTTATAGCATTTTATGTTTTGTACTACACTCACACTCAATGAATAATATTTTAATAACGTTAAAGTGAAAATATAGGATTTAATGTTATTCTCTAAAAGGCTTTATATTACTAAAAAATATTTGAAAAACAAGAAATATTTATTTCTCTATTATGTGGATGATGATTGCATTTAAATACAATACTTAAATATTTATTTTTCGGATACTATATTCTAAGAATAAGTTCATATAAATTTAAGTGAGTTTTATTTAATCTAATTTTATGAATACAAAACTATAATTTTTTTGGATTAATTTAATCCATATAAATTTGGTTTATAACTGCAAATTTATGTTTATTAATGAGATTGTTATTAAATAGAAAAAGGAGAGGAGTTGTATAGAAAGATGAAGATTGTAGATATTAAAACACACATAGTTGTTTAGTAATAGTAAGTTAGTATAGGGATTTAATTTGATTAAATAAATTTTATTGATGAGCAGAACTTACTCTCCTATTAGGAGTAGGGCTGAGAAAATAGTTGGTTAGTTGAGTGAGCTTCATTTGGGAAAGAAGGATTAAGTATGGAGTAGAGATTGATTTTGATAGACTTAAAGAATAAAGGAGGCAGAGGAGAGAGTAGAAATAATGGAAACAGCAATAAAGGACTTGAGAGAAACTTTGGAGGGGAAGGTGGCAAAGATTAAGGAAGGATTGGAATATGTTCATTCAGTGTTGAAGGAGTAAGAACCAAAATAGGAAGATGAAGAACAGATGATTGAGGATATGAAGAAGGCAGAGGAGAGTGTGAATCAGTAGTTGGAAGAACTTAGTAAGTTACGGGAAGAGAGTTAATAGAAATTCAATGAGCAAGTAGAATAGGACATTTAAGAGTTGCGAGAGCAGGTAAACTCTGAGAAGCACGAGAGAAATGAGTAGATAATGGAGATCAATGGGTGTTTGGAGGTATGGTTGTGAGTATATTTGAGGGTAGAGCGACTTGCCATAGTTATAGGAGATGCTGCAAGCAAACATAAAGGAGAGAGAGGAGATGGATCGAAACATTAATGGGAAGTTGTATGATGAATTGCAGAGGTTGTCACAGATAATCCATGCGGAAAGGATCAGTAGGTAGCAGAGTGAGCAGAATTTGTTTGAGATGTTGAAGGATGTCGTGAATAGGATCAAGAGGGAAATCGATGAGGAGAAGAGAGCAAGGGAAAGTACTGAAAACGATGTTCTGGGAGTTTTGGAGGAAACCCTTAATAAAATCTTAGCAGCGCAGGAACATTGATAACTAAAATAATATAATAATTAAATGCAAAATTCGGACAATTCAGATGAATAGTATAGTGATGATCAATAGGAGTCTCCTCGGTTTCTGTATAACTTTAGGGAATTAAATCTGCAGAACAAAAGTTTACTTGGAGAAATACGGATCATTTGCAGAAATCTCATTTATGTGATTGGTTTGGCTCCTACTTTGGCCAAAGAGGAAGTATGCTATATCATTTTAGGCAAGTTGCTCAGAAAACCAGAATATTTCGGATAATATGGATAGATTTAAAAATTGATTGTAATCTAGAGCAACACCTTCAATCCACCTTCTCATGCAGCCTACATTACATATCGTAATGAACAGGAAGCATCAATGGCCATACTAGTAAGCATTTTACAATAACTTATCGGCTTGTGAAGGATTTCCTTTGCATGAAAGATTGGTCAAAGCCTCTTTTGGAACCACCAAATACTGTACCAATTTCTTGAAAGGACAACAATGCAAAATCAAAGATTGTGTTTATTTGCACTAACACCCAAAAGATAAGGAATCAACATAAGTTATTAAAAAAGTACTAATACACCTTTATATCATCCAAGGAAGAAATGAACAATTCCAAATGGTTATTCTCTTACTCTCAAAGATTAGCTCAAATCAATTTCAAAAAATTCTACACCAAAATTAATTACAAAGCTGCTCTTTAAAAATCCATCTTTCTGAACACCCAAAATATACTAGACCGAATGATAGCCTATAAAATTGTCGATCGTCATTTGGACTAGCCTCATTAACAAATAACCAATGAGGACACTTCATAATAGTTCTCTGGTAAATCGGTTGATGCTATATCCCCGTAAAAACCATTGGATATGGAGAAGAGATTGGAAGATATCATTCAAAAGAGTACCTTTCTAATCTTATTTAGTGGATGGAGATAGTAATTCCAGGTTCAAATTCACAACTACTATAAAAGTTCCCGAAGATTAAGAAGCAATAAATCAATTAAAGTAGTTTATTCTAAAATGATAATAAATCATATATTAATCATCAATATTTCTTAATTCACATGAATTTCTTGAGTCAAATATCCCATTTCAATTCCAAATTGTTTGGTAGTGTAAATCTATAAAATACCATCATTAATTAAAATATTTATCAAATTTATTATTACACTAAGTCTATTTAATAAAATTGGAATTTTAGTAATAGTTACTAATATAAAAATAATAAAGATATTTTGAGACATTACTATCGGTTAGGATGAAATCAACCTTACAAAATGAAGGATGAATATTTATGTTTAAAATTGTATGATATTTTACTAACATAATAATCCCTTCTTTAATATAGGATATTATCAAGCTTAGTAAATTATATTTTAGTGCCAAACATAAGTAAAAACAATGAGAGGATGAAAATGACAATTTTGAATATTATTTTTAAGTCCAAATATTATAAGGATTTTAACAGTTATTTTCAACTAATATAATTTATAAAATGTGAGAACATTTTTATAAATTAATTGGGTGGAAAATAAAATGAAAGTTATTAGATAATGATATAAGTTCTATAAATAGTTAGGGTTAAATATATATATATAGTTGAACTCTAATATATGATTGCTCATTTAAATAAGCAATAAATAAAAACTCAAAAATTACTTTAGATAATGTTTCCTCCAAATGAATCGTCTTCATTTTCTTCCTACTTGGGTTGGATATCCTCTTTGTCGCTATCTCTTAAATCCCCCTTGAATTTCTTCTATAAGTATTTGCTGAATTATTATTAAGAGATAACAGAGTATTATTTCTATTCCTCATTATATCTTTTTCTGTCTTCCTCTGATCTTTTTTGATAAGGCTACGATATGAACATATTTACCTCTTATTCAAATGGACTTAATTCATTCCATTTTTTGGCAATCATTGATGTTATTTCTTAGAATTGCTTACCTAATAATGAGTATTAATTCTACCTTTATTTTCCTCTTGAAATTTTGACCTCATGGCTTTGAAATAAAAAATAAATGCTGATTATGGCATTTTAGGAGCTTAAGGATCTTTATTTCTTTTTTTATATTTCTTGGGTCTCTTCCTGATTTGTTTCACATGTGGCAATATCTACTGGTACTTATTGCACAGCTCTTTCATACCATCAAGGAACTCTTTGAAAATAAAGAGCTCTTTTTTGTATTGTGTCGGAGCAAATAAATCATTCTCCATCAATTTTTATAATCACTAGTAATAATTTTATAGAAACTCATATAAATTTTATCTTTTATCCGAAAAAAATGGTCTCTACTCTTAATCATCCATTAACATATTTAAATTAATCACTCTCCTCACTTTAGGTTGTTATCTGTTCATATACGATGTAATGTTTAGTACAGCTGGACAATCGTATGTCCTTTGAGGAGAACTTTACCGAGAAATGGGCTGAAACAACACCTTCCCGTTCTTTCGCCTTTTCAATATCCTCGTCTCCGGTGTGAACAACCTGGTTTAATGATTTTAGAAACTAGTATTCTAAGTCTGGAAATTGAAACTCCTGTTGATTTGAACATTTTCAAACAAGTCACACATGATTCCCTATTCCTTGCCCTTCCTCTCATCTTGAATCGGGAATCTACTAGAACCAATTCCCTAAGCATCCACTTTCTTGTTAATGGGGGACGCCTTCCCGCATATCGAGAAATCACACAGAGTCTGATTCCTTTTCTTGGCTAACCTATTGAGTTTCCTACTTGGAATTGTGTATAGATCCATTTCAATATTTATATTAAAATGAGTTTTGCTCTACCCTCCTCGAAATTACCATTGGTATACAGACACCCATATCAAGGATTTGTCAATGTCCTACCCTACATTGATGGAGAGTTGGACACCAAAACTCAAAATATAGTATTGAATGCTCCCCTAAACTAGGTTGATCGTATGATTCAATAAGAAATGTAAAACATGGACCCCCAAGACTACTTGCATGAATTGCCCATGCCTTAAACCAAGGTAACGGACTTGTTGAGATCAGAGATGGAAAGAGTGTAGCTCCAATAACCGATGGCTAAGGTGGATTTTGAATAGAAACCAAATTTCAATGAAGAGTTTTAATCGACTCATGAAATCCAAGAGGCAAATTAGTAATTAAATGTCCTTAATCAATACGCACAAATTAAGTAATTCAACATCATCATACTTTAAGCATTATAAATTCTGAATTGCTCAATAAGTATGGCAAAGAATCGTGGGCTTTATTGCTCAAATCGTAAGAGAATGAGAAGAGCAGGTTGTCTAAGGAGATCGCCAATCAAGAGCAAGAATTGAATCACATCAATGCTTAACGTAAATACGAATAGGTAACATTGACCTCATATTAAGAATGAAGTCAAATATAAGTTGGACAGCTTAAAAGCCAAGGTCTAGGATGTCTTGACGAGCAATGCTTAATTGGAGGTTGTGTGCGGAGAATTGGAACAGGAAATATATGACAAGTAAAGAAAATAATTAAAATTGAATTGATTTTTAATATATAATTTATTCTTTGATGAATATCAATATATACAATTCTTCAAGTTTTATAGATCTCATTCCGAATGACTTCAACTAAAAACACACTGTGTCCTCATTGAATAAAATTAAAGTCAAAAAACTCAACAAACAGATTTAATCAACTTCCGACTTTGCCTCTTCATCTTGTTTGCAAATGCTCACAAGTGCAAGCTCCAATCGCAAAACATTCAAATAAAATACTGACATGTATAAATTGGGCTAATAATTTTTATAACACAAAAAGGAAAAACAATAACAATTGATTCATTAATTGGAAGCCAAATTCTAACAGTCATGTCCATTTTCACCCTAAATCACATCCAATTCTCGAGTCATTGCTTCTGTGTCCAAAACTACTGTAGATAGAGGAAGACAGTCCTCTGAATTGATTGATTCCCAATCGATTAAGTTACAAAAAGAACTAGAAGAATGCACTTTTTCCCCTCAGATTTTGAGAAGAAATATCGATATTTTTGATAGATCTTCCCCATTCTATTTCAGATAAATTGATTGGAAATCAAATCTTTAAGAGAAATTACAAGCAAACAGATCATAAAACCAAACTCAATCAACCATTTCCCAAAATAAGCAAATCCATCCAAAATACTTAGACTTGAGAGCAAGCCACGCTTTGAAGAAAAATATTTCTGCAAAATATCTAAGATAATCGTTGACTTAGATTTGAATTATTAAATTTAATAATAATTTTGTTTTTTCACATTCAACTTATACTCTAATTAACTTTATCAACTTATCAAATGAAACACCTTGATTAGAACTATGTTTTTCTAGAAGAAATAATGAAAAATATTAAAGATAAATATATTTACAAAAAGTAGTTATCTTTTTGAGAAATTAAAAGATTACATATATTTTGAAATAGTGTTTATTCATAAGAATCTGTTTAAATTAAATGTTAGTTTCTTATAACATCTTAGATTAAAAAAGTATATCCTAGAAACTAAAGATTTTTAGTTCAATTTTTATTAGTTATTATTATCTATATTTGATGATTTTCACAAATGAAACACCTGTTGTTTAATTCCAGATTGAATATGATAATTATTAAGATCTTTTTTCTTATTATAAGTAAGAATGCAATTTAAATATATTTTTCGCACGAAATATAATTTAAATTTGAACTAAAATAAAGATGCAAAAGCAACAAAATGAATAAATTGAGGAGGATGAATATGAAGAGGTGATTAGCTATACATCTTTAGAGAAGTTAGCAATTCCAGGATTTGGAGCAGTAGATATACAGAGATTAAAAGATGCCGGATTTACAACATGTGAATCAATTGCCTACACTGCCAAAAAGAATTTGATGAATATTAAGGGCATGACTGATGCCAAGATTGAGAAATTAGTTGAAGCCGTGGCTAAACTAGTAGTAAACCAATTCAAACCAGCTACCGATGTTCTTAAACAAAGAGAAAGAATAGTACACATTTCAACAGGGAGCACTAAATTTGATAAATTACTTCGAGGAGGCATTGAAACTGGTGGAATAACAGAGATATTCGGTGAATTTAGAACAGGGAAGTCTCAAATTTGTCACACATTAGCAGTCACTTGTCAAATGAATGATGCAAGGGGAAGACCAGGTGGCAAATGTCTATATATTGATACCGAAGGAACTTTTAGACCAGAGAGGCTGAGTGAAATTGCAAAGAGATTTGAATTGGGAATAGAGGAAGTCTTAGAGAATGTCTCTTTTGCGAGGGCTTATAATGTAGATGAATAAATGAAGTTACTAGTTCAAGCATGTAATTTAATGTCTACAGATAAATATGCATTGTTGATAGTCGATAGTGCTACAGCATTGTATAGAACTGACTATTTGGGAAGAGGAGAGTTGTCAGCAAGATAGAATCATTTAGGGAAATTCTTGAGGAATCTATAGAGATTAGCAGATGAAGTACTATTATGAAAGTTATCTTTTAGTTCAATGTAGCAGTTGTAATAACTAATCAAGTGATGAGTCAAGTAGAAGGTATGAGATGATAGGAGGATTCTATTGTACAATGATGGCCATGGGTGATCAAAAGAAACCAATTGGAGGCAATATCATGGCTCATGCATCTACAACAAGATTGTATTTGAGAAAAGGAAGAGGAGAGAATAGAATTGTTAAGATTTATGATTCTCCATGTCTACCAGAATCAGAAGAGTAATACACCATATCACCTGGAGGAATCGATGATTGCGCTGATTGAATTAATTTTTATTATTTTTTTTTTTAACTAACAAATAAAAATTAGTCAATTACTTTTACAACAATCACAGGAATAGCTAGCTACATGGAGGGCGTGTTCATATGGCTTATTAAATATATTAAGTAGGTATTTTTGAATAACTCATTTGGTCTTTGATTAATTCTAATTATAGCATAATTGTTTTGATATTCTTGTTATCAATTGATTCTGGGTTATTTATTTAAGAATAAATCTAAAGAATGTACAATTTTGAAGAATTATTAAATTATTTTATATTTTTAAAGATATTCGAAATTTTATTTTTAAATTCATCGATGGCTACTAATCATTACTATGTTTACTGATTATTTACATCTAATGAAGTATTCTCCTTTTTAATTCAATACATCAATCTAAAGTCAAAATCCTAGAATTCTTCGTTATCTAAGATGAGATGATGTTTCTTATTCGGTGTATTTGCAATTTCATATTTTATGGATTATGAATTGTCTCTTTTTTAAGATAATTTCTATCCTTAAAGATTCAATAAATATATTTCAATCCCTGAAAAACAATAGCTTAAAGTATAAATTACTCTCATATATTTTAGCATTTGTCAAATCTATGGATTAATTAATAGGTTAAAGCAAACAAAAAAACTCTCCTCTACTTTTTCTAAGTATTCAAGATATAACGCTGAAATTATTTTAACTTGATTATGAAATATTTATAGAATCAGTAAAGAAGTTGTTTTATATAATACCTAGATACTGTAAGTATGGATTGATAAAAGTATATTAAAATAATCATTCATTTTTTAATGAAGTAGTTATTGCTTAAGCTAACTTAACTAGTTCACTTACATAAGTGGAGGTCAATGAACTTCTGCTGACGTAGGATGATTCAATTTTATTTCTAAGTGCCACGATTTCATTCAATTAAACAACATCTGCTAGACTGCGTCCTTGTCTTTTCTTCAATTGCTCAGAGGAAGTACGAAAGGAGTCATACTTGAAGGAATCAGAAGGTTTGGTGTATGATTCAGTTTCAATACTGTATTTGATTTAGGGTGGGGATTGAACAAACTTGAAGGGGGATTGTGAGGAGATGGAGGGAGATTGGAAGGATTCTCTCCACTTGTGTCCACTATTGAAGGATTTAGTGCGTGGTCCCAGAGTGTCGGTAATTCTGAGGGTTAATGTATTGGGTACTTCTATTGAAGGCCTTGAGCTTTGTAAGGTGAGTAAGTGGGTTCACTCCTTTGAGGTTAGGTGGCAACAACATTGGATAGACGGGAGTAGGAGAAGTCTCTGATTCTGGCTTGAAGATTCTCAAAGGAGGGTACTTGTGCTCGGGTATCCTTTCTGAATGGATAGATGATGGTGGTTTACCTATTTGAGTTGAATTTGTTGGCACTTTGTGGAGCTTCACGTTTTAAGAACATAATTTTATTAAACGTTAAAAATTAAATTGTCATCATGTATATTGTCATTAAGTTTCTAATTTATTAATTGTCGTATAGATGGCTTTCCTAGATGAATAGGTGAGAATTACTAATTCAATTCTTCTAGGGCTATCAATTATTTGATACGTCTGGGTAATTGTAGAAATTGTTTGCGTTTCCACTCTCTGGTTTCAGCATAATAATTATCCAACTTGATTTCGCAAGCCGATTGCAACGAAGAAGCATAAGAATCATCTGGATTTTAAGGTGGATCTTGATTGTAGTGAGTTCTTTTGACTCTATGAGTGAGTACCTTTCTGCCAAAGTTCTTTCTAAAGTCGACTTCTGAATCAATGACATTTTGAATGTATTTGGGATGCTTTTCAATCTTGACTCCTTTGGGTTTGTTGTATAAATAATCATACAATTGAACATCAGCATGAGTTAAGATACCATCTTAGTTTCTGCGATCAGTTTTGGCTGCCTTGTGAAAAAGAGTGAAGTCATTCCGTTTCGTTTGGATGCTCAGACGTACAATCTTGTTGATATTGTTCTCATGTTATTCGGCTTGGGTTTGTAATTCTTGGAGATAGAGTTATGCATTGTTTTCAAGCACTGACTTTAGGTAGGATCTGGGAGGAATGGTTTAAATGACTTATTATTGTAATTTGCAAACGGGTTCAACATTGTCATAATTGAGTCGATATTGTTTTAAGTTTTTGGTTTTGGGTATCAATTTCTCTTGATATCCCATGGAATTCTCTTTGTGATTGGCGATGTCCAAAATAGTTTATACTATGGTGAGTGTCTGAGCATTGGCTTGTCTTATTTCTTCATTGTGAGGTTTTTTGATTGCTACTTTCTCTTTGATAAGGTTACGAACTTTGACAATTTTACTCTTTAGGTAGTTTTTTCTTTGTTCGGTTTATTGACGTATTTTGAGAGTCATTCGATGTTTTGGTTAGAGTTGTTGTTCTGCATTCAGTCTGGGGTAATTGAGGGTTTGGATTAGTCTCTGGAGATTCAAGTCACCTTTCAAGTAATGGGCAAAATGTTGTTCGAATTGTTATCCATGATTACGTGTTTCGAATGGTTTTGTAGTCACAAGAGGATCAACATTTTTTCTGGATGACACATGAAGAGTGTTAAATTTACGATGGATATTTTTAGAGTGATCGAAATCGCATGTTGTAGAAAAGCTCATTAATAATTTTAATAATGCAATTCAAAGAAGAATTGATTAATGTGATTATCAACTTGATTGAAGAAATGCTCGAATGCAAACTCAATTCCATCATGCAAGAAGTATTCCATCCCTTATCTTAGGTTAATGACAAACTGGCTCGCATGCATCAAGATATCGAAAACATGTAGGATGTTCTGGTCAAGCACTTCTCTCATCAAGTGGCTCATTCCAGAGCTGAGTCCTTGAGTGAAACGGTTGATACTGCAGAAGAAGATTAATTCAAGAAATCCATCAATGCAGAATTGGATAGTCTTGGTTTACGTGTGTAGCAATTAGAATACATGAATCACATCATTCTTGATACTCAAAGTGCCAATAAAGCCAATTTTAAGGAACTAGAACGCAAAATATAACCAATGCAAGAATAAATTAATAAGTCAATCGAAGAGATGAAAAAGGACTTAAAGGGTACAATCCATCTATCAAAATAGACAAGCAGACCTTTTAATGGACAGTATTGAATGACCAAATTGAACGAGTAGAAAAGTATGTCTAAAAACTCAAACAAGCAGATCTCTTATTCTAATAAAAATAATAATTGTAAACACAAACCAACAAGAAATCCAAATGAATCTAACTAATATATAGTAATTTAAACATCATTCTATATTATTATCATTTACATAACCAAAAATTGTAGATATAGTACTCTTCTTTGGCAATTGAAAATCATCTGGACTCTAGGGGTTTTCAGGATCAATATACGCCGATATCACACTTGTGAATTCATTCTACCCTATTACTCTCTAATTCAACTTGTTTCGATCGAATTTTCTATTGTATATTTATTTAGCTATACATATATTTTACTAACTGAGGCGCAATCGAATTCAATAAACTTATCGTAGTATAAGTGGATGAGGTATTGGGTCTATTGGAGTGAATCTAAAATTAAGAATTTAGATCCAGATTTGATTTCTATAACTTCAGTTTTCCAATGAACTCCATAACGTAAACTCTGGCCTTCTTCCATAAATAGCACGCCTTTCGTTTGGCATGGTAATTCTTGGGCTTCTTGATGCAGTATTTCAGACAAGGATATCTGAGAACTAAATTAACTATCTTCTCTAAATGTTACTGTTTCAATCCAGACAAATATTCCTTTATGATCTTCATTGCTATATACGAACAATACATAAGATTAAGACTGGAACACGTTATCGACAACAGATACACCATCCAACTGTAAGGATTTCTAAATTGACTATAAGTGCAAATCAAGGTGATCATCGCCAGTTGAGTGGATATCTTATCAATGAAGTTGTATTGCTTCTCAATGTAAGGTTGATGTTGAGTCAACAACTCAAGGTAAATCAGTAATATTAATATTGCAAACAGGAACATTAACTTGATATCCTAAATCAACAGAGTCTTCAAAAAATAGAATATTGATTTCACAAAAAAACAGATGAACTCCCAATAATAGTATCTATCCTTATATTCCACATATAAATAACCATACGGCATCCTCAATTTGCAAGTCCACAACTTGTTCTTATTCATGTACAACTTCACTATGTAAAAGATGGGAGAGATCACTCCTACAATCAGCAGAGTGGGGATTATAAATACCTATAAATAGAAGTAGTACTCATCAGTGTAGCAAAGGTATGATGTGGCAGCTTAGATGTAATATTAGCCTGAGGCTTTGATGCAGAACATCAATTTCAATAATCCTTCGATGATGTCTCCTTAAAAGTAAAAGTTCACTTGAATGACACTAGTTATGAAAATATTCCTTGTTGAGTCTTCCAATGGTTTTGTCTTACAAAATTGTATTAGACTGTATATGAACACAAAAGAAAACACAAACAGCAATGAAAAAAACAGATTCCAAAACTACCTTAAATACACTATTTCAATCTCAATATTGGATTGCAATAGAAAACACTCAATAGAGTATCCTATTGTAGATAAAGGGTTTCCTATTACCTAAGCAAAAAATACTATTGGCATTGGAAACTCAAACTCAATTATCAAACTAATCGAAATCAATTGGAAATAACTAGACACTGATTTAATCAGAATTTCAGTTTAATCAATAAACATTGTTGATCTAGTTGCAAAAAAGATACCCATCATCCTTAGATAATAGGCTGATAATTGTGATCTCACTAATTTCAGACTCCCTCTGACTGATATAAATAAGGCTACTAAAATCCACAAAAATGATAGAAATATCTTTAATATATTAAAAGCATCATTTTAACATAAAGAACAATTTCCACCCTGATTCCTTGTATATGAAGCATTCCATTAAACAGCATAATAATCACAATCATTACATAATGCTCCAACATATCCTTAGGAACAAGTGAAATTCTGTTCTCCCCCTTAACATGAAGATTAAAAGGTCCCACAATATTCTATCTAATCAGTTAAGTTGTTGGGTCTCCAATACCCTTACTTGATCATCAACTATGAGCCTCCAGGACATAACTCAATGGATGTAATGCATTATTAACATTATTTGAAGTTCGTCAGACTATATGTTCCAGCTGGGCATCGTAAACATGTCTAATTCATCCAAGCCTCCCCAATTTCACACTCTATCATATTTAAATAAATCGACAGTTTGAATGTATCATTGTAGAATTTAAATTGTGGGAACTCTATTTGTAGTTCTACTTATTGATTTTTAGGTAAACTCTGATATTATGAATAGGATATTTCGTATTAGCATTTTTGTGAATTGAATTGGAATATCTTGAAATTTATTGACAGATAATTGCTAAAATTACATAATCTATTCTTTCCACTGTCTAAGATAGCAATCATGAATTCAATCTTCTATCCACTCTTTAGTTAATCAAACTCTATAATAGCGTTCTTTTTGATCAAATGATCTAATAAGTACGTTGTATTGTGCAAGGTAATGTACACAGGTCCATTGATGTAGGTATTAAGATCGGGTTCAACAATTTAATTTGTGATTAGATGAATCTACTTGTCGTTTTTCATACTACAATTTTTATAGGAATTATATTCAATATAATGTGTAGCATCTCCTGTTTGATTGAAGGTTATTACGCCACCATCTGCAGAGTACAAGTTATTAAATTGGTTTTCGAAGATTTTAACAGAAGAATTTGTTATTACAAAAGCTGATCCCTCATTACCAGTAAGATTTGTAAATATATTATTTTAAGCAATTACATTGCCGTTATTTTGAATATTCATGTAGCCTAACAAAGATATTGAATTTCTGAAATTACACTGTTTTATTTCAATATAGCTACAATTCTTAATAACAATAACTCCATCACAAGATTAGCAAGTAATATCATAACATTAAAAATCAGTGAATATAACCTTGGAACCATCTTCAATTCTTATAACTTACTTATAATTCTAAATAACATTAAATATCTGACTCTACTTAATTATGAAGTTGGATTTTTGAATAGCAATCAAGGGAATCTGGAAGTTATTTATTTCGAATAATTTAATTAGATTAAGTTTGATTTATGAGTTTTTAACGCAGAGGAAATTACATTCCTCACAATTCTACATCGTAATCATATTTATGACTATGTTTACATTATTTGATAATTTGGCTATTGATATTGATGAACAATTAGTAACTAACAGGTTGGTGATTTGAACTAACGAGGATTATTTGACATTAATTAAAGTTGAATTAAATATCCTAGTGAAATTTACCTAATCAATTAAAAGCTCTTTAATTGAACTTTTGTTGAATATTGACCCTAAAGTAGAATCAAAATGTCCTTTATAAATTTATAGAGTGCCATTGGCAGAGAAAAAGGGGTCAACTGACTGACAAGATTCGATTGTGAATTGAGTTATCATGACATTACTGGAAGAATATTTATTTATCATCAAACTTCCTTTAACCCCCTACAAAGCAAACTTTTTGAGGAGGATATTTTATGAATTAAAATCTAACAGTACCTCTGATTGAACATTAATCATAGAAGTATTTAGCATTTAAATATATTTACTTTCAGCCACAATTAGTTTTGAGTCTGATATTATAGAATGAAATAGGTTTCCAACTATTTATATTTAATTGTTGCTTTGCATCATCATCAAATGACTTTAGGAGAATGTTACATTAATAATGTTTGTGTATAGTGCTCCACTGACTTGTAAAGCTGTAGAAAGAGTAAAGTATGAATTTTGAATTGTAATTTCTTATGAAATGTCTGTAACAATCAAAATACTTTAAATTACAAAGGAGTTATTAAATGTGATACTTCTGAGTAAAGCAACTGTGGCCAAAGTTGAGTTGATAAAACTGACTTAATCGAAGATAATATTGCGTAATCTACTCAGTTATTGGACAAGAGAACTTCTAAAAAAAGTAGAGTTAGATATAATCAGTCCATCTGCATCTACTGGTGAAGCAAAGACTGGGTTGTACTAGAATATCATCTTGGTCATGATAGTTTATCGAATGAATATTTTGGTTGCATTGATTTAGCAATTACTTGTAAGAGTAACATTGTTCAGATGGACTTATGTTGATATTGACAGCATTTTGGTTTGTGTGTTAATTGTTATATTCTGAAATTCGACTAGTTGGAATCCTTGTAAAAGGATGTTCTGATTCAAAAGCAATTCAGTTCCTGTAATTTTTAGTTATCCACCCAAGGATGTCATATTGATTAGTTTATCATTGCTAACATTCAGTGTGCAATTGTAGTTTGGTATTGTGATGGATTTATCGAGTTGCAAAGTTAAACCTAATTAGTCTTTACAAATCAATAATCCTATTGCGAAATATATATTTATGAGCAAAAACAATCCTTTCATCAAATAATAAATAGTGATTAATTATTTCAATAAACATCAAAATCATAAAACATCAATACCCATTATAATTTTATGACCTCCCAACTATTCTAAATATTAATAAATAATATTAATTTATAAGAATTACAATAATTAGTATCAAATTAAATTGATATAATCTTTACCATTTATAATAATAATACTTATTTAAATTTATGTCTTATTAATCAAAAATCACTTTGTTCATTAAACATATGGAAAAGCATAACTGAATTCCCTACTCTAGAAGATATTAGCAAATTTTATTACCTATTTGAATGGTCTCACTGTTGAGATTGTATAAACCGATGGTACTGTGTACGGAGTCCGAACTATGGGTTGTGCATACTGAATACCAGCAGGACTTTGAATAGCATATTGTTCCTCTATAGGCATCACTAACCTAATGGGACTCTAATCAAATTAAGCATGAGTATTCTCTATTTAATGATGATTAGCATTATTATTAATATTATTAGGATTATTAGGATTATTAATATTATTATTATTATTATTATTATTATTATTATTATTATTTATATTATTATTTTTATTATTAGGAAGATTACTATCAGTATAATTATATAATGAATATACTACTGAATCATCCACGATACTTGAGACTCTTCTAATAGGGTTCTCCTCTTGCCATTCATTATCTCTAAGATTTAAAAATTCTCCATTATTGGAAGCTACCGTAAATAATCTATTCAAGTGCAACTTAACTTGTTATAATGAGAATTAATTTATTTGGATTGGATTATTTTAATAGGTTAATTAAGGCTCGTGATACCCTTGATCTGGTTCAACAAAATATAGAATGGCTTCTTTCATACAAGTTTGAGAATCCTTAAGCTTTTCCAATTTGGATATTAAATTCCTCCATTCAACGACCAAATCTGGTTGATAATTTTAATCAGCTTTTCTGAGGAGATCTTCAAAAATTGCATCGATCAATTTGTGGAGATCTTGGCGCAATTATAAAAAATCATGTCTTTGATGTAAGGCAATTTCATTGGCCCTTTTGGCATAGCCACGATAGACTTGAGTTAGAGTGTTTTGGATAGAATCGACTTAATAATAGGCTTGGAATATGACTTACTAAATTTGGAATGCTGGGGAGAATGAGTTCCCAAACAAGTGTCACATAGAGGCATTAAGCATGATGTCTTTTTGCAGAAATGAGTTATAAATTTCGGATGATAGACGCATTTAGTTTAAGGCAATTAGGTGAATGTGTGATCCGGAGAAATTTGGACTGGTTGTTATTGATCGTTAATAGGTTATAGTTATTAATATATCATAAAAATATAAATATATATACATATATAAAATAAATAAATGAACAAAGCTGAGGATAGTTAGAATTAGTTTTTTGTGATTGAACGTACACTTATGATGTGAATTATGTAGAAATTGAGATGAGCAGTGAGAGTGAACCTGAAGACTTGGAAGATTTGGATGAATTGAATGACATCAAACATGAAGAAGAAAATCTCAATGATTTAGATAAGATTATAACTGATGTGAAAAGTAAGATTCTATTCGATAATTACTTAGAGGAAGAATACATGCCCAAAATAAGAGCAGAACCCCCAGAGCCAAAACCACCAGGGGTTATAAAGAGACCAGAAGTTGTGGATGACTTTATTCGTAACTTCCTCATCAAGAATCAAATGAATCGAAGTCTGGAAGTATTTCAGGTATTTTTCATCATCAATTGTCCTAGTAAGAATGGTACGAACTATCATAGAAAGGCAAATTGGCTACAGATGGAATGGGTTAAGTGACAGATGTTTATGTTTAAAATGAGAAACTTAAAGAAGAACTAAAATATGTAAGAGGAGAGTTGGACAAAGCTAAAATTGTAGCTGAAAATGCCAAATCCACATACGACAAACTCAGAAAAGAAAGAGATTTCCACAAAATGCATCATCATAGAGTCCAATAAGAAAAAAGGAAATTGAATCATGACATTGATAAGTTGAAAGGATTGCACTAACAATATGAAGACAAATATGAAGAACTATCCTAAAAGTATTCCCACGCTATGAAAGAAAAGATGTTATTGAAATTAGAAAGAGATAGATTGGTGGCAAAAAATGATGCACTCCAAAGAAGTTTATAAAATGTATATCTTAATTAATAATTAAAAAAAGGTCGAAGAAAAGATCAATAAAGAAAAAGAGCCAGGAAGTCCCACAGATAAACTTCCTTTAGTTGACACCAAGGCCAACACCAAGAAGGCATCAACCAAAACCAATACTCAATTCCCTCCTGATGATAGACCCAATCCTTATGCAGGTACTCAAATAGAACCACAAAATTACAGAAATGCCATCCTAAATAAAACTTTTAAAGGACACATGATGGCCATCTCATCTATGGATATGCACCCAAAGAAATCCATTGTTGCCACTGCCTCTGATGATTTCACTTGGAAAATTTGGACCTTGCCATAAGGTGAATTGATCATGTCTGGAGAAGGCCATAAAGATTGGGTCAGTGGAATTCATTTCCATCCAAAAGGAAGTCATCTAGTTACCTCATCTGGTGATTGTACAATCAAGGTCTGGGATTTCATCAATGCATCATGCACTCATACATTCAAAGATCACATTTAACCTGTTTGGGGTGTTAAATTCAATGACACTGGAGAGTTCATTGTGAGTGCTAGTATGGATCATACATGTAAAGTATTCGATTTAGCATCCGGTAAAACTAGGCATACATTCAGAGGACATGTATTTATTTATTTATTATTCAAAGGTCGATTCTGTCAATCACGTGAGTTTCCAGCCATTTTCAAACATCTTTACTTCTGCTTCAGCTGATAAGACAATATCATTATGGGATATCAGAAGTGGATTATGCGTTCAAACCTTCTATGGCCACTTGAATAGTGTCAATCATGCCACCTTCTCTTTAAAGGGAGATAGTATTGCCAGTTGCGATGCTGATGGAATTATCAAAATGTGGGATGTTAGAATGGTCAAGGGAAGATCACAATTTGATGCAGGTCCTTATTCTGCCAATGCTGTGGCTCTGGACAAGAGTGGCACTATACTTCTTGTGGGCTCCGATGACCAATAGATCAGACTCTATAATGAAACCACCTAGAAGGTATGATCCTTATTCACGTATTCAATAGTAAGAACACACTTTGAAGGGACATGAAGATGCTGTCCAAGATGTTGCCTTTGATTACAATAGCAAAATGATTATTAGTTGCGGTTCCCGATGCTACTTTTAGAATTTATTAATGATTTAAAATTTTATAAACAAGATGCATATTATTTAGCCAATTTTACTGAAGATTTACCTTCCATTTATATCTTATTTTTATATATTCTTTAAAAACTATTCTTGCAATCCTTTCATGTAAAATGACTATTCAAATTCTAATTATTTAAGCTTCCTTCAAATTTTGATTTAAATCATAAAAATTAGATGAATCAAGTTTAAGAGAGATTTAAAAGATTCGACATTTTCGGTTAAGAAATCAGACTAATGGCTTCTGGCTAGTCCGCTTTCAGAACAAACATTGGAGCATTTATGACTTTGGCTTTATTTTCTATTCTGGCATATTCTTGTAATTCCTTTATTTTGGAAATGAATAAAGGAAAAAATGCTATGCTTAATTCTAAGGAGACTGTAATATCTGGAGAAGAAGTAACTCGAAGAAATTTAACTTAGGGTTATACCTTTAATTCGACTGAGCTTATCTTCGCTGTTGGATTATTAGACAATTTGGGATAACCTGTTCCTAATGATAATAATCGAGTATTTTCTATTAGCTTTTACTATTGCAACAAGTCATTAACCGACACTGAGTGCACCTACATACCAGGAACAATATGTGGCAGCAGAATTCAAGAAATCTCACAAGTAAATATACTTTTATAAGTTAGTAATTAAATATACCAAAGGGTTATGAAGATATTACTTACTGTATGGATGAAGAATACATTAAGTAAAATCCAGAAATCAGAATTCAAGGCTCAACTAGATAAGATAATTTTACCTTATTAGGAGCATTAGTCTAAAGATGTCAGAATAGCACGGATTCTAATAGTAATTTATAATTAAATTAGATTGTGCACCATAGGAGGATATTGATTAATATATCAAAAATGCAAATCTATACTACTCTTACTCTTTTCATCAGTTCAACAAAGAATTGGATGATTCCCCTTACGAAAAAGCCTAAAATATTGATGTTACACCAATGTACTACAAAGTTCGAAAATATATAAAAATTTATTTTTAATACTCATAGAGTTAATTGGAGTATAACCCTTTTTACTTTTTCCCTTCTTACGCTCAGCATGATGGCTTTGAATATTAAAATACAGGAATAGATACGGCCTTAAATTTTGAAGACGACAGCAGTTTTGCCCAACTAGAAATTAATTTGGATGCGAAGAAGAGGATTCATTTCATCACCTACCAAACCTTAATGGATGTTGCTGCCAAGATTGGTGGCTTTTTCACAATCATTAGAATCATTTTTGAAATTGTTCTATTCCCCATCTAATCAATACTTTACAGACTCTATTTGATCAATTGTTTAACTCATCAATAAAATAATGTCAATACCAATACATCTGACACTCCTAAGAATAAAACTAATAACTTTTTAACCTTCTATAGACTAATAAAATCTGCAAAAGCAAGATAGTTCTATCTTAATCAATCTGTTCTAATTGATAAGTTTTTGGACATAACAGAAATACTGATTAACCCTTTACGATTTACGCGGCAAGTCGAAGACTTATATGGGTCAATAAAGAAATTTGATATTGTAAGTGCACGGCAGAATAATTACAACATTAATCAACAGATAGATGAACTGGTGGCTAATAACAATAACGACTTTGCAGATCTCAAAAGCTTGAGTCCAAGAACTATAAATTAAGAAATGAAGTTGGGAAGTCTAACCAATTTTAAGGTTCCTCAACTTTCTATAAATTGAACTTTAATAATATTTAAATATATAATTGGATTTTATAAAAAGATATTAATTGTAAGTCATTTTAATAATTGATTGAGTAATTCTTATGCAAGATATGTTTTTGAATCTATCTCTGATTTAACTAATTAAATTTGTGTTCTTAATACGCTTTCTTTGAAAACTTATTAATTTAATATTACATTTATCGAGTTGATCTCTTCAATCTGTTCAAGTTGTCTTACATACATAATTATTTTAATCCATTTATAGAAAAATATAGAAACTTTATTTTTTAATCTATCATCTACTTTCTGTAGGTAAATAAGGATTCTGAAAACAGCTCTGTTTCTGGAATTCTGAGATTTTGTAGACAAGGACACTTTGGAATTATTAGTGCTTATTGGCGATTTCGATCTTGATTTTTATTTATTTTCCTTCTAATACACAACATTATTTTATTAAATTTAAGTAACAGTTGATTTAAATGTATTCTAATTTGTATTGTATTTCGAATTGCTTGCATAATTCATTGAGGCAGTATTCCTGATAAATCTATGAAATGCGATGGGTCTTGATCAATCTTTCTTTTCGAGCTGCATTTTTGAATAATTGAACCAAAATTTGTTTTTGTCTAATTTAGAAGAAAGCCTTTCTCTCCAAATCGAATATCTATTCTTCAATAATCTTACGCTATTTCTTCATATTTCTATATGGATAGCGTTTTTATTTTTCGAGATCCTTTCTTTCAATTTCCCAATTCTTTTCAAAAATGTCCTAATTTTGAAAGTATCTCCAAATGTAAAAGTAAAAGCATTTTTTGGTTTAATAAGTTTAATCTTCTTGTCTACTATAGTATTTTAACATGAGAGTTATTAGTTTTTGAATATCTTTTTAATCATATTACATTTAATAAAACGACCTGTCATCATCTGATTCATGTAAATTTTTGAGATGATCATCCATTTCTTAAATGATATCTCTTTATTCCATTTACTTATTAAATTCATTCTTTCTCTAAACAATTTGTTCTGCTATATTCATTAATTTAATAAATATCAAATAAAGCCATAAATCAAAATCAGAAGTCCTCCTCATCATTAAATGACAATGAGCCAAGTCTTTACTCTTTACTCTTAATAGGAAACTATGTTTAACCAAACCCTTTAAATCCTGGTTTTCTCTATTTGATGCTCCCAAAAACCACTTTGCTTTCTTAATTCATCAACAATTCCTATTGCTTTTACTATTTCTCAGCCTCTATTTTATCTAACTAATCCTTCTCCTATTAGTGTTTCATCTCAGCAATTTCTTATCTAGCATCTCTATAAAAATGGGGAGCTATTTCAAAAAGCCAATGCGGATCAAGCTCAGTAACATTGTGCATGGTTAGTTTATGATCTATAAATTATCTCAAAGACCTTACTTTGTTCAATCAATTCATGATAAATTACCCATTCAGGGTATGAAACTGTTAAAACCGAAGCAGGATGTAGATGAACTAATTGTTTAGTATAGATATTCCTGTAAACACCTTCCCTTGCTGTATTCTCTCGTTATGCTACTTAAGAGAAGAAACCAGAAACAAAGCATCTTTAAATAGCCTCTACATCTTGGATGGAACTTTTAATTTACCTGTTTTTCCTTTTTTTTTGAATTTATTTGTAGATCTTTCCAGCTGATTCTAATTTATATTTTGATACTCTGTAGGTATCACACCAATTCCCTTTATTTCCAATGTTAATATATCTAACAAATATATTATGAAGTGATAAAACATCTCCTTCTCTACATCCCAAAGCCTTCTTGGCCTTCAACATTTATAATGGTGTTGCATCACTACTAAAGATACCTCCTTGTATACTGAGAATACTGGCTATTTTCAACATCTCATCTGAACATTAAAACTCCTCTAGAAAGCTGTTTTCAACACAAACTGCCAATTATGTTTCCAATGGATAATCAACTATGGCATTTCCCAATTCTGTTAATGAAAAGTTTTCATCAATCAATTTTAAACTCATCAAAATGTTTATGCAATTGATTAATTACTCATTTGAAACAGGAGTCAAAAATGTATTGCTACATTGTAAATGATTTGGTGTTAGTGAGAATGACTAAATAAATGCCAGTGATTTTTACTCTAATCTATAAAATGAGTTCTGTGAGATTAGATCTCAATATTTCTGGAGGGAAGGTCTTAGGCAAATTTTAATAATCTTCCTTAGTGCATAGTCTATAACAAATTCCATCTCTCGTTCTTCCAGCTCTGCCTGCTCTCTATGCACCAGATTGCTAGGAAATAGGTAAAATATTTAATTATTCCAAATCTATGTTAATAAATTAATTTTCCATACTTCTCTTATAATCATAAACTTTTACTTTTTGATAACATGAATCTATCACATATACTATTCCATCAATAGTGACACTACTTTCTGCCACATTGGTTGATACTATAATTTTTCTACTTGCATGCTATTTAAACACTAGCAACTATTTATCAATGCCCAAATTGGCATGAAGTGGTAATACTACACAATTAGCCTTATGATGTGACCATAAATTGATAAATGCATGGATTTCTTCAACAGATGTTAAAAACACAAGAACATCACCTTCTGGCATCTTTTTGTGAATATGATATGCTAATTCCACAGCAGCAATCACATAGTTTTTACATGGTTCTAGTAGATACATAATCTAAATATCGTTTAGATTATAATTACATCAACTTCATAATTCCTACCTCTGATTGCAATGATTTTACTATTCGGGAAAAAGTTTTACAGTAAATCAACTTCCATTGTAGCAGATGAAACTATCACTTTCAATTCAGGTCTCTTTTTTTGGATCTTCTTGATTAAACACAACAAGAGATCTGTATTTAAAGTGCGTTCATGAATATCATCGAGCATTACAACTGAATATCCTTCAATCAATGGATTGCCCATTATGATTTAAATCAATGTTCCATCAGTCACATATTCAATTTTTGTATTTTCACTCACTTTCGATTCGAATCTCACTCGATAACCAATGTCCTATCCCAATTCAGTCCCATTTTCATCAGATACTCTTTATGCAATACTAATGGCAGCCATCTTTCTAGGCAACGAGACCAAAACTCTGTCTTCTCCACCATAACCAGCTTCTATTAAATATTATGGTATCTCTAATATTCATTAAACATTATGTACAAGTTGTTTTGCCTGACCCTGTTTCAGCTAGGATAATCAATGTGCTATTGGTATCGACTCCATATAAAATTTATTCTTTATATGCTCTAATTGGCAGATTTTCATGGATGACATTTCCTTTTGATTAAATAAGCATAATTAAAATAAACAATTCATTATTCAGGTACTACACTGAATATTTTCATTTTCTTCATCGCACTCTCCTACAATAAATTTCTAAGTAACCATGTTTTCATTAGTAATTTCGATCTTCTTCATTTGCATAAGCCTCTAATGTAACATCACATTTATTGGATATAATTTATTTTCAATTTCTGTATGGATCTCAACAGACTCACTAAATCCAAGAATGAACAATTTGTCACTTTCATAACTTTTGATTAACTCCAAGCAAATCACCTTTTCTCCTTTATAAATAGGTCCAATTATCTCTAAATTCTAACTCAAAATATAGATTGATGTTTAAATATCGTCATCCATCTTCAAGATTACTCTATTGAAATCTATGATCATTTGTGTGCATTTCTAAGTAAATTTATATGGAATTTCAGTAAGGATTTTGCCATTAAATAAATAGAGTTATCCACTCCTCATTCCAATTAAGAAATTGCTTCCAACCTTAATTACACTCTCCATGGATTGTTCCACATTGTAATGCTAAGTGTACTTCAATTGTCCAATATCATTCTATGTGAATATTCTGATCAATCCATCTTTACAAAATGTAAATAGTTATCCATCCTCGAAGTTTGTATAGACAATCTCTTTCATTGATATATCAGATATTATCTAAGGACATTACTGATGGAACACATTATGGAATACCAATAGATTTTTAAAGGATTCCTCCTCTTTCTAAAATTGGATGATTAGAGTATATTCATTGTTTGGATGTTCTTACATAAAAGCAGATATAAATTATTTATCTGTTTGACTAATGGTTACTTTCCTTTCTTCATCTATTATTTCTATACCATTTCTTTTGAATGGGATTTAATAAAAATCAATTGCATCTGTTCTTAAAATGCCTAAAAATTAAAAATGATATCCTGCGATTTGAATTAGATTAGATATGTTCTTCTTTTATGCCAAATTCAAGACTTAATGCCTTTTCTTTACTTAAATCTCATTCTTTTTCACTTTCTTTGTAATACTAACATTTTCTATTTATTATTCACTCTAACTCGGTCTCTCTTTCGTCCTCTCTTTCATTCTCTCTTTCGGTCTCTCATTCTCATTCTCTTCATCTTATATCTAATCTCTTTTCGTAAATGTATTTTCTCTACCTCCTCTGCCTCTACCTCTTCCTCTTCCACGTGTATTCTATTGAAATTGCTACTAATCATCTCCATTCTCGATATCTTGATTTCTTTGCCATCTCTCCGAATTAACATTATTCCTCTCTTAATTGTTTTTCTCTCTATACACCGGTTTTTAAATCTAATTTTCCTATTAATCCTAATTTCGATCCCATTTTTATTTGATTTGTCTATTTTCATTTCCTTCCTTTTATTATCCAAATCTTTAGCCGCTTTTTTGCTCATATGAATTCCTTGGTTATTGCTGCCTCTATTTTTACTCAATTCTGTCACTTTTATCAATTTTATAATTGTCTTTGGTTTATTCCTCCTCCTGATATCTATCAATCTAACCTCTTCCCCTGCCTCTCCCTCTCACAATTTTTCTGTCTTATGTTTAATAATCATTATTCTTCTTCAAATTCAGTTTGCCCTTCTCATCTCTAACTAGATTAACTCTCTCAATATTTGATGTGTCATGGGAATATTTACATTGGTCTCCTTCCCTGCAATTACCTTGTACATAAAATCTGCATGGAGCATCAAATTTAGCATTCATATATATTTGTTAATAAATTAATAATAAATATTCTCATTAGAAATTAGCGTTGTAGTAATGCATTGTTTTCACTTCAATTCAATTATATTTCAATAATCCATTATTTGACTCATCCACGAAATTAATAATAATATAATCGTAATTAAAGTATCTAGAACCCAATTATTAGAATGATATTTGATATAAATATTATATAAATTTTACCCTTAATTTACTTTCATGCTTGCAGAAGTTTCACATTTGAAATTTGTTCAATGACTTTAAGTTTTGATTGTATTAACAATAAGTGTATTCTTAATCCAATAAAGTTATTATTAGGATTAATAATTCAGACTATTTGGTTATGACAAGTAAAATATGTCAAACTGGAAATTTGATAAGTTTAGTTAAGACACAAGTAAGTAATTGAGTGAAAATGATTATGAATCAGAAAATCACTTAACAATCGTATAATCATGATTTAAATTGAAAATAATTTAATTTAAATATTTAGAGCTGAATTACTACTAAAGAGATGTGTATTCCTAAGAGTAGGTTATCAAATAATTAAATGGATGCAGATAATACATAGACTTAGATTGATATATTTAATACTATATGATAGAAGTCAAGTAAATATATATGCATATTAAATAAAGAATATATCAAATGATATGTTATTTCATATTGGCTTTTGATATAAATAATAAAAATATATAATGATATCTGAGAATGAGAGTACTCGAGTTTTGTTGGTGATTGTGCAGAATCCTTAATCTATAATACTGCCTCATTCTTTGTTCTATCGATACTTTTCAAGTTATGGGGAAGTGAATAAGATATTGATATTCGAGAAAGGAAAGTTATGGAAATGCTTTATAGAGATGGCTACTTTACAGTAGGCCAAGATTTCATAGTAGTAATTGAATGGCTGTTAGTTGTACGAGTAAACAATAATGAATGTGTAAACAATCTAAATGATTCATAGTTACTATTCAACACTGCAGAGTGTCACATTCCTGAACAACAATTCAGGCGGTGTGGATTACAAGGCAATGAAACAAAGAAATTCGACCAAGACTGTGAATGTTTATGAATAAGACTATCATCCAAAGACATACAGTCAACCCTTGATAACTCAATAGGATGCGAAATTAAGCATGGCCAGTTTTGGAAACGAGAGAACGAGAGCCAGTTTGAACGACAAATAAGATTTCCAGGATTATAAAAATGAATGGGAACCTTCAAAAATATAAACATCGCTGGAATTTATAGATGATAGTGATTCCCCTAGAAACAGAAAGTACGCCTCCTTCAAATCAATATAATTTGATGACAACGAACATGATCCCATAGATGAAGACATAATGCATGCATTTTCATCTGAGAAGAACACTTACCTAAATTCGTATATGTTTTCGATACCAGAGGTAGAGGACAGGATAAAGAATCAAGATATTGACCCATACACTTATGTATCGCCTTAATTCTTGAGAGAAAATCAACCTTCCAAAGTTGTCTATTTGAGAGGGTTGATGAATCAGAATATTACGCCATTAAACATATTTAATTTACTATCAAATTTCGGAAATGTGTTAGTAATCATTCATATCAAGCATAAAACATCAGCCTTGGTGTAATTTGAGAAATTGCAACATGCTTAAAATGCACTTGATCATCTAAATAATCAGGTGTTCTTTGCATACAAACTGAAGATCTTCTATTCAAACTATCAAGAAATTCAGTTCCCCTTGCCATTCCAATCCCCTCAAACCTAAGTCTTTATGCCCATTCCATCGCAATTCAGATTTAGCGATGGCAAATCTATATCGTTCAATCCACCTAGCCAAATACTGCATTTGAGTAATATCAAAGGGAAGATGTGCGAAGACGAGTCCTACATCAAAGAGATCTTTAAAGGAATTGGCAATGTTTAAGCAATCAAATTTATACATATCGACAAGTAAGAAAACCTCTATAATAGATAAAAACATATGGCATTAGTAAGATTATCGACTTTAGAAGAAGCATTGAATGGAGCAGCTTTACTTCACGGGAAAAGAGGTAATGGGCAGAAAGATCAATGTTTCATTTACCAAAAGTAAATTATGCTGAAATGTAACAGAGTCAGCTTTTGCTCAAGTATTATGACTTTCTAAAACAATATAATTATTAATTATCCTTATTTTTATATTTCATGCTTTTACACCAGATGATGCGAACAGATCCTCAGTCTTCTTTTCAACTTCAGGTTCGAATTAACATAATTGTAAACTTCTTTGGAACTGGCTGATTCTTTTGATGATTCTGGAATGCAAGTAAGTCTTCGAAGCATGAATGTGATAATGCAAATATTGTCTAACATTACTATGTATATTACCTAAATCCTTATAAAAATGTAGATAATTATTCTATATTCTTACTAAAATGTTACGCCTTGAACAATGTCATCGTTATCAATTATGAATTTGGATCCACCTTGATATTCGACACTTCTGGAAATGCTGATTTCAATATAGAAGATTGATAATTCGATCTTGAAATAGGAGGAGCCATCTTCACATTTTTCTTTGCATCGATTATCTCACGTGATTATTAGATTTGCCAATGTCCTATCAACATTGTCAGAAAATGAAATCTCATAGAAAATGTTCAAAGCATCCTTGTCAGGAATGGCATAAACAACTTCATTCTCTCTACTTTGATACTTGAATGGAGATGATGCCTCTCCTTTATTCGATTTGTATCGAATCGCCTCACTCAAATGCAGCTGCATAGAAGTTTCTTCTTATCTATGAGAAATCCTTTGTGACCTTCTCAAACAATTTCTGATTCTCTGCTCGTATCTGCTATTTTAGCTCTTAAAGTTCAGCCTTTTCTGCCTCTGTTGCATTCTTAGGAATCTTGGGTTCCTCTTTGGCTGATTGGGCATCAAATGAGAATGTCAAATGAAATCCTACATCTGCAGCCTCCTTTGTGTAATCTATCCTTTATTTATAGGTAATTACCCTTATAGTATTTCTCAATCATGTAGTTACCTGCGATGCTGAATATCTCATTGTAATTAAAACAGGTAAACGATAGAAACAATTTACCATCCTCCTTATATTACAATTTCGTGCATGAGTAATTGTAATCCTTAGCAACCACGATTCTTGGATCCTTTTTCCTAAAGTCTCTATATTAAATTACATGATCAAATCCATTATCTAGGTTTAAAGTAGCTTATTCTATGGATCTATGAGCATCATTGTTTTAATTATTTATTTAATTATATAATATTGCTTATATACAATATTTATTTTAATATTATTCTCGTACTTGAATTTTTATTATGTCAAATTAAGATAAAAATTATTAATTGTAATATTAATTCAATTAAATTATTTCAAGGAATTATCAATATTTGGAATTCTATCAATTTCTTTCTTATAATATGATAAGTTTTACAACAATTTTAATAGGTATTATAAATTTTGATAATTATACTAATTAACAACTGAATTATTGCTAAACCTCAGATATACCTACTCAATCGATTTCAAATTACTTTTCAATTCTTGCCCCAGAATATCAATATCAATTGCTACATTTTATGATTGTAATTTAGTGATCAACTTATTTGTGTTATTTATTAATTCTTAATTTTGTAATTTAAAAATAGGATTACTATTCTATGATAAAAAGAATGCTAAATTAATACTAACCAAATTATTTATATCATTTGTTATTTACTAAATGAAAATATTTTTGAGTTCAGAATCATAACCTAAAGAGGTTTTCTGATTATCTTATTATTAATTAGTTAATTAATTTACTTAATCTATAATAATTTTTTCTTTTTCTTCAATTGTTTGTTAGTTCATTTTAGTCAATAAATTTGACATTTTATTTTCGAATTCAATATTTTAATCTTATAAACTTTTAACTTAATCTTCAAGAAGTTATTTTTCCTATTGAAGCTCATAATTCATAGATTCTACCGTCTCTAAGATTATTACTGTCTTTTCAAAAATATGTTTTACATAACTGAAACAAGCCGTGTTTTTCTCCAATTTCTTGAATATATCATAAATTTTCTCCTTTACATAATCATTTTAATTTGTGATATATGATTCTAATTCTATTTTAAAATTGATTATAACTTATTCCATCTACTTTATTGTCCTTATTGTGTCTTTAATTAAGTTGATCATATTCTCAACTTAAGATTAATCGATATCTTTAACCCTATTTAAATTCAGTTAACGATTGGATTGAAATTCTTAAAATTCTTATAATAAAACCTTCATTTAATTTATCGTTTATTCTTGCTCAATTTTAAGTTTTTATGCACTCTTCTGAAATTATGCATCCTCAAATTCAATTTTTATAGAGTTCTCATCTATATTTTTTATTTGCTACTGGATAGTAATTTCTTGAAATTGATTTTGTTATTTATTTAGCTCTATGATTAAATTAGCACTTTTCTTGTTAACTGAAGAAAGTTATCTCATCAATTCTTCATTAACGCTATATGTTTTATCCAATTGTTGTCTCAATCCAGCTATTTGTTCTTCTTAATATTTTATTTATTATTGATAATTTAAACTCTCTTCTGCTAATTAAAATAATTTGATTGATTATATTTCATTAATGTCTTATTATAAATTAAGCCTTTCAACTACTTCTTTATTTTAATTTGACCAAATTTAAAGCAAAAATATACATTGAAATTTTCGAAAAACCTTTTACAGAACAAATAATCGTTCATCTTTATTTGCACCATTATATAATGCATAAGGAAGGATATCTGTAAGTATTGAAACTAAATTTTAACAATCTTTGAGTTTGCATCCATTAATCATTAATAATAATGAAACAAGGACTATTTATAATTAATATAAAAGTTTGATATATAACAAAATGAAAAAATAAAACTCTATTATTTACATTCAACTTCTAACTTTCAAGGAATTAAAAATTTAGATTAAGTAAACAGTTATGAATAAAATAAATTGCATATAATTTTATTCTTCCTTTAATAGTTAGATTACTGAAATAATTGATGTTTTTATTTTTTCAACCCTTAAATTACTTAAATTATATTGTAATATATTTATAAATATACTAAATCAATCAACTGAATAATAAAAATGATAAGGCAAGAAATATTTTTTTATTAATTAATCACAGATTATGATAGAAATGTATATACACAATGCAAATATATATACCAATTATTCTTAATGTATGGGTGGATGTAATTAATTGGAATTTATGAACTTTATTCGTGATTAATTTAAAAATCATATGAAGGATATTAAAGAATTTATGAAAATGTTTTGAATAATGAAAATATGATTTAAATAAATTAAATCCATTCAATGGTTGATAATTATCCATAATTAACGATCGAAATTTTTAATATAAATTATAGTTTATAACCGAGGAACTTTTAATTAATTATTCCACACATTAAAATAAATTAAAAAAATGTCTAAATTCACAAAACCCACATAAGCAGCTAACAAGCTCGTCAAAACAAACCAAGGTGCTCCAATTAAGAAACAAGACTCAGATTCTGATGATTTGAGCGATGTTCCTCCTCCCCCCAAAAAATAATAACAAAAGCCAGTTGGAACAACCAAAGTAGCTGCTAAGGCCCCATAAGTTGATTCAGATGATCAAGACGAACCAGTTAAGTTGGTTTAATCAGTGAAAAAGGGAAGTTTTGATGCAACAAAGCCAAACACCACAAATTAAAATGTAGCCAAGTAGGGATAAAAGAAGCCTGTTCAATAAGATGATGATTCTGATGATGTACCACCTCCTCCAAAGAAGGGAGCAGTGGTTTAAAAAAAGCCTGTCAAATAATAGGATTCTGATGATGATTCAGATGATGCCCCCCCTCCCCCCAAGAAGGCACCAGTAGCCACAAAACCAGTTGCTAAGCCAGCTGTTCAAACCAAGGCCCCAGTGAAACCATAAGTCTAATAAGAGGATTCTGATGATTCAGATGATGTTCCTCCTCCCAAGAAACCAGTTGCTGCAACAAAGCCAGTTGCCAAGCCAGCTGTTTAAACCAAGGCCCCAGTCAAACAATAAGCCCAATAAGAGGATTCAGATGATGATTCAGATGATGCTCCCCCTCCCCCCAAGAAGGCACCAGTAGCCACTAAGCCAGTTGCTAAGCCAGCTGCTTAAACCAAGGCTCCAGTCAAACAATAAGCCCAATAAGATGATTCTGATGATTCAGATGATGTTCCTCCCCCCCCCAAGAAGGCACCAGTCTAATAATCTAAGGCTCCATAAAAGACTTAATAAATTGAATAAGAAGATGATGATGAAGATGAGGCTCCTTAACCAAGAGGAAAATAATAACCTTAAAAGCAAGCTCAATAAGCTTAATAAGGACAATAAGATCATGAAGTTTTCGTGAGAGGACTCTCATTTGATGCCACCGAATAAGACATCAAGGAATTCTTCGATGAGTGTGGAAACATCAACAGTGTTAACTTGTTGAAGGGACCAAATGGAAACTCCAAGGGAATTGCTTTTGTTAGATTCTCCACCGAGGATGGATAAAGTGCAGCTGTTGAATACAGTGGCTAAGAACATATGGGAAGAACCATTACAGTTGAGAAGACAAAGCCAAGAGATCAAAGACCATAATAAGGAGGACAATAAGGAGGATCAGGTGAAAGCACAACATGCTTCATTGGAAACATGAGTTTCTATGCTACTGAGGACTCTTTGTATCCAGTTTTTGAAGACTGTGGAAAGATTAAGGAAGTCAGAATTGCCAAGGATGCTGAAGGAAAGGTATGAATATAGTATTAATGTTTTAGTCAAGAGGATTCGGATATGTCGAATTCTTCGATAATGAGTCAGCTCAAAAGGGACTCGCAAAGACAGGAACTGATGTTGAAGGTAGAGCTATCAGAGTTGATCTTGCCAATTCATCATAAAGAAGTGGTGGTGGTAACAGAGGAGACAGAGGAGGCTTCGGAGGAAGAGGAGGCTTCGGCGGAAGAGGAGGCTTCGGTGGAAGAGGAGACAGAGGAAGCTTCGGAGGAGGTTTCGGAGGAAGAGGCCGTGGAGGTGACAGAGGATTCTCAAGAGGAGGCCGAGGAAGAGGCGGAAATTTAGATGCTAACGATATTGCTGCTAAAAAGGGAACTATTGCTGGATTTGCTGGAAAGAAAATGGCTCTATGATATTATTATAATAAATCATAAATGTGTAGAAAAATTTATAATTTAACATCTTTTCAATAGAATTCAGAAAGATTAATAATTTTAAATGAATTTTATCAAGAATTTATTTGTAAAGCAAAAATAGCAATAAAAAGAACCTCTCTTCTTTGACTCATTTACTGAGAAGATCGACCATTTTGAAAGCTAAGTAAGTATCATATCAGATGGAATTACACTAACTCAATACCCAAAAGACATCATTTAAGTTATAAAATCAAATATTGAATAACTAAAAAAATAATTACAAGAAGCTAAAGTTTATGTAATATCATACGCATATTTTTTAGATCCTTTTTTTAGGTACAACATCTGCAGGTAAGAGTACCTTCATCAATTCACTATTGGGCCAACAAATATTGCCTTCTAGAAATTAGGAATGCACATAAAATGTGATATTTATCGAATACAATGAAAAAATTATTATAAATGAAAAGTAGATTAACAGTTTAGATCAAGCACAATAGATTCTATTTGAAATGTAAAAGAGTAATAAATCTGAAATTGTGAATATCCAAGTCCCATCGCTCTTTCATAATTAGTTCCCTTCTGATTTGAGGAGCAGGATAGTATTCATAGATACGTATGATTATATATTATATATTTTGATAGACCTGGTTTCAAAAAAGATGAATTGTAATCTCTTCAGGCCCATTTCTAAAAAATTGATGATAAGATTGGTCTCTAACATCGTATAAATGTATGGGTTACCAATTACACTTCATTCGATAATGATAAGGAATTATAAAACCAAATTCTTAGCATTTATAAACCTCAAGCATCTTCTGAAATTATAAAAAAATAAAATCAAAAAGCTAGTTACTTGAAAAGTGTAATAATTGAAGAGTTTTAAGGATATTAGAAATAGTAGGACTTATTAATTAGTTCTCATGATATAATCGAAAGCTATGAATCTTTGGAGAGCGTAAGAAAGTTTTAATCCTAAACATTATTTTTTATTCTTAATAAATACGATGAAAGAAAGGTATCTGAAGATAAAAACGTCGATCTTATAATTTAAGAAATTAGTTAAATGATCGGGAGTGAATTGAATATATTTAAGATATCAGCCTTAAGAGCTATGAGGTATAGAATATTAAATTATGGATCTTAATAAGCCATTGATAAATTTATGGAATCTTATTTCTTGGATTATAGAGATGTTGAGCTATTTGTGACTTAAAATGATTGCAGAAAATATTGCAATGAGAAAATTAAAAATAACCCAAACCTTTTATAAAATCAAGATTATTTAAAGTTATAGAATCAATTGGAATCCAATATCAAATTATAAATCAGTGAAGCTTTCTATGGAGATAGGTTTCTTTAGATAATACATTGGTTGATTGTATTAGAATTGGTTGTCAGTCCTTAATAAATTAAATTAGAGGAAAAATAATATGAAGCTTTGAAAGATTTAATCTATTAGTTCATAGACAATTAAATATAGAGCTATAATCATTGTATTTCAAAATTCAAAAATGATACTATATGTCAAATCAAAAAGGATTTGGATCGTTACAAATCTCTATTATTATCTGAAGAACCATAAATCCTTATAATTTCGGCATGCAAATAAACGTTGTAAACAATGATTGAATATGAATAAAAGATTATATAATTAAATGAGGATGTAAAGAACGGATTAATATTAAAATTGTAATCCATCTTTCCATAGCAATAGAAAGATCCATTATTAAAAAGCATTTAATTGGTGGGATAAAGAGATGTGTCTATTCTTGATGGGTGCACACAATTATTTGAATTGGTGAATGAAAATAATGTCAATGAAATTTAGAAACGTAGCTTTTAATAATATGCTGATAGTGTACAAAAAACAATGGGAGTGAGAATCAATCCAATATAGTCTTAAGTTGGAATTATTTCTACTGGACTATCTATTGCAGCCTACTTAGGAAAGAGATTCGCATTTCAAACTTTGAGATGCTCACCAATCTTTGCAGCAATAGGTATAGGATTGATGTCATTCGACTTATCCTTTATGTTTGGGAAGTAATGGTATTCAACAAACATAATTAATGATCAATTGCATGTATATATACTTTAATAAATAGCAATGGGAATCTACTTTGATATAATTAATTGAGGATCAAGAGAAAAGTTATAGCCAAGTAAACAAACAAACTTTTGGTTGTGTCAGAAATGTTTTAAGTAGTTTGATGTAATGATAAGTCAACTTTATTTTTTAAATATTTATTAGTTTATAATCAATAAATTAAGTTCAGAAACAATGCCCTATTTCATAATTTTTATAATTTATCAATTGATTTATGTAAGTATTAATTAATATGCTTTAAACGAGAAATTTCTAATTTTTAAGAATCAATTGTTTCTTTTTATTCTTTGAACTTTACTTCATACTCTTTTATTTTTTCTATCATCAATTTCTTCTCTTCTAAGTAGTTTAAATGATCATCCAATCTCTGTAAATGCTCTCTTATCACACTTTGTTTCTTATTTACTTCTACATTCTTAACGTTTTACATATTGTCTTAGTGATCCAACCTAGCCATATTTTCTATAGTTACATGTTCTTCAATCTAATTATTTCCTCATCTTTCTCTTGTTTCTCTTCCTCCAAGGTTATTAAGGCTGACTCATAGATCTATATTTTATTCTCTAAGATCTATTCTCTTTCACTAATCTATTTCTTCTCATCTACTTCCTCCAACTTAATCGATTCCTCCTCCTCTTTCTATTACTGTTAGTTTTGCTATTGAAATTCAGCAGAGAAACTAAAACGATTGTCTTCCTTTGGATTTTAGAGTTGCCTTAAACTCTAGTTGATGAGGTTGTTTAGACTCCTACTAGATTTCTATAACTCCTCATGCATATCCAGAAGTCTATTGTATATATCCCCTTGACTGAATGAGGAGGATCTATGAGAAAGCTTCATGATTGCATTCATTAAATAGAGAATTGTAATTATATTAATCAAAATTGCTTTACACACTTCTTTTCAAAGTTCTCCAGCCATTGCTTATACTTCTATTACATTTATACAAATTGGAAGTGAGCCTCCTCTATGTTTTCTTCCTCTAGTTCTTGAGTTTTTTTCGAGATGTATGCAGTTTAAGAAGATGGGGTGATATTAATTAGCTTTCTTTTTGCTTGTTAAGTATTTTTTAAAACTGATATGTCATCATCAGTTCCTAGTTAATGGTAAAATGACTCCAATACTGTGATTCTAGTTTTACGAGCATAGGTTTCTTAGATATTTGATTATTTTCGCTATTCCTCTTACTTTCCTGGAGTCAGAAATCTTGTATTTTTCAATTTAAAAGATGGACTTTACCGTAATTGACTAACATCTTATTGTTTATTCTGACATTTTAAGGAATTAAAGTTACCTATAATTTCTCTTCAGCAGAGTTTTGCATTACCATTTTTGGAGTTTAAAAACTACTATTATTTTCTAGTCTTCCCCCTTTTAAAGCACTTCCACCTCTACGATTGCTTTAAAAATACGGGTTCACTCTTGTACCTGCTATCATTTTTATTATTAATTAATATATACTTTAACTAATATATTTAATCAATGATTTTTGTATTCTTTTGAGAAGTTCAAATCATATCTCAATTTTATTGAACTGGAAATATGAGAATGATTATTGAATTTTCTCCATCATTTAATCTTTCAATTTTTGATAGATAAAGTAATATAATAAATATATATTATGTATTTTTGATGCTTAAGCTTTTCAAAAAGCATTTTAAGAACGAGAAGTTCAAAATTAATTGGTTGTTTTCTCCTTTAAAATAGTATGAGATTAATAAATTAGTAGTAATACTTAATTAAACTAACTGATTTTAAATGATAATTGATGATGCAACTATAAGGTGTCTTTAATAGAAGATATTTGAGAATTTCAGTTTGGATTAATATGAATTTATTTTATTTTTTTGTAATATTAATTAATACATAAACAAATTTAGTTAAATCATTATTAAAACCTGCTAGCACCATATCTAACTTCCAATCTTAGATTATCATCAATTGTTAATCCTGCACAGACTTTAACTAGATTTTCAAGCATAGCTCTTTGTCTTGATAAAGAATTGATGGTAGTGATTCCACTCTCAGATTTGGGAGCTTTCATCAAGTAACTCAACCAGGACAAGACTGTGTCAAATCTTTGGTATTCAGAAGCATCCTTGGAGAATTGAATTCTCTCGAACAATTCACATAATAACAATAGATCCATAATCAATGGAGCAGCCAATAATGAATCTTCACAAACATTGTAAACTGCAAAAGTCTATCTTCCTCCCAAGAAGATTTCAGCAATATATTCATCCATAGCCTTCTTGCTGTCACCAGTTTCAGGGCAGTACTTAATGACAATAGTATGATCAATATTCAATTCTTCCTCTGTTGGATATAACACTTTATTGGATTCCAAGATGTCATCAACACAAGTCTTCTTACTTCTTTCCTTGCTTTTGAAACAAGACTCTTATGATAAATTTTTTCCATCATTATTTCCCAAATGATTATAAGAGATAATGGCTTTTGGTTTGATACCAGCACCAACCAAATATTCAACTAAACAAGTCTTAAATTTAGTTTATCCAGTCTTGAAATCATCTCCAGCTACAAAGACTCCAGCTTTTTCTGCTAATTCAATAACTCCTGGAACAATAGTATTTTATGGTGATCCATTAATAAATGAACATCCTTCTAAGCAGGCAGCACATGCAAAGATTGTAGATGCACTTATTTCTGGATGACTAGATTCAATTGACTATAATAATCTCTCGGCTGTTCCATGAATATTTGGATCTTCAACACAAAATCTCTCTGTGTTTGCTGTCCATAAGAGAATTACTTTATCCAAATTATTTTATTATTTGAAATCTGCAATATTCTTTCTAATTATGTTAAGATGCTCTAATTTATTGTCTCCTGGAATGACGTTGTCTGCTCTATCTCCTTAATTAGCTGCTATGAAGTCTGGATAATAGATCGAAGGTAAGGGGACCAATTTCTCTAAATATGGTCTCAATTTCTATTGCAAATCGTATTCAACAACTTATGCTCTGCTCATTGCATCAGCCAAATTCATTGAACTGATATCCCATCCACCAAATACTATATCACATGGATTAACCATTGGTAACACATCTTTGAATGGAACGAATACTTCTTCAGTATTGCATGTACCAATCTTAATGACACTGCTTTATGTAAGAGATCCATAAAAATTTGGTTGATGAGTCCCTCCTTTGCTATTCCATGTAATATTGAATTTGTTTGCCAATATACCACCAGTAAGAGTTGTTCCATTATTTCCACCCCATCCTACAAGCATAACACCTACCTTTGGTATTCTGGTGTCAGTCTTGAACTTGAAACTTGTTATCTATGGTTTTGCTATGTACTTGTCTCCATTCTTTTCAATATTGGTTGACTTGTAATCATAGTCTGAAATTAAGAAGCGACCATCTTATTGAGTTGTGGTTGATTAGACTTTCATTGATTGAATTAATTATTAATCAAATACATACAATTAACTATTTGTAAATATTCGAGTGCGCATACATTTTACTAATAATTAATAAATGCGCATATATTAAAAATAAGTGCGCACTTGACTATAATTATAAACAAATATATTAATTGAGAATGCGTATATAATATATATACAATGTTAATTATAATTTTAATATTATTTAATAAATCCTAATTAATCATTATGTCATCATCAAATAAAAACTAGTTCATGAAATTAATTATGTCATTTGTTTATCAAATAATGTAAAAGTTTGATCACTTCTAAATTAAGCTAATTCATCAATGAGATTCTATATCGATACTCAGATGTTTTAAATGAAATAAGGTTGTATATCTTAGTTATTTTTTTAACACAGTAGATAATTAGATAATTGTATTAAGTAGTCATATTAAAATGAAATATATATATATATATAAAAACGGGTTAACTAAATCATTAAGGCATGAGCATTAATTCAGCCTAATAGCCGGCTATCTGTTTGAGTAGTATTTCAGATGAGGGTGTTTTTTTTATATTATTTTGATGATATGCCTTAAGACAAAGATTTAACTTAATCATGAGCGAGGTTCTTTTGTCAAAGTATAGTTGATGATCCAAAAGAGAGTCCAACTAAGTAATCTCATTAGTAGCAATGGTTATCACAGAAGATTTAGAAGTTCTGATGTTGAATTAGTACTGACATGGATTTAATAGTTTTTTTGGTTGTTTAATTACTTCTTATTCTTCCTCATGAGAGTTGGCCTTGGTTGTGATTAAGGATTGAGGTGGAGATACTTCAGATGGCTTAGTTACAGGAGGAGGAGTGTATTTGATGGTCTTCTTGAATTTGATAGTCATGGCAGCTTTGAGGATTTGATAGAGTATATTGACGATGCGCAATACTCTTAAGAGAAGAGCGGCAGCGTAGATAGTTTCAGTATTAGTGATAACCTCTAAGATGACAAGGAGATCGAAGAACATGAAGCACCCATATATAAATTGAAGTGGATCTTGGAAATTACGAAAGTATTTATAAATATCTGGGGTAAGTAGTGAGGCTACGACATATCTCACCTAGCTAAGGAACACCATCATACCTTGGTGTCTGAGTAATTATTGTACTCATGAATGAGTGACAATCTCCATACTCCCTAAGCTGGCATTTTTTAAGGCGACCTCAATCTATCCAATAAAAGAACATTCAATGTCAGTTCTACACTTCCCCAAATTAGTTCACCCAAGTTTCCCTCTATCATAGATCCGTTTTAATATATTAATAAATTATATAAATTATCATATTTTCCCTCTTGTAGCAAAGTAAAATGCCAACCCAGCCAAACAACCACCCAAATGAGCATCATGACCAATACCACTTCCATCACCTTATCCTGCCCAACCTTAGTATAGTATCAACAATCCCACTACCCATGCTGGCACTGGAATAAAAAACAATAAAATTATCTCTCTTGGAAAATTGCAAATATAATATGTTAATAAAGCATTGCATGCAGCACTAGCACCCAATGATACCCCTGCTTATCTTTATTACATCAATCCTCCCACCAATGCTCCTGCCAAATATACTGCCAGCAATCTCTTTGATCCGAAATATGCCTCTATTGTCCTTCCAAAGAAGTAAAAAGTCACCATATTGAATACTTAAAATTTCTAGAATTTTTACATAGATGTAATGTATTCTAATGTGAAAATGAATATGTTATAAATGTATGCAATTCTCTTAAACTCATTGATCCGGGATGGAGAGTAAAATGTTTATACATGAAATTCTAGTCGATATTTAATGAGCATTTACCTTGTCAAATGCAGGAAAATGCCATAATGCATACACGCCAACATTTATTCCTATTAAGTAAAAGTAAAGTGGCATTTATAATCTGTCTAAGAATCGATCCACTTTTCCATAATGGAATTGTGGCTTATGATTCAGCAAAAATGTTTGTTTCAATTATTATGGTGATTTTGATAATAATTTTGCTATTTTTAACATTAATAATATTAATAATATAATATTATTATTATCTCAAATCGAATATGATAAAGTTGAGATTCAAAACATTCCAAATGGTTTCCATCGATAAATAAAATAAACTTCCTTATAATCTAAATATTTATAATTACCTTATAAGATTGATTGATTAATATATACAATACAAAAGTTAAGAATCCACACACATGTACAATAAAGATGAAAAAATAATTGAAGAAGGCACATCACAAGTCAGATAAAATATATAATTTCATATTTATTAAAAAATAAAGAGCTTAAACAATTGATACCAAGGATCCCAATTAAGATAGAACAAAACAAAATGATAAATAGTTAATTAATACAGATTCAGGACAGTATAAATAATTTGAAGATGTAAATTATATACATCCTATATAATTTGTCCTCTGATTATTATTTATATTATTAAAACTACTATAGTTTTATATTCATCATTTGTTCTTTAACTATTCTTTTAGTTCTATAATTTCTTATTATAACAATTTTATGAATTGCTCTTAATGAGTCATTTAGGCCTTTGTAATTTCATCCCTTATCTATTCTTGCAATTGATTTTATTTATTGTTTTCCAATAATTAGGAGGACTTGCATTATAACTCAACTGCTAATTTTTGAACCATTATTTATGAGTCATTCAACTTGATTATTAATTCGTTCTTCTCTTATTTCAATTGATCAACTTAGTTTAAAATGAAAATATTTTATTGATCAAAGTGATCATACTAAAATTACTATTATTCAATAGATGTTTCTAACTCATAAATCTAATTCAATAATGCTTAATTATCAAATTCTAATTATACAATCCTTTCACTTTTTTAATTCATCAATGACGTCAGTTAATCTAATTCATTTATTAAAGTCTCCAATTAACCAGAGAATAGCAATTTTTATCTGAATGCGCTCTATTACAACTATTATTCATAGGTCAATATTTATTATTTCAATTATCTGTTATTCAAGATCTATTCATCTAATTAAACTTATAATCTTTTATTCTTTTCTTTGAATTGCTCTTCCAGTTTGTAAATGTATTATTGAAATTAATTGACCTGTGCTTTCAAGTTTGCTATTTCAGAGTGGTAGAAATCGTAACTTAATTCTATATGAGGAGTTTCTTAGGTACTCGAAAAGTGTTGCCAATCTCTGACTGTATATTCTTACATAAGTAAATTTTAATTATAACAGCTAAATGTATTAATATATTCATGAGTCACTTATTTTAATCAATTTTTTGGCCTCCCTTTATTATTTGAGCAATCTTTCTTGCATTTTCTTATATTTTCCTTGAAAGAGTTTAGTGTCATCCTTCAAACGCTTCCATTTAATCGGCAGAAAGCATTATTCTTTAGTCATTAGATTATCCATTAATAATTTTTCATGATACCCATTATGAATTCTTTTGACATATTCATATTTCATGATATCAGGATGATCAATGAATTCATGATGATTTTGGTCATCAACAAATTCTCTCTAAGTGGTAGGTTGTGATTTTACAATTTGTCTTGATTCTGTTACTGTTTAAGATTTAACAATTTATCTCAATTCCCTTTAACTGGCAGGCTACGATTTAATATTTTATTCTCTTTGAATAATAGGTTAAGATTTATTATTTTATTCCTTTTGACATATTGGTTATGATTTGATAATTTACACTTAATAAGGAATATACAATGGATTCAATCTTTCAGATTCTAAAATGAGATCAGAAACTTTGTCAATTTCAATTGCTTAATATAATTTGGTATTCAAAATGTTTAAAGGTATTTTAGTTCTTTATTAGGTTCTGTTTTCGGAATCTTGTGAAAGTTTCCGAAAAACTTCCCATGATTCTTTGAGAGTCTTCACTTCTTTGGCAGACTCTTTCATCTTATCATGGACTTTACCTGATTTAAGAACATTCATTTTATCTTTCCCCATTTCCAATTTAGTCGTGTTGGATCTCTTTTTATGAATCGAATTTTGACCTTCTCGATATTCTTCTGAAACTTACATAGTGCATCTTCTCTTCAATTGCTAAACATACATGGACTACTTTCTTTATAGTCTTGTATATAAGAAATCCTCAGGTTTCATTTACTTAACTTATTAATCCAAAATTTTCGCATTTATTTCCTAAAGGCATTTTGTCTTCTTATTCTCATCATAATACATATTCCTAATCTTGTTGTTTTTCAATTCTACATACTCCTTGTATTTTTAAACTCTATCCTTTATCTATTATTTAAAATGATCAGACACTCTATAAGCTTATTCATTTCCGATGAACAATACAATATCATCTCCACAAATAAATTGTTCACAGCGAAACCCTGTCTTTACATATTATGGAGTAGGATTGTAAGCATTCCATTAATAGAGACGACCAAGTTGATCCACACATGCAGCTTACTTCGAAGTCACCTCAATCTTACGAATATTTGAATAAGTATTTGGCATCTACAATTCCTTTATATTCAAAGCTTCCTCAAAGCTCATACTCTTCAATCCACTACCCCACTCATACAATATTCCTTCTTAGTTTAATACTAAACTATAGCTGATCCCACACTAAACATCTTAAATATCTTCAAGTTAAGTGATTCTTGTTGGACATTATACAAAAGTTTGGAAAGAATAACCAGCCATCTACAATCCTAATTCTCCATTCTTACCATTACCCCAAGAATAAACCCAATTGTTCTCATCCAAAGCCAACGCATGGGTGTTTGAACAAGCTACCTTCCTTACCTTATTCATTATTAATACTGGTTTTGATGTTGAGACTACATTCAGTTTTGCTCCTAATAAACTTGTAAACCCCTATCCAAACAACTCTCCATTTGAAATATAATAGAAACGCTCGTTTTAAGCATTTAGTTGAGTTACTGATTTCACTGGAACCCATTTGGCACGCAAGCACTTCCCTTTAAATTAAGAACAAGAGAAATTGCTCTCACCCCAGTAGTACATTCTATCTTAATAATAACCATATGAGTAAGTCTCCGAACAAGATATTAGGCTATAATTGCACTCTAATTTTAAAGGTTTCTTTTGTACATCAGAGATTTCTCCCAAACCCAATTGTCCATGTGAGTTGTCACCAAAAACCCAAATATCATCTCTATTTTCATAACATTTGTTTATTGTACTTCTCTCCTAATAAAAAGAATGATCGAAACGATCCATACATTCTTATTATTCTGGCATCTAATGGGATATAATTCACTGAACCCACAGGTTTAGAAATCACCAAATCAGTTCGGCCAATAAAGAACACTACTTTAAATTGCACAACTACCATTGCTCAATTACATAGTTTATTAATTTCTAATTATAAATTATTTATTATATCAAATAGAGATAACCATTATAATTATGAAATATTAAATTATGGCATTTCATAAATGCAATTTCCATTCTAAATTTTACATATTATACAATTTTGAAATATTAAGGGAATATCATTACATAATATTAATCTGTTAAGTTTTATTATGTGCTAAATAAAAAAGTTCTAATCCTTTTTGGTTAAAGTAAACAATAAGCGAATTAACAGTTTAAACTGTAAATGAAGATAATCATAAAAATTAAAATCATTTTCCTCATATCATTTTAGAGAATGATATGGATAAAATTATTGATTTTATAATGTATTATATAATAAATTTTTATATTTAATTTTTAATGTAAAATAATTGGATATTGATTTAAGATGGCACTCACGAGTCTTTATCTCTAACTACTATATACTTTATGTAGATTAATAATAAATATTGAGAATATAATAATTTTTGAGGAATAAAGAATAAAAATAGAATTATAAATATAGATATTATATTTTGAATATAATGATGATTATGAAACTCATGCTAGTTATGCGTCATTAACTTTAGTGAAGAATAAAGAATAAAAAAGGGAATATAAAAATAGGATTATAATTATAGATATTATATTTTGAATATAATGATGATTATGAAACTCATGCTAGTTATGCGTCATTAACTTTAGTGAAGAATAAAGAATAAAAATGGGAATATAAAAATAGGATTATAATTATAGATATTATATTTTGAATATAATGATGATTATGAAACTCATGCTAGTTATGCGTCATTAACTTTATTGAAGAATAAAGAATAAAATGGGATTATAAAATAGGATTATAAATATAGATATTATATTTTGAATATAATGATGATTATGAAACTCATGCTAGTTATGCGTGCATTAACTTTATTGAAGAATAAAGAATAAAATGGGATTATAAAATAGGATTATAAATATAGATATTATATTTTGAATATAATGATGATTATGAAACTCATGCTAGTTATGCGGCATTAACTTTATTGCAAGTATCTTCTAATAAAGCTAGGAGTGTTTCTTCAGTTGATTCTCTAGATAATAATAATAAGAAAATAGAAACCTTTATTTTTTTTCATTATCTACTTCAGTTTTAATTCTATTGACAACATCTTTTAACATATCAAAGATTGCTTATTCTGATTCTTATCTATTAACTTTCTCTTATACTAATAATTAATTTAATTTGCTTAATTCTTCATTCATTTTTCTAGATATATTAGAATCCATTTCTTCTCTTTCTGCTACTTCTGTCTTTATAGCTTCATGTAATCTTGGTAAATCAGTTTCTAAACATTAATTCAATCTTTCAATATTCTCATTTCTTGTTCTACTTTCTGTACTCAATTCACTTCTTATTAATCCTGTCTTTTCTTCAATAAATCTTATTATCTTCTATTCTCCATCTTTTCTTGTTGATGTCAATCCTTCAACTGCTTAATTGAATGAATTCTCTAAATCTATGTATTCCTTTTGTTTCTATTCAAAATGTTATTCTCTTTATAATTTTGTTTAATCCAACACTTTCTATAATTTCAATACACTATCTTTTATCAAAGCTACTCTTTAACTCAATTATTCATTCAATTCATTCAATCCAGATTCCAATTAATCTAATCTTGTTTCTGATTCCTCTATTCTTTTAGTCTAAATTAATATTTATTATTTTATTACTCTCTCTCCTTCTATTGTTAAATCCATTTAACTTAATTAAGAACTTATTTTTGCCACTCTCTCTCTTGATGGTGAATAATCTAAACTATCATACCATACATTACTTCGATTATTTGACATATCTAACTGATTATTTGAATTAAAAGATAATATTAATATAAATAAATTTATTGTTAATTTATTTGCTAAAATATCATTCTTAATGAATATTTTACAAAAATCATGATTAAATAGAAAACAGTTTAATTTACATCACTCTTATGTTATGGATCGTTAATTTTTGTAAATCTAGTGCCAGTTCTAACTAACTGAAGTTTGTTAAAGTGTTATTAAGATTTTTTAATTGTTACGTTATGATTAGTTTTATTAAGAATAAATAAGTTCGAATTCTTTAAATAAATCATAATAATAATTAGCAATAAAAAATAGTATTTGCAAATGAAATTGAAGCATATTTAAGTTTAGTAGAATTTAAGATTATTATTGAAAAAGGTTAATACATAAATAAAATTGTAATTCTTATACATAAGTGATAAGTTAATAAATCAGCCTAGATATAATTTAATTAGTAATATATAAATCAATCATATTTAGAGTAACTTCGATATTTAAAGCTTTATTTTCCTTTTAATCCTGTTTTGGTAATAAAATTTATTTTAGTTGTATCAAATCTAAATGATTATTCCTTTGGCCTTCGATTTGGTTGTTTGTAGATTGTTTATTAGTTTTTGGGTGAAGATTTATTACTTTGTACATTATTAGAAGTTTTTTTTTACAAAATATGTTTATCTTATTGTTTAAGATTAATATCTCTTTCTTAAAATTCTCTTTTTGAATTCTGTCTGTCAGATTATAATTACAAATTCCTCTGTGGTTTTTCTGAATAATTGAAATCAAGACGATTTCTTTAAACGATAACTGTTTTATTCAGAGGAGAGGCTTATTATTTTTTAGGGTTAGGTTTAGTGGACGATAAATATGAAGGAGGTTTTAAACACACCCTTATCAAGTCTTTATAATTTTTAGGTGGAGTATTATTAGGCTATGTGTTGCTTGGAACGCTGGATTATCTTGGAACTGTCTTTTCATAGAAATCGTTAAAGAATTTTCCCTTTTTTCTGGTTCCATCTGAATAAATTAATTCGCCTTCTCCATGTTTTTTGTCATTAACATAGTATCCTTTGTAAGAGTATGTTGAACATCTATATTCTCCATAACCAGTTTTAAGACCATTTTAAAATTTTCCGTGAAAATAAGCACCACTAGAATAAAAGTATTCTCCAACTCCTTCAGGCTTTCCATTTTAATACATTCCTACATATCTGTCTCCATTTGCAAATAGTTCTTCTCCATAACCATGCTTCAAACTATCTTTAAACTCTCCTTTATATTGATCTCCATTAATCCATTTATGTTATCCTTTACCATTAGGTTTACCATCAATCCATTACCCTGCATACATATCACCCTTTAAACCCATCCAAGTTCCGTATCCATGTTTATTACCGCTGAACCATTCTCCTTCATAATATTCGCCATTAGCCCATGTAAATTTTCCTTGGCCTTCTGGTTTGCCATTAACATAAAGTCCTTTATAATTCGATTTAGATGGAAATACTTCCCAACCTTGACCATGTTTACGATTATTATTGAATTCTCCTTCATAAACATGGTCCTCCTCCATTAATAATACTCCTTTTCCATGTTTAAGACCATTGAATACTTACCCAAAATAGATTTTATTCTTCGAAGATATTATACTAAAATTCGGCAGCTTCTTTAACTCTTCAAATGAATATCCCTTAGTATTATTCTAATAATTTTGTATTCTTAATATTATCAGATTATCGATCATTTAATTAATTTATATTAAAATTAAAAAAAAAATTTCATTAATTATTAATTTGATTTTCAAATGAGTGATGAAGAATCAGAAGATGAAAACAGATCCAAGTTCAAGTTATCTAAGACCCATCAATTAATTAATTAACTTGAACATAAGCTTTCTATTCTTGACTAAAATAATGCGCCTAATCTCTATCCTAATTCTAGAGATTCTCATCTCAAAAGCAAATAAGAATTGGAAAGAGAATTACAAGAATTTGAATAGAGAATGAAAAAACTTAATTAAACTGAAAATTCATAGTTACACTCTTCATAAGCAAAATCTATGTAAAAGTAGTCACCGCAAAAGTTGAACCTTTCTAATCCCATTTTATAATTATTAACTCAAAAATTAGAGAATTTTGATGATGATAAAAATGCAATGTTATCGTCAAAATTAGATCATCATAATAGAGAATAATAAATACTTGAATAAGAATAAATGAACTTGCTAAGGGAATAATAGTAAGCAAAATTTGAATTAGAGTCTCTATTAAGAACTTTGGAGATTGAAGAATAACGTAGATTGAATGAATAAAAGATATAAATTCTTAAAGAATAAGAAGAAAAATTACTTGATATCCAAGAGCAAAGTGAAAAGCTTATATAAGAAGAGGAAGAAAAAAAGACTAACTTTTTATTAGAATTGTAATAATTATCATTTGAAAAAAATTAACTATAAACACAATTATAAGTAGATATTCATTATATTCTATTTAGAACTTATCTAGGGAGCAGGAAATGCTCACTAGTAATAGAGATGAAGTATCAAACTAATTAAATACGTTAATGTAGTTGCATAATTAAATACTTTAAAATGATTTAAAAAAAAAAATAGTACACCTTGAAGAAGAGCCAGATCCATCTCCACTCTAAAATCTATATCAAATTAATTAATAAATATAGGAATCAATGAACTAATAATTATCTCTAATTAGATAAGAACTGAATGAATAAAAATAAATTAATTTAGACCTATTATAGCTTTTAAATGGAGAATAGCAATAACAATAAACATAAAGACAAATGAATTCAACTGAGATATAATTAGAATAGTAATAATATTAGTAATAATAATCTAACTCTTAACTACAATTTCAAATGTGTGTGAACAAACCTAATTATAATCAAAATGAAGACTTGGAGAGCGAGGAAAGTATTGTTATGATGTAAAAATATAACAATAATTAAAATGCTAATGTCTAAATTTAGAGAGACTTTAATCAACTTTTTGAGAAGCACAAGAAATAGTAATCTTTATTATTAATTAGATAATTCAAACCAAAATAAAAGATTCATTTGAAATAAACAAAAGCAACAGCAGAAAAAAGAAGAAGATCAATTGATCTCACTCAATCTAAATCAAAATCTAAGTCAAAAGAAAGAGAGAGTAACATTGCGAAGGATAAAGAGAAAAGAAAAACTCCCTTATCGTTTGAATAGACATATAAAAGAAATATCCAAGAATAGTTAAAAAAATTAAATTTCATTGTGGAAAAATCTTTGAATAATAAGTGATAAGTTAATAATCTTGTGTTTAGGAAGTAATGCACATGTACTGATTATAATTTTCATCAAATAAAGTATTCCACTTTCTGTATCTTTCTAGATAAAATAGTATATTATATAAAAAATATTTGGCATAATAAAAAGCAATTAATTGCTGATTCTTTACAAAGAAATTGTTAAAACAATCGCAAAAGCAAGAGTTATTTAATAAAAATAGTTATCTGCTCTCTCAGTAACTTTATTAGCTAAGTCCCCTCGGATAGATAGATAATAACTTTTACATTGATAAACCATTAACAATAAATTTATTTATATTAATATTATCTTTTAATTCAAATAATCAGTTAGATATGTCAAATAATCGAAGTAATGTATGGTATGATAGTTTAGATTATTCACCATCAAGAGAGAGAGTGGCAAAAATAAGTTCTTAATTAAGTTAAATGGATTTAACAATAGAAGGAGAGAGAGTAATAAAATAATAAATATTAATTTAGACTAAAAGAATAGAGGAATCAGAAACAAGATTAGATTAATTGGAATCTGGATTGAATGAATTGAATGAATAATTGAGTTAAAGAGTAGCTTTGATAAAAGATAGTGTATTGAAATTATAGAAAGTGTTGGATTAAACAAAATTATAAAGAGAATAACATTTTGAATAGAAACAAAAGGAATACATAGATTTAGAGAATTCATTCAATTAAGCAGTTGAAGGATTGACATCAACAAGAAAAGATGGAGAATAGAAGATAATAAGATTTATTGAAGAAAAGACAGGATTAATAAGAAGTGAATTGAGTACAGAAAGTAGAACAAGAAATGAGAATATTGAAAGATTGAATTAATGTTTAGAAACTGATTTACCAAGATTACATGAAGCTATAAAGACAGAAGTAGCAGAAAGAGAAGAAATGGATTCTAATATATCTAGAAAAATGAATGAAGAATTAAGCAAATTAAATTAATTATTAGTATAAGAGAAAGTTAATAGATAAGAATCAGAATAAGCAATCTTTGATATGTTAAAAGATGTTGTCAATAGAATTAAAACTGAAGTAGATAATGAAAAAAAATAAAGGTTTCTATTTTCTTATTATTATTATCTAGAGAATCAACTGAAGAAACACTCCTAGCTTTATTAGAAGATACTTGCAATAAAGTTAATGCCGCATAACTAGCATGAGTTTCATAATCATCATTATATTCAAAATATAATATCTATATTTATAATCTTCATCATCCCCTTTGTATCAATACCTTATTGGTTGATACTTCAATACTGTTAGAAATATAAATAATTTAAGAGATATAAATTATGTATTCTTATTTATTTAAGTCGGCTTTTGTTGATTACTTTAACTTGGTATTAATTCATTTCCAAATGTAATCATATTATTATAGTGAAACAAATATCCATGCAAGTGTTTTAAATCCTGAGTTAATCCTCAACATTTAATATTTTTTTATTTTCAAATAATTAAGATAACGATTATGTGTTCATTTCTTTATAATCTACTAATGGTTAAGAACAAAAATTTATTTTTAATTGATGAATTTTGGTTTTAATAAATGCAATTTATAAGTAAAATTAAATAAATAATACAAAATGTAACAACCAATGTTCGAGAATCAATTAGATCCTGAAGAAATGGAAGCATGGCTTGCAGAAGTAGAATTGGTACATGAGAAGATAAAAAAATTATCAAGCGACTAGGTATAGATTAATTGTAATTCAAAGGCAAATGTTAAAGATGACGATGAAGAAATAATGAAGATGAGACAAAAACGAATAGAATAAGAGAAAAAAAAAGAAGAAGCTCGTAGATAGTTATAATTGTAGAAAGAGGAGGAAGAATAAAAAGGCAGGAAAGGAAAAGGATAAAATAAAGATTATGCTAATTTTTGCAAATATTGTTGTTTAGAGTATGTTAAATAGACAGATAAATGTTATTGGTGTAAAAGAGATACTTTGACCTAGGAATGTAAAATTTATGAATAATCTAGAACGCTACAATTAATTATTAGAAAAGGTTGAAAAATATAAAGAAGACAAGAGTAGAAAGCAATAAAAAAAACAGAAATTTGAACTTATGGAGAAAACAGAGAAAATTTTATGGAAAAAGAGTACATTTACTCATAGAAAATGGGAGTATTATACTAGTTCAGAGGAAGAAATTGAGTCTGAGCCTATCGTACCTAAGGATGATCCTAATTTCAAGGCACTTTAATTAGATATGGAGCAAAGAAACAAAAGAAAGGAAGAGGACATGAAGAAAGCAGAAGAATTGAAAAAAAAAGGAAACGATTATTATAGTAAAGGAGATTTTGATTAAGCAGCTTGGAACTATTCTTAAGCACTAGAACTAGTGAAAGATAATTAAACTTTATGGTTGAATAGAGCAATTACATATATAAAATCAAATAAAAATAAGAAGGCTATAAATGATTGTACAAAGGTCATATAGTATGCTGATTGCTTTGAGAACGGGTTCACTTAGAGCAGAGAGACTTGCTGCAAAGCATTTGCAAGGAGAGCTTTGGCATATTATAATAGAGATTGTTTATTTGAAGCACTCAGTGATATCAATCAGGCCTTAGAGCTTATACCAGATGATAAATGGGTTTAAAACCTTAAAAAGGAAATAGAAGCCAAAATTGATCATTATGAAAGGCTGAAACAGAATGAAAATAATGAGAAGGATTTAGAAGAGCCAAAATAAGATATTTAAGATTAGTAATAAAACAGTAATGATGTAAATAAATTTAAAGATAAAAATACAGTTATTGAAGAAAACCTTACATACAAATAAATAATCGATAAGTTTGTTGGAGAATAAGATATAGAACTTTTATCATTATTTAAAGTGTTAAAAGTTGATTCAAATGAAGCCACGGCCTATTTTTATGAGAAAAATGGGTTGAAACAACTCTTAAAAATAATATCTAAAAATGATTAAAAATTACACGATTTATAAAATGTATTTATCCTTATGATCATAGATTTTGGCAAGTTTACCTGCTTTGATATTATAGATATATCAAGAAAAAAGTCTGTTGTATTAAGAATAATTTCTAATTTAATATAATGGAATTGAAGTTATTTATTAAAAAATAGGGTTTTTGTTGACTCAAGTAGGCACTAAAACCTAATCTGCAATATATGATACAATAGGAGATTATCTCGATGTTTTAAATTTGATGAGCGAGGAAAAACCCAGATCTATTCTTCAATAGCATGAAATAATAAAAACAAAACTATACCCTGAATTATTTCATAGAATTCTTTCTTTGTATAAGACTGAAAGGGATATGGTTGCTACATTTTTAAGTTTTTGCAGTAATTTGAGTTACGGGTAAAATACACCCTTTAAAAATGTACTTTTTGAAAATAGAAATGAAATCATTGTTATAGTTGTTGAGCTATTTGAAAAAGTAGAAATTAAATAAGCAAACATTAGGATGATGAATTAGCTATGTAATCTATTGTCGAATTTATTGACTGAAGATAAATTTAGGTTGTATTTCTTATCAAAAGATTTAAATTCAAATTTTTTTCAGTCTTATTTCAAATTTATCAAAGCTGTTTAATTTAAGGATAATGATTACAATTCTTTAAAAGAAAATGGAATAGCTATTTTGGTTAATTTAACATTTCAGATTAATTAAATTCAAACTGATTTTGTAAGTAAAATCCCAAGTTTAATTCCTACTTTAATTGAATATTTAGAGTCATAACCTGATGGATTAATTATAGAAAGAGTCTTAACTGTGTTGACCAAAGTCAATTATGAAGACAACATTTTCATAATATCAAAATTTATAAAAAAATACAGCAACTAATCGATTCTATGTTTACTTCAATGGCTATCAGGCAAATCTCTTGTAGTTATTAATCAATTAAAATCAAAGTAAATAAAGCTATTTGAATTGCTGGAAGAATTAAAATTACAATTGCATTGCGATAATGAGATTAATTATTGTAATTGTTGCAACGTAATTGGTAAGATAATTGATTTATTATCTCCGATTAATGGAGAGGTTAATGCTTGTTCCTTTTTCAATGAAACAATTCCTAGATTGTTGAGTTTTGTAAAAGATAAAACTGGAAATTCCAGAAAAAATTCAGCTATTCTTTTAGCAAAACTAACGAAAGATTAAAGTAATTTGTAAAAATTAAGGGATTTGCATGGAATGGAGATTTTACAATCGGTGATGGGTAAATTGTGAATAGTATTAGATATGTATATTATTATATATATTTTTAAATTTTTTGATTATGCTCTCAAAATAGAAGAAATTACATGAGATAGTATCATAGAGCATCTTGAAAACGTAAGTCCTTAATAATAATTAGATCTACTACAAAATCCACCAAATAGCTAAGCTAATCATTTAACCCTAATGGATTAATTGGACAATCTTTAAGCCCAAATTAAAAAACAAATTAGAGCATGGGATAAAAAAAAGGAAGTCACATAAAATAGTATTAGCAGGAGCTACTGAAATTGATGACAAGTCATAAATAGTCATCCGGGAATAAAAAAGCAAATATGTCAGACATGATGAGTTAATAAAAGGAAAGTAAACGAATTAATTCTGGTACAAGTCAACCATAAAAATCATAAACATCTAGCAAATTAAGTTTTGTTAATACAGGTCTTACGATAATAATAAATCATGAGAATCAATAAATTAAATTTAACATTGAATCATCAAAAACTACAGGATATTTAGAAGAATTTTTGAAACAGGAAGTAAAAAAGCATTCAATACATTAATATTCCTCTACAGGCTCATAACCAGATGAGAGAAAAGTAACATGTGGTACTGGAAATGAATTTTCAGATCTGGAGATAGTTTCATTTCAAACTGTCGATAAGAACCTTCCAGTTGATTATTATTTACAATAACCTAATAAAAGTTTAGAGGTCTTTAGTGGATAAACATTGAATTTACAACCATTTTATGGGACTCCATAATAGAGCAAAATAACACTAAAAGATTTCATTTTTGTGAAATGTATTGGAGTGGGTGGATTTTCAAGAGTCTATATGGTGAAGAAGAAATCTAATGGAAGATTCTATGCGATGAAACTAATAGATAAGGAGTTCATTTTGCAACATAAGAAATAAGGTATGATTAGAATTAATTGTATAGGGATTGTTTAAAATGAAAGAGATATTATGACAGTACTTGATCATCCTTTTATTATTAAATTAGAATATGCATTTGAATCTAAGAATTTCATAGTATTTGTACTAGAATTTTGTAGTGGAGGAGAGTTGTTTTGGTAATTAAGACAAGTAAAAAGAATGACAGAAGAATAAGCAAGATTCTACTTTACTGAGATTTGTTTAGCTATGTTCTATCTGCATTCATTATCTGTAGTGTATAGAGATATCAAACCTGAGAACATTTTGATAGATTTAGATGGTCATATTAGAATAGCTGATTTTGGATTGTCCAAACCTAATATGACTGAAGATGATTATGCATACAGTTTTTGTGGTTCGCCTGAATATATGGCTCCTGAGATGTTGTTGAAAGTGGGACATAATGTTTAAGTGGATCATTATTGTCTAGGAGCATTGTTATATGAATTAGTCACTGGATTGCCTCCATATTATTCTAGAGATACTGATGAGATCTATGAATCAATACTTAATGAAGAGTTAACTTTCCCTGAGAAATTAAATTTATCATCTGACATTAAGGTAAATTCAATTTTTAAATAGAATCTATTACAAGGTTTATTATGCAAACAACCCTCAGAAAGATTGGGAGCGAATAAGGGATTAACAGAATTACTTACTCACTCTTGGTTTAAGGATGTGGATCTTGTTGCAATATTATAAAAACAAGTACCTCCACCATTTAGGCCAAATCAATTCAAATTTAATTATGATTCAAATGATTTGATGAAAGGAGAGTTAGAAACTAGAGAAAAGTTACTGGGCAAGACTGGCTTACAATAAGAAATTAGAATCTTTAAGGCTTTTTACTTTGACTCTTCGGAACAGAAATAAATGAAATAGGAACAAGCAAAAATATTCAAATAACATTTCATGATGATCACTTAATAATAATTGGCACTCAATACTAAATTTAAAGCACAAAGAAAAAGTACAGAACCAAAAGAACATCCATCAAAACCGGCATCTCCTTAAACTCACAATAGCAAATAATAGAAACTCACTCCAGAATAATTCTAATCTCTTCAAAAACGAATAAAATCTTAGTAAAATTCTATTTCATTCTAGGTAATCGTCCATAACCAATGTTTAATAAGTCAGTACTATTTAGAGTCCAGCTCAATCCAAAGTGTAAGGATTAAAGAGAATTATTTCTCAAAATAATTTCTTCGGTGATAGACAAAATACTTTGCCTAATGGATAAAAAGATATAGATTACCATCAGTTATTATCTAATGTCTCTACAGATTAAATGCTTCATAAAAGAGTGTCCTCCTTAAAATAAAGAAGAAAATGAATTACTCAAATAAACATTAATTATAATTTTGAATTTTCCCTCTCTCAACATTCAATATGAATACCAATACAGACTTGGATAAATTGTTATTCCTAAAATCCAATTAACCTCATTAATCCTAGAACCCAGATATTACAATCACTTCTTATAGCGATATATCAGATGGAACGCCCAATAAATAATCATTCAAATTTTCAACAAAAGCAAAACAAGAAGATGTTCAACCTTAAATGCAAGCTTCAAATTCAATTATGGAATCAATGACTCCCAAGAAAATCAATAAATTAATTGATTGGTCCAAATATAATGTTGCTCCAGGAAATGGCAAAAATATTTTCCCTTAAGTAGCTGGTATTAGTATTGAATTTTCTAATGAAAACTCATTGAATTTTAAGCAATAAGTCAAAGTAAATGATGATCATTTTTCACATAAATTCATTGAGATTGAATAGAAGTCAAAAGATTTCTCAAACATAGATGTATTGACTACAAAAAATGAATCATCAGAATCCAAAAAAATTGAATCTTTATAGAATGCTATCTCATAAAAAGATTAAATGATAAGTGAATTAAAAAACGAAATAGCATAACTATAATCATAGGATCATACTTTATAGCAAGAAATCGAAAAAATGTATAAAATTCTTCATAGCAAAGAAAAAACTATAGAAAATCAAGAATTGTAAATATCTAACCTAACAACTCTAATAAAAAATGAATAACAAGATTAAAATATGCTATCTGAAATCAAAATAAAAGAAATTAAAAGATCCAGTGTTTTCGAAGTCAATACAAAATGTTAAATTTGCTTAGCTGGGAAACAAGAACTAAAAAACATTCTTAAAGAATGTTCATTAGAAAGTGAGTCAAGTATTCTGGATATGGAAAATGATTTGGCAACTTAAATTCGCGAGGTTGTCACTTTATTATTATCAAGATAAAGAGAATAAATTGACATAGCATTAGAATAGTAAGAGGATATGATTAAAGAATTAACAGATCAAATTGAATAATATAAAGAATAAAAAACATAAGCCTCAGAAGAAAATAAATCATTATAAAGAAAGATATCGTTAATATTTAATTAATCGTAGGAATAGGAGAAAAATTTAATCGAAGAATTTGAGAAAATCAAAAAAATTAATTACAATCTAATCTAGGAAAATTAGCACTTTAAATTGTAAATATCATCATCTAAAAGCAGAGACTTATCTAAATAGTCTATGGATTTTGAAAAGCTAAAAAGTTGTTGTAATTCTACTTAATCTGATAAAAATGAATTATATGGTGATATCCATTTAATGAGACAACAATTTTAAAGTCAAATTACAGAATTGCTTGAAAAAAAATAAGAATATGAGAAGTAAATACAATAGTTGAAAGAAGACTCCTTTTCAAAAGTATATTATTTAATTTATTTAATAGAGTAACTACAAATTTTAGCTCTAAAGTATTAAAGAAAAAGATAAAAAAAATATTGAATTATTTTCTTAAATCAAAATGCTATAATAAACTTAAAAGGAAAGCGAAAGGTCAATATTAGAATTAAAAGATGAATAAGAAAAATTAAAAAAAAAAGTGCAGTTCAAAAATGTTGAAATCAAGCAATATATTGAATAAAATAAAACTATTTAAGACAAGAATAATGAGTTGAGCACTAGAATTATTTAATTGCAATAAAAATTAATTTCATAAGGATCAAATCAAAAGGATTTAAGGTAATCACCAAAAAGCAGAAGTTTAGAATAAAGTCGAGTTATCAGTTAATATTTACAACCAAATATGAATCATCAACAATTAAATTAATTAATTAATGAATACAAAAGTTATCAATAAGAGTTCGTAGATTTAAAAGTGGTCTTTGCTGAAAAAATAAAATAATATGAAATCTTATAAAATGTATTTAATTATTTATTATCATTAGAAAATTCAAAAATTATAAAATGATAATTTCTCGTTAAACCATTTAAACTAAAAACTGATTAATGAAAATAATAAATTGAAAGAGGATAGAATTATTACAAAAAGAACTAGTGAGGAATTTGCTCCTGGTGTAAGATGGTCAGCCGCTACTGGTGAATCAATTAACATGAAAACTATTATTTAATAATCTGATGATGACTTTGAAAAGAAAAAATGCTTTAATGTTTTAGAACTCATGTAACCGGAATTATTATCTACAGAAGAGACCCTTCATATTCTTAAAGAGATTTTATTAAGATCTGTAAAGTCCCTTGAATTAATTAAGAAGATTTATTAAATATCAGAGATTAAAGAACTTTTATTAATATTTTCAAAAATAGATGAGAAATGTTTAATATCCAATTCAAAATTGAATAAGATCATCACTTGTGTTTTAGAAGAAAAAAGAAAGTTATAATCGACAAATAGAAATGAGAAACCGGATTTCTTTAATTCTTGATTGTATTTATAAGTATCAATATTTTGATTGCATCTTTTTTCCATTTTATAATTACTTATCATTTGTTTATTTCCTTTATATTTGCATTTTACTTTCTCTAACCACAGATTCTATGTACTTCTTATCTAAATATTTGATCACAAAGTCCTTTTGATCATTGGAATTACCATTTGAAGTTTAATCAATGTATTATTAATATTAGTTTTTTATATTTTTAATTATGATAGTGGTTTCCTAAAATATTTCTTGATTTATTTGATTTAGACTTGATTGTTCTTTCAATTGTTTTTAAGGTGAATAAAATTGAGTTGCTTTTGATGTTAATTCTTAAACATTCTCTAAGCTTTGATCTTGACAATTTGCTAAATAAATGTACACGTGATGTTTTTCCTATTTTAGATTGTTAAGAATACCTTTATTTTCAATTTAGGGTTCAATCTCATCTTTAATTATTGAGTTTAGATTTCAGATTATTATTCTGTTTGTAATACCTATGGATTTAATTAAATTGCAGGAGGGTTCAATAAACTAATTAAAAAAAGGATATATTTTACATTCCTTCATCCTCTACGTTTTCACCATTTTCTGCACTTACTGGCAATTCTAAATTATCCTGTTATTTTTATGGCGGGTTTGGCTAAAATATAATATATATAAGATATATTACTTTTGTGCGCTTCTTTTTTAAAGTGGCAGCCTTTGTAAATCTAAATTTAAAAGAAACATACGTCCTCTAAACGCTCTTATTCTTATATGCGTTGTAAATATTATTTCATTTTCCTTTCTTCTCTTGTTGATGGTTATTCATTATTGAGGGATTGTGCATAAACCTTTGGAAGAGCTACTAATTCAGCTGGCTTTATGGTTTTCTACTGTTATTCATCCTAAGAAGATAACTAACTAGAATTTTCCTGACTTTCTGCCTTCTAATATTAATCACTCATATTTGTATAATTTATAAAATAATTATGTTGTTAAATTTGGTTTTCTAATAATCATATTTTTAAAAGGAAAAATAAATTTTAATATTCTTATGATTTTAAGCAAAACAAGTGAATATTTATGATAATAATCAACTATTGTTAATCAATCTACATAATCTCTAACCTATATATTCATAATGAATAAATGACAATATATTCTTAATTAACATCACTGCCAATATAAAAATTAATCTTTATTCCAATTATTTGTGAAGAAAAAAGTGCAATATTGTATTTAATAGTGAATTTGATTTATTAATCACTTTTGATGATAATTTCAAATTCTTAATCATAAATACTTATTGTAGTGTATTTAATAATTTTATAAATAAGGCTTTTTAACTAAAATCGTTCTATTAAAGTCTATGAAATATATCTATCTGCTTAATTAAGATTATTTTTGATCAATAAAAACAAAAAATTACATTTTGTATACTTTTAAAATGAACATTACTTCAGATTCAGAACCGTAAACAATTTAAGAATATTAGAGAAGTTTGAATCTAATTATAAAAAATAGGCAACTACAATTTGCAAATGTTTTCAAATTAATATTTTTATTTCTTTATGTTTATGATTATAATTTTAATCATCTCCTTTGCAAAGTCTTAATGGTCCATAGTGAATAATTTTCTCACCTCTCAACGAACATACCAAAAAACATCCTATTGCTATAATGTTTATGATTAGATAGAATACTTTTGCGAAGCATCCTCATACACTAGTGCTAATTTTATTACTTGTCAATAACCTTCTCGTAGTTATATCACTCTGGATCAAACTTTCAAAGGCATCAGATATTACTATCAATAAGGATTCGTTGGTGGAGATTTCATATCTTTTGATTTATACTTTCAAGGTAAGTGGGTTAATGATGAAGTAGTTTTTCAATTAGGATCCTTTTAACACAAATTTTCATACACTTCGCCTGATATATACCCAATCACATAAGGGTTTTGTGACTCCCTTTAAACTGATGTAAAGACAGTTAATTTCACTCTAACAAACTCATACTCAGGGAGCATGGTATTTAGTTTGTCTACCAAAAATGTGGGATCTGTTTCAATCAATATGATTACCCTCTCAAGAAGATCAAATTCAATAACATGCTACCCCTCATGTTAATCATGTAGAGGGCCAGAGCAAAACTAGTGTTTATCTTGTTATTATGGTGTACCAACAAATAATATATGCCCCCCATGTCCAAATAATCTATATTATGAAAAATAATCAGGGTGCAAAATTAATTGTAAATTTTAGAATTCCAAATTTTCAAATGGATTTTGTTAGGCATTTGATTGTAATTTCAGTCTTATATTTTAGATAACTCCATACTCTTATATGATTCTTATATATCACAAACTAGTTTCGTAAAATGGCAATAACTCTACGACCCCCTTCATATAGACACATCTCCAAGCTTACTTTATTCAAGTTCACAATAGTAAGTCTATGGCATCTTTCGATATAAATCTGGAATAGGAAGATATATTAATGAAATAACTACATCGACATCCACCTATGCTTATGGACTTAGAATATAATTGGAGTTATACAATAATATAGAACTTGGAACAGGAATAAGATTTATGATTAATAACACTTACTATGGTTCTATTTACAAAGATTCTTAAGGGATCTAAACACACAGAATTATGATTGGAAATTCTAACAGCCAATACTCTTCCATTTAAATTCTTGATCTCTATATGTTTGTTGATATGCTCTAATATCCATTCTACTTTTCAGCTATTGGAAATTTCACGTAATATTATAATTTATCTAAGTATTTCATCCTCAGGATGGAGTTTAATATCTCTCTAAATTACAAAGGGACTTTGCCCAAGGAATTGCCAGGTGTGTGATGTACCCTATTAATGTAAAAAATGCTATTCTGGCTATTATGTGAATAAAGACGGTAATTGTATTTATTCTTGTTCTACTGTCACCTAACAAATCGTAGGAGACTATTGTTTGGATTATGATTACGAAATTCCTTGTAATTAATATTGCTTAATTTGTAGATTCAAAATATTTGATTAAAGACTTTTATAATATGGCTAGTGATCAAGATTAATACCCTGAATATAAATTAGTCTCCTAAAAGGGAGTTAATTTTTTAAAAGGTGAATATATCTTTTAGTCTATTAAGAATGACATTACGATGTTAGGTGGGTAATATATCTGGAGTTAGGCTGTATTTTAGAGAATTCATTAAATTAGCAATCCACACCATAGAATTACTATTTCATTTAGAATTGTCTTTGGTCCTAGTTTTCCTTCAGATGGCAGATTTATTTATACTGTTGATGATAATGCACCTATTTCAAATTCTGGGTCAGGAGGTGGTACATATTTCATAAAAAATAAAATTGTCCATTCATAAAACTAATTAACCGTACAGTGGGAATGTTATGGAGAAAACAATGAACCAATAAAAGCATATTGTGGATTCTATAATTATTTCATTATAGTACATTATTGTTAACCCTATTGTTTAAAATGTACTGATTAAGATACATGTCTAGAATGGGAACAATATGATTAAGTTTAAATTCAGGTATCTCAGGCTGAATGTTAAAGTGAATAATACTATGATAAATTTGAATTAAAATGTAAAAGTTGTCCTTCTTCTTGCTTAACTTGTTAATCATCAATCTATTGTCTATCATGTAAACCTACTTACATTATGACTAAATTAGGATGCGTGTGTTAAACAAATCAATATGATGACGCCAATTAGTGTGTGAATTGTCCGTAACAATGTGAATAATGTTTAAATTCATCATTCTGTGTTAATTGTTCAATCTTAAAATATAGAACTCTATTGAATGGGTAATGTGTATGTCTAGATGGATATTACTCAATACCCACAAATCCTTAATGTTAGAGATGCCATTACTTATGTAAAACTTGTTCAGGATATTCACAATGTATATAGTGTTAGAGTATCAACAATATTGAGAAAGTTGATTCTACATGCAAATGCAAAGCGGGTACAGCATATCAAGATTCACTTAAGACATGTGCAGCCTGTCATGTAACCTGTTTGACTTGTTTTAAAATTTCAATAAATGGATGTTTGACCTGTGATTCTGTTTAAAAAAGAGTGTTGAGAGGATTGAAATGTGAATGTCAACCAGGATATTATGAATTGAATAATATTTGCATAGGTAATTTTTAATCTAATTTTAGATTGCCCTGCGTTAGAGGATAATTTATTAAGTCAATGTTATAATCAATGCAATAGCAATCAAAAATTATGGCATACAACTATTTGTAGTGCTTGTGATAGTCCCTAAGAATTAGTCCAAAATAATTGCGAACCCAAATGTGGAGACACTTAATTAACTCTTTATGAAGAATGTGAAGATGGTAATAATATATTAGATGATTTGTGTTATAATTGTTAATTTTAATGTCCAAAACATTGCTTGACTTGTAATTCAGCAACTACATTACCTTGTCCAGATATTTGTGGAGATGGAATAATTTCAGGTAACGAAGAATGTGAAGATGGAAATACAATATAATATGATGGATGTTACAATTGTTAATATTAATGCTAGCCTGCTTGTACTAAGTGTATTTTGGGGAAGTGTTATGAATGTTCAACTGTAGGATGGTACACTGATACATCAACTACTAATTGGCAATGTAAAGAATAATGTGGTGATGATATACTAACAGGTACTGAATAATGTGAAGACCTTAATACAAGTGATACAGATGGATGCCATAATTGTAGATACTTTTGTCGAAAGGGTTGTTCATCTTGCGATTATACAACTGGTACATGTTTAAGTTGTGAATAACCAGGTTATGAACCTTATCTATATTATTGCAGAAATATTTGTGGAGATGGATTGATTGTCAATGGTCTTTATGGATTTTTCCCGGAGTATTGTGATGACGGTAATACTAATTACAGTGATTATTGCAATAGTTCTTGTTAGGATTGTGCAACCGGATATAAAAGATCAAATGTGAAAAAATGTGAACCTATTTGTGGTGACAATCTTAAAGTAGTTGGTGAAATATGTGAATCAGGACTAATATTACCTTATAGAGGCTGCCAGAACTGTTAACCTAAGTGTCAAAGTATTTGTGATAATTGCGATACTAACGGGAAGGGTTGTTTAGAATGTTAACTTGGATATGTTAATTTGAATAAAGTGTGTCATTCTATATGTGGAGACCTAATAGTTACTGAAGCTGAAGAATGCGACGACGGAAACCTAATATATGGAGATGGTTGTCATTTCTGTAGGTTTAGCTGTGTTAAATCATGTCTCAGCTGCATCAATGGAGTTTGTTATTTATATGAAAATGATGAGGATTACGATTGGTCCATATCCAAATGCTTATCCATTATAGGGTTAGATATGAAATCTAATTAATAAACGTGTCTATTATTTAGTGATCTGCTCTATTTCAGTAGATCTTATGTGAAGAACATATTTTAATGCCATCATCAATGCAAAGTGTGCTAATTCTAAACATGCTATCTTTGCCAATAAGGTTATGAATTAACACCTAATAAGTAAGAATGCAGACAATCCTCCATATTATTAGAGGAATTAAAATATTGCCAAATAAGCATTGGGAATTACTGTTATATATGCTATGATTATGCTTATTTCGATATATTTGAAAATAGATGTAAACTACCTTCGTATTTATTTCAATTAATATAATAATAATGCAATCAAGGTTATCAATTGGATAATAATGGGAACTGTGTTTCTTCATGTGGAGATGGCATTCTTACTGAGGAGGAGGAATGTGAAATCTAAGACGAAAATTGTTTATATTGTATTTACCAATAGCCTTATAGATGCAATCGTTTCTTCAAGGATCTCTGTCTTGAATGTGAACTTGGTTATTAGTATGATACGATGAAGAAATCATGTCAAATCTAGAGGGAATATAAATATTTAGTTAAGAATGAAGAAGAATACAATTATTTGATTTGTTAAATCGAGTTAAGTGGTAATTGTATTAAATGTGAACATGGGACGTGTTTAGAATGTAAACAAAACTTCTTATTTATTAATTCATTGTGTAAGGATATTTTAACACCTTCAGAAATAGAAATATTTAATGCAGAATTGGTTTAAGAATAACATCAAAGTTCATTTAATGATGAATAGTAATAATAATAGTAATTATGTGATTTAAATTGCAATAGATGCATAAATGGAATTTGTGAATATTGTAAGAATGGTTTTACATTAAATTCTCTTATTCAACTCTGTTAAGCAAGTGATTTCATCTAATATGTTAAAGTCTATGATGAAAATATAATATTGGATTCAGTATTCAATTTAGATGAACATCGTTGCGAATTACTCAATTATCAAATATTTGTGGATAATAAATTCTATGTTTATGATGAGAACTGCTAGAGTAATGGAGTTAATTAATAGAGTGAGTAGTATGATCCTTCAACCGACACTCACGAACCTTGTGATTAAAATTGCTTATTCTGCAATTAGGGGATATGTAGTTTATGTTTAAAAGGAAGTTACATCTTTAATTATAAATGTCTTTAATTTGGCGTTGTTGAGTATTCTTAAAAAGAATAAGTATGCGGAGATAAGATAGTGTAAATTGGAGAAGTTTGCGATGATGGCAATGAGTATTAATATGACGGTTGTTTCTAATGTCAATTTAGTTGTGAGGAAAACTGTTTAAAATGTGAATATGGCATTTGTTTGAGTTGTAAAATTGGATTTATTCTGGATTCTACAACTTGTAAACCTTTTTGTGGAGATGGCTTAGCGATACCATACAAGGAGGAATGTGATGATTTCAATGAATCTCAAGGTGATGGATGTGATCTATGCAAAATTGAATGTGTACCTAATTGTTTAAAATGCAATTAAGTACATTGTTTCAAATGTGAAAAGGGATATAAAAATGAAAATGATATTTGTGTAGCTGACTGTGGAGATGCTATCGTAATTCATGAATATGAATAATGCGATGATGGCAATAAAATTATGTATGACGGTTGTTTTAATTGCCAATACTAATGCAGTCAGAATTGCTTAGAATGCACTTAAGGCATTTGTACCTTCGCTTGCCCTGATGATAGTATTGTCATTGAAGGTCTATGTCTTCAATAGTGTGGTAAACTAATAGTGAGTTATAACAAAGAATGCGATGATGGCAATGAAACTGAATATGATGGATGTTTTGAATGCAAATTTTAATGCATCCTTAATTGCGACTCTAATTTTTGTAAAAAAGGGATTTGCACTAAATGCATATATGGATATGGTTTATAAAAACAACAATGCAACTTATTAGAAATAGAGGAGAGCAACTTTGATTCTATGTTAGGAAATTAACAGAATAGTTGGATTTGTAAGGATTCTGAATGTGTGTTCTCTGAGAGTCCTACTCTAAAATTAAAGAGCTAAGGATTGTAGAATGAAAAATATAAGTTGCTAATTCAGTTTGATTAGGAAGTAGTTTGTGCATTTACTGAATGCCAAGATATATTCAACATATATTTCCTAGAAATAGAAGAAGATTAATACAAAGTCGAATGTTCTCCTTTTGAAGATTAGGGATTTGCAGATCAAGTAGCATGGGTTGAGTACTTAATTGAGATTAATGTATTCAATCCAATAAAATTCTAGCCAACTTTAATTGTTACACTTTTACAAGAAATCCTTAATTAAAATTAATAAAATGTTACAACAATTGATTACAAAATAAGCTTAGACAAAGCAATAATTTTAGAATAGAATCAAAAACAAGCAACTGCTTAAATGCAGATGACAAGCAAAGCTGTTGTAATAGCTTCAATCTCGCTGGGTGCACTTTCATTAATCTCTGGGGAATCGACTTTTATTATGGAATTACTTAATATCATATAGTACCAGTCATTCCTTAAATATGTGAATTAGGAATATCCAGAGAATTTATTAATCTATTTTTAAGCTTCTGAAATGATATCAGTTGGGCCTTATTTGTAGGTTTTCAACATTGATTAATTGATTGAACCCATCTTAGAAAAGGATAAATTCATTGAACTTGATGGAAAGTTTCTGTATTATGAATTAGAACCAAGTATCATTGTTAACATCTGTCCCTAAATATTCCAATCATTTGGAGTTTTATTGGTGATGTATTCTGGGAAGGTATTCAATATGTTATTTGTATATTTAATGTCCAATAAATGGTTTTCCTCAACCCTATCAAACAAGAACAATCTATACTCAAAAATAACATACAAAATCTTAAAAACGATTAGGAAGGGAATTAAATTGTTGGAGATCTAGAAATACTATTTTGGTTTGAAATAGATAAAATTGCTTCTATTATTAAACTCTTGGGACTTGCTATTCAAGTCTGTGTTGTATTTGAATGGTAAGAAAAATGAAAGTCTTAGAAATACCATTGAGTCTACAATGAGTTTAGTTATCATAGCAACCTATTTAGCTGTTCTTATTGATTGTTTTTAATCTTGCAGACCTAATAAATTATTAAACAAAGCCTAAAGATTTGATCAAATATTTGTGACCTTAGAACTTTGTAGAACATTTCTCTTTAGTGGTGTCTTAATCTTATTCTAAAGCAATCAAGTTTTATAAACATTGTTTCTGTATATTGGAAGTTTTAGTTAGTGCTTTTTTATTTATAAGTATAAACAAGTTGATCAATTTGGTAAAATTTTATCAATCCTTATTGAAGGATCGGTATCCATCTTTATATTGACTTCAACAATTTACTTTAAAGCCTTCAGAGCGTATGTAAACCCAGATACTTTGACAACTATAGGATTTGCCCATATAGGAATATTGCTTATAAGTTCAATTATTTTAGGTGTAAAATAAACTATCTTTACCATGAAAGTATTTATTAAAAAATTTATGGAGATTAAAATCAATTGAAATAAACTTAAATTTCTCTTGTTTTCTAATATATATTAATAATTTATAAATAAGTACAATTATTATCAATATTTTTGAATTTAAGAAATTTTCTTAAAATAATAATTAACCACAATTTTGATGAGTTAATTTTTAAATATTTTATATCCCAAATAAAAAGTATAGATCAGAATTTAAAATGGGGAATCTATATTGGGATAATATTATCCATTTTGAACTATAACTCCCTAATGTAAATGGTATATAAATGGAGAAATCAAATCATTTTTTTTGCTGATTATTCTGCGGATTTTAGACAGCTTATTAAATGACTTCTTAAGCTTTTTAAGTGTTGGTTTATTACTATGGATTATAAAGCTTGCATTTGTCTTTATCAGATCCATTCATTCCTGTTTTCATTTTTTGCATCTTTTTATTATATAATAATGAACCGATTGTTTATTATAATATATATTATAATGAACAATAACTGTTTTTAAAATAAGATATTTTATATCCATAATATAAATAATATAATTAATTTCAACATAATTATTGGCAATAATTTGATATTCAAATATCATGAATCATTTGAACTTAGATTGGGAAGTGATTATAACATTACAATTATATATAATTAAGCTTCAAATATATTCTTCTAAAAAAAAGAATAATGCATAGTAAATCAGAATGGATTGTAAGAAAGACGTATTCATTAGTTTTTCTATCATCCACCAATTTTATACTGGAGTAAAAAAGAGAGAACAATCTGAATTAGAAGTCCTTTCATACATTTTAAAATTAATTCTCATTTCTTTAATAATATTGATATCTAATAATATATTCATCACCTGATATAATCAAAAGGAGATGAAAAATGCAAGAAAATGAGAATTCTAATCAACATTTGAAATTGCTGAAAATCGTTAATTTGAAATCCTATCATTTTAGAAATTATAGATTTAGTATTTCTATATGGTAATGACTCTAACTAGCCTGAATGTTATTATACCAGAATTATGAGGAAAGTAACTCTATTAAATATTTTTAAACAGAATTATAGCTTAAAAAGAAATTCATCAATAATCCAATTAATTAATATAAAATTTCAAATATTAATAATTTTTAGAATTAATTTTAAAGTGCGATCATAAAACCACCTCGAAAATAATTGCACCATGGATGAATTACAATAATCTCCTTTATAAATATGATAAAATAAAATAATTTAAAACTTTTTCTTCATGAAAATGTCAAACTTTTGTAACTATTAATTCTTGGCTTCCATGCTATCTTCTAAATGATAGTGTGCATAATAAGCAAAGCAAGAATAGATTACAAAATATTGTTCATTATGGCTTGGCAAGATGAGTTTATCCAAACGTCAGTTAAATTTATATACTAAATTCTATCTGATTTAGGTGAAAATCAATTATTTTTATTGGTTAGGACTATAACTCTGATTGCTGATTATTTCTTCCAGGATTTTAAGATGTATAAGTCTAATCATAGACAAAATGCTTAGAATATGCATTATGGTGGATCTTTTGCCTATATTTTTAGAAATGAGATGTAAAAATAAAATAGAAATAATTTAAACTTATAAATTTTAGATGAGTATTATACCCTTTAGTGTTGAGACCAGAAGGAATGATCTTTGATTCTTATAGAATTAATTATATATAACGAATCATCTTAAAATATTTCATATTTCAAAGATTGCTTATCTGCTTAATGAATCATTTTTCCCTAATTTTATATTCTATTGTTATTTACTACACCTTTCTTATATAAGAGTTGATGCATTGAGTATATCCACATTTAGGGATATTTCACATATTTGGTTGAACTTAATGGTATCAACAATTTTCATTGAAATAAACATACTATCCAAAACTAAGATAGTGAGATCATCTTTAAAAAAGACTTCGATCACTCTATTGAGGGCTAGGTAAATTTTCTACCCTTTTTCAATATCAAACAGAACAATATACAAATTAAAAATAATAATTATGAGAATTAATCATTAAATTAAATTCTCCTGAGAAATTCGAAATTAATAGTATATCAGCTAGAAATTAAACGAAATTAAATCTTATCCATTTAAAAATCAAAACCATAACCCTTTTATGTTTAATTTACTAAATAAAGAATGCAAATCAAATATTTGCTTTTAATAAGTCTTCTGCTTGCAGTAACTAAGCAAGTGACAGTGACTAAAACCGATACATGTGATGATTGCACTTAATTCAAATCATCCTTAGATTGTAAAGCATTTGGATGTACTTGGACAGATAAAACAGCCGCAGCAGCAGGATCTTGTGCTAAATCTACAACTCCTCCTCCTGTTACCTTTACACCATATTGTTCAACAATAGAGACAGCAAATTGTGCTAAGACATTTGGATGTGCCTTAGTTGAAGGAAAATGCACTCATTTCACAGGATGTTCAGCCTATGTCAAAACTACACACTCAGACTGCTAAGCCATATCTTACATGTGTATTACAAATGGAACAACATGCACAAATGCACTTGAATGTGTTGGATATACTAAAGAATAATGTGAAACTACCCCTAGCTTGAAGAGCCCATACAAATGTAAACTTGATGGAGAAACATGTAGAGACTATAAATGTATTGAGGCTGATTCATCACTTACAACTGATTTAGCCTGCTCAACTTGGTTATTAGGTTGTAGATCAACAGGCGCTGGTTGTATTGATTTAGTACCACCATGTGCTAGTTATTAAGGTACTTCAGAAACATGCCCAAAGATGAAGGGATCAGATGGAAATTGTGAATTTAATGCAGATGGTAATGTTTGTAAAGCAAGAGTATGCACAGGTGCAGATACTGGACTTAACACTAATGAGGCTTGTGCTTAATACTAAGTTGGATGTGTAACAACAGGAAAGGGATGTATTGCAACAAGAGGAGCTTGTTCAACTTATGATGGAAATGCTTCAACTTGTATTGGATATATTGGTACAGATGGAGAATGTGCTGGTGATGCTACAGGTACTAAATGCAGAGCTAGATTATGCAGTGAAAAAACCGCAACTACTGATGCTGAATGTGGTACTTGGAAGACTGGATGCAAATCAAATGGAAAATAATGTGTTGATTCATTAGGTGCTTGTAGCTCATATGATGGAACAACAACTACATGTGCTGGTTTGAAAGGATCTGATGGTAATTGCAAAGGAACTTCAACAACAACAGCTAAATGTGCCTTAAAAGATTGTGTGACTGATAGTAATGACACATTTAAAACATAAGCTCAATGTGAAGCTATCTAATCAAACTGTAAAACAACAGGAAAAGGATGTGTAGCAACATTAGCTGCATGTTCTTCATATTCTTATACAGATGATGGAACATCTTGTAATTCATGGTATGGATCAGATGGTAGATGTAAACCTGGAACAGCTGGAAAGTGTGCAGCTAGAGTTTGTACTGAAGCTTTAACATCATTAACTACAAACAAATAATGTGATGATTACAAGAGTGGATGTGTAACCACTGGAGCTGGATGTGTTTCAACAACTGTTTGCTAAGATACTGTTAAATAAGTTACTTGTGAAGGAACAGGTACTTGTGGATGGAATTCAATCTGTGTTTCAAAGACTAGTTGTGGTTAATTATTGACCAAATCTATTTGTGAAAGTGTCAAGATAAGCAATAAGCCATGTAAATGGGATACAGGTACATGCAGAAATGCAAGATGTGATGATTTTACAGCTACAGATGATAATACTTGCAATACCTTACTTGAAAATTGTGTTACTAATGGTACAAAATGTGTTGATGGTACTAATTGTGCTGCTTAATTTAAAGGAACATAATAAGCATGTTAAGCCTTTAAAGCCAAATGCACAAATGATACTAATGCAGCTGATACTGCTGTTTGTAAAGCAAGAACATGTGATGATTCATATCTCACTTACGATAATGATCAAGATTGTGGTAATTATTTGACAGGTTGTGTGACAAAAGGATCTGGTTGTATTATTGACACAGCTGTATGTTCAAGTTATTCTGGTACTCCAGAATAATGTGATAAATTTAAAGGAAATAAGACTACTAGATGTTGGAATACAGGTGCTGCTACTGTTTCTGGTGCTTGTGTTGATAAATAATGTACATAGGCTACTAGCATGGGAGATGACACAGCATGTGAATCATTTTTAACAGGATGTTTATATGATGGCAATGGAAGTTGTGTAGCTAAAAGTGCTGCATGCACAGCTTATACAGGTACTGCCATTACTTGCTTAAACTTTAAAGGAAGCAGTGCAGCTAATCCATGTTTCCAAGGTGTAGGAGGTAAGTGCAGAAATAAAACATGTAGTGATGATATAACTAGTTAAAGTGATGGAGATTGCAATACATTTTTACCAGATTGTGTTACTAAGGGAACTGGATGTATTGATAAGACCTCTTAATGCACTGCATATTCAGGAACAACTGATAAATGTTTAACATTTACTGGAAAATCAGGAGCAGATAAATGCACAAGATTAGAAGCTTGCGTTTCAAAAGCTACAACATGTGCTTCAAAAACAGGAATAGCTGGAAATGACGACTGTTTATCATATCATGCTGATTGCAGATTTAAATTTGGAGATACTGCTTGCATGCAAAGTTAAACTGTTTGTACAAGTTATACATTGACTGGTACTGATGATGCTGCAAAGTAGACTTATTGTAATTTAATTACAACATCATCAGCTGGTTCATGTAGTTATGATACAGGTGTAGTAGGTACATGTTCTGCTAGAGCATGCAATCTATGGGTGAGTACATTAACTAATATTACATGTGACAATTACAATGGAACAGCTTCATGTAAATTAAATGGTGCTTCTTATTGTTATGCTCCTTTAGCCTCATGTGCTTCATACACAATACCAAATAGTACAACAGATAAATTAGCATGGTGTAATGCAATGTTCACAAATGCAGCTACCCCAACTAAGTGTTCATATGATGCAGGTGTCAGTACAACAGCATGTTCAAATATAGATAGTTGTGAAGAAATCATTTCTCCTACCAGTGCTGCTTATTGTAATAAAATATTAGATGATGGAGACTGCTAATTTACAAATAACAAATGTATTACTACTAAAAATGCATGTACTGGTTATTTATTAACTGGTATTACTACAGGTTAAGCTGCCTATTGCTCTGGCTTGAGATCAGATAATTCGGGAACTGTTACAAAATGTTCATATATTTCTGGAACTTCTACAACTACTTGTGTTGATGAGGTAGTAGCAACAGTTGCTAATCCAGCCGCTATCACTGTTGGAGCTTGTAATACAATTTCATCACCAACTTCATAAGCAGATTGTAATTTAGGAACTGGAAGTTGTAAATATTATTCAGGAGCTTGTTATGCCAGAGTTGCATGTGCAAGTTATACCGTTGTTGGTGCAGATGCAACTGCTAAGCAAAACTTTTGTTAGAATATGTATGATAATACGGCAAATACTTACTGCTCTTATAATGCTGGAGCTTGTGCTGCTGGTAAAGCTGCTTGTACTGATTATTCTACTTTAGCTGGGGCAGATGATGCTGCTAAAACATTAGAATGTTCTAAACTCAGAATAAAAACAGGAAGTGCTTGCGGCTTCACTGCATCAGGAACTGCATGTGCAGCTCCAGCCGATGCTGCTGCTTCATGCACACTTGTAACATCTGATATCACTGCTGATGCAGATTGCGCCTTAAGAACAATATTAGGATGCAAGAAACATGCTACTAATCCTGCTTGCATAGCAAATGGTGCATGTACTGCTGCTGCGCCTACTGGTACTGGAGATGCTTAAGTCACGAGCTGCTAAGCTTTTATTGGTCCTGATTCTAAATATTGTACATTTACAACCGGTGCAAATTGTGCAGTTGCTCAAAGTGCATGCTCAGGTTATTCAACTCTTCCATCTGGTACTGAATTAGCTTATTGTTCTTTAAGAATTAATGAGAATGGATAAAGATGTACATGGGTTACTCCTGCTACAGCTTGTTCAGATCCTTCCGCTACATGTGTGAGCTACACTGGTCTTACTGGTACTGATATGCTAAAATAATGTTAAGCTAAAAACGATTTAGCTGGAGTAAGATGCTCATGGAATATAGGTACTACTGCATGTATTGCTGCTCCAAAAACCTGCGCTGGTTGGAATAGTCTTCCAACTTCAGGATAATTAGAATTTTGTTAGGCCAGAATTAAATCAGATGGTTTGAGTTGTTCATGGGTTAGCGGTACTTCATGTACCGATGCTCCAGCTGCTTGTACATCATTAGCTAGTCTTCCAAATTCAGGAGAATTAGCTTATTGTGTATTAAGAATCAAACAAGATGGAGTAAAATGTTCATGGACAAGTGGTGGTAATTGTATAACTCAACCAACAGCATGTACTGACTGGAGCACTCAACCATCATTAGAATTTTGTTAAGCTAGAAGTAATATAAGTGGAAATAGATGTTCATTTGTTGCGGCTGCTGCTGCATGTTCTGATGCTCAAGCTGCTTGTACTGGATATAGCACATTACCTTCACCAGGATAATTAGCATTTTGTTAAGCAAGAGTTTAATAAGATGGAACTAAATGTTCATGGACTGCTGGAGGAGCAGCTTGCAGAGCTTATTCATGTGAAGATACAGCATCTCCTTAATCATAAGCTGATTGCGATACTACTGGAACAGGATGCACATATGAACCTCAACTTTAAATTTGTTATAAGCCATAGACAGCATGCACAAGTTATACTCCAGCAGGTTCTACTGAAGCTGATAAACTTAACTATTGTAATAATCTATTAAATTCTGCTTCTACTCCTGTTGGATGTACTTACATCAAAGGAAAAGCTAGTGTTACAACATGTTCAGTATTAGGTGCTTGCACAAGCTATGATGTTTCAGATGTAGCTGCAGCTGATAAATTAGCTGCTTGTTAAGGTGTAATTCCCTCCTCTGGTTCTTGTACATACTTTTCAGGAAACACATGCGTTGCTGTTGCAGCCTGCTCTACATATACTGGAGGAAGTTCCGGAACTATAGTGGTTGATTGTGCAAAATAAAAAGATACTACTGGATTATTATGTTATGGATCTGGTACAGCATGTGCTGCAGCAACTTGTGAAAATGTTACAGGAGCAACAAGTCTTGATGATTGTAAGAAATACGCTACAAATTGTGTGTACGCAGGTGGAAAATGTTACACTACATCTGCAACTTGTGCATACTCTACTGGAGGAACTAATGCAATTTCAACATGCAATAGTCTAAAAAATACTGGTGGCAATTTCTGTACAGCTGATGCTGATGCTGATGCTAATTGCAAAGACAGAACATGCGATGATACGGCAACAAATAGTTTCTAAACTCATGATGAATGTAAGACTTATCATTCAACTGCCAAATAAACGGTTAAGGTTGTATCCTTGCTTCAAAAAACATGTGCTTAATAAAGTGGATATCTTAGCTATTGTGAATGGGCCTTAGACACTAACAGCAAATCAACTTGTGCCAAAGCAACTGCTGATACCAATAGTGCTGCTTGTACAAAGTTGACTTGTGAGTTGAATGTTACTGCAACCAGTGATTCAGAATGTATATCATTCAATTCTGATTGTTTAAATAAAGGTTTAGGTTGTATTCTTAAAACAGAGCCTTGCTCCTCTTACTATGGTACAAAAACCTCATGCTAGGCATTTACAGGAAATGGTAAGAAATGCTACGGAGATTCCACTACTACTACTAAAGCAGCTTGCAGAGATAGATAATGCACTGATATGTCTACAGCTACCAGTGACAGCGAGTGTGAAAATTTCTTAACAGGATGTTTATTCAATGGAGTTGGTTGTGTACATAAAAGTGCTGCTTGTAGTTCATATAAGGGAACCTAAGCAACTTGCTCAGGATTTAAGGGAAGCAATGGAACCAAATATTGTTGGGGATCCAGTACAACTGTGGTTGGAAATTGTGCTGATAGAAAATGCTCAGATAAGGTTGGCACAACTGATGCAGAATGTTAAACGTTCTTGCCTCCTATTGCTCCATCAAAAGTATAATTATGTATTACTGATGGCAAAACTTGTGTTGATATTGGAAAGGCCTGTTCATTCTTTAAAGGAAATGATGACACATGTTTATTATTCACAGCTAATGATGGTCCATGCAAAGCAAGTTCTGTTTCAGCATCTCCTGTTGCTTGTACTTCTAGAGTTTGTTATGAAGCTCCAAACACATATACAACAGATGATTAATGTTCGAAATATCACCCATCATGTAAAACAACAGGTAGAGGATGTAAGAGCACTGTTGGATGTGGAGAATTAACTTCTTAAGCTTCATGCACAGCAAATACATCATGTCAATGGGCAGGATAATGCAGAACTTTACCAGCTACATGTGGTGCATTGACTACATATGGTCAAGCTATTTGTACAAATACACCTTTATCAACTGGAAAGAAATGTGCTTGGTATAATGGTTCTTCTTCCAATGTTTGCAGAGATTTCGTATGCGCAGATTATGATGGATCAATTGCAACTCACAAGGATTGCAATGACAAAGATACAACATGTACAACTAGCGGTGCTGGTTGTGTAACCTTGGGAGTATGCTCATCCTATAGATCTAAATCTGTTTGTGAAGCTGCAAACACAACTGAAACTTCAGTTAGATGCACTTGGAATTCTACAACTGCAGCTTGTAGATAAAGATAATGTGCAGATGGAGTTTTTACCACTGATGATGCTTGCAACACATGGCTTACTGGATGTAAAACTTCAGGAACAGCTTGTGTAGGACCAAACTTTGGATGTGATGTGTTTACAGGAAATCCTAAACTTTGTTTGAAGAATAGCGCTAAAAATCCATGTTTATATGTTAATGGAATTTGCTATGATTATGACAATTGTACAGATGTTAGTTCTTCAACTTACTCATTCTGCTAATCCTTCTCTAAATAATGTGTGCCAACAAATACAACTTGCAGAGCTATTACTCAATGCGATAAATATGAAGATATCAACTCATGCACCATTGGTATTAATAATACTGTATGTGGATGGCTACCTGAAAATAAATGCAAAGAATACACAGTATGCAGTGATGCAGCAGGTACTGTCTTATCAGCTTGTACCAGTTGGGGTTCTACATGTGTTTCAGATGGAACCAAATGTGTCGATAAAGGAACTTGTGCTTCATATTTAACCACTTAAGCTTGTGATAATGCAGGTACTGATGGATCATGTTAATGGACTGGAACTGCTTGCAGATTGAGAGAATGTACAGATAAGGTTGCTACAACTGATGCTGAATGTTTAGCTTATACTGTTAAGAGTGGAATCTGTACAACTGATGGAGCTAAATGTGTTCCTAGAGCTACATGTTCTTCATATTTAACTGAAGCAGCTTGCACAATCGGATAAGATGGAATTCCATGTGTTTATGATTTACCAGTTGGTGCTACTACAGGAACTAAATCATGTAGACCTAAGGAATGCACAGACATCAAAGGAACTACTAATGATGCTTGTGTATCAATGATTCCAAACAAGGCTTGTGTTTCTAATGGAGTTAATTGTGTTAAATAAGATACATGTGCCAATTATAAGAATAGATTATCATGCAAAGCAGGAGGTTCAGATGGAAAATGCGCATTTACTCCAGCACCAACTACTGCAGATCCAAATAATGGAACATGTGTATCATTCAAATCATGTGAAAATGCCAATAGTGATTAAGATGCTTGTGTTACTAAACCAAAAGCATGCAAATGGTAATCAACTACAACTGGAACTACCACTACTACTAAATGTTCATCAATGGATTGCCCTGGAGTTGCTTCTGGTACAACTTGCAACCCATTCCAAAGTTTCGATGGAACTTCAAGCACAATTTGTGTTTTGGTCAATAATGTATGTTCAGTTAGCGATCCATCAACCCTTACAGCAGAATAATGCTATAAACCAACAACTGTTTACACATACACTTGGAATGAATCCACTAATAAATGTGTTTCATGCAAAGCTCCAACTAATAATAACAATAACTCAACCAATCCAAACACTACAGACCCAGACACTAATACTGATGATAATGGATACATCTTAGGTGTTACAATTCCATTGGCTATATTGGGAATCTTTGTTTGATTTTGATTTAAAATTTATATAGGGAAAATTACATATATTAATAAAAAATTTCATTTCTCGCAATCAATTTTGATAGAAATTATTATTCTTCAATCTTTACAGTTTGTTTATTTACAGATTAAAATATGCTATCACTCTACAATATTTTTGTTTTATTATTCACTCATACTATTAAATTTATTTACTATCCAAATTAACTTTGAGTTCAAGGTTAATCCATTCATATTTTGATATAATTATACAAAAAGATCAGCAGTTTTGTAACGGAATCATTCTAAATTATACTAAATATAATAAAACATTAACAAGCCAAATTTATTTTAGCCTATTATTTCTATATACAACTATTACTACTTAGTAAAACTATGAATTGTTATGATTATTAGAAATAAAATAATTATTATAGCTACTTTATTGTCGAAATAGTAAGTTTATTTATGATATTTTATATTATAGTTAAAATAAAAATAAATTAATCTCAAATGATAGTGGATTTGTAAACTGTTTAAAAGGTTGCTGCCAGGAATGAAATTTGATTATTGATTAAGTAATATTATTAAATTTAATAAAGAATACAAAGCTATATCTATTAATTAATATAAGAATACTGGATCTCTAAAATGATGCAATCATATAGATTGATAAAAAATGACGATAGCTTCTAAAAATGACAATTCTTAATACACAAAGGGTGTAAAATCATATATATCTGTATTAGCTGAACGTATAAAGCCATTATAAATTAGTCTTTTTATATATCTGGTTTATAATCACAATGAAGAAATTGTATATGAGAAAAACCCTTGTCTGTTTATTCAAAACAACTCTATTCTCCATCTACAAAGGTATAAATTATTGATATACAAATAAGCAGATAGTTTAAATTAAATATCATTATAATAATTGAATATATGTGATTGACAGCAACAATAATGTAATTCTCTTGGCTTATAAAGTATTATCTATTAGTTTAGAGCATTTTAAGTAGTTATATACAAAAGATACTTTTTATTCTATTTTAGGATAATCATTAGCAACGATGCATAGATATGATAATGCAATTTAGATTTTAGATCAAGTATTGAAAACAATCAAATAAGTGCTAATCTCTTGTTTGGAAAGGTTACAAACAATTCGAGTTATTTAGGCGACTGTCTAAATCAAGTGGTTTGTTTCAGTTCTATAAAATTATTATACAATAAATACCAAGCAAATGGCTTATATATAAGGCTATTTTGATGAATCAAAATTTTCCATATGTTCAAAATCAGATAGGGAAATAAATGTGTTGATGTAACTGGATCTGTAAATTAACAAAAGAAATAGTAATAATGAATCAAATGATAATTTGAAAATAGTAATGATCATCAACATTAGTTATTAAAATAATTTTCATCATCTCTTATTTTGTCAATAAATTTTCTAATTATTGTATTTGAAATTATTAGAGAACTTGCAGTTGACAATTGAATATATGCAAAACAGGAATTAAAATAAAGTGCTAAAAAACTCTAAAGTAAAATTTTGTATAATTACAATTTTTATATTAAAAGTATAACTCCATTAGAATTAATTAATAGAAGAGCAGATTAAAGCGCAAAAAATCATCTTAGAAATAGTTATATTATTTGAAGATTGGTTGAGTGATTACTATCAATATGCCCAGAGAAAATATAGAGTAAAAATAAAGTCTGCAATTTTATGCATCCAAGATGATTTGTCGGAATTTTTACTAGCAATTAAGTAGTAACTATTAGAAATTTTTCCTAATAGTATTTCAAAGATGCTCTAAATGATATCAATTGATGGAGTTTTTATTATTAATCTATGCCCAGAGTCTGATTTCAAAAACAGCAATTGCTACTATCTACGCAGAGTTTGGGTATCAAAGAGAAAATATTTGCATTAAAATACTTACAAAGTATTGATCTTGTAAATGGGAAAGTGAAAAAATTAAAAGCATATTGATTTAGAAGAACTCTGATAATAGGTGTCGAAGAAATATGAGTATAACATTTTAAGTCCTGAGACACTAATAGACTTTCATAGAATATATAATTCTTTAGAAAAAAAAATACTGCCTCAAGAACTTCAAAGGTATTGTGATTACAAAAGACCGAGTCTTAAATTTCATATAGATTAGGAGAAAGTTAAATATGTATCAGCTGAATAGTTTAAAAGAAAAAAATTGAAGCCTTTATTCGCAGTTAAAGGCCAGAGTTAGAAAAAATGGATACCAAGTCATGTACAAAGTTGTAATTGCTTTTCTAAAAATAAATTTAAAAAAATCATAACATGATGTCTAAAAAGCAAAATTTTGGACGTTGTATTAATAATGGATTTCACTTTTAGTATTTTTCCTTGGATTAATCAAGCAAAAGAAAGTATATTAGCAATAATCGATATTTTTAATAAAGATGTCTCATAAACATAAATTAAAATTGCTTTTGTTGAATATAGAGGTTTTAAGATGAGAAGGATTTTTAATATCATGGTTTTATGACGGATGTTTAATTACCAAAATCATTTATACTCTCTAAGCTAATGGTGGTGATGATGAAGCAGAAGATATTGAAGGCGAAATTGTGCAAGTATTAATTTAAATTTTCGAACCACCGTAATGTATACTTTATTTTCTAGAATAAAGATTTTTACTCATTATCTAACATTACTATTAAAAATAGTCTTCAGAAAGGATTTCTAATAATACTAATTTCATTGATAAAGAAAAATGAAAATTATTCCGCTTTTAGTCATTTTACAAATAGAGACCTAGTGATTTCTGATTTTTAGGGAAACTAGAGGTCCTTTCAGATCCACTTATACATCCATTTTAGAAAATTTAACATTTGAAGGATGAAACAAACATTCAAAATTTAGGAATTGAAACATTTTTCCAGAGTTAGTTTAATGATAGAGTCTAAAGAAATTAAGTTCATGAAGAGTCTCCTAAAATTGATCATTTCTATAGCTGAAATAACTTAACATTCAGAATGTGAATGTAGTTTTTAATGTTTGTGGTGATATTTTCTAAATTATTTTTTATCATTACGATGGTTAAATTGATGATGCCTATACTTACCAAAATGTCTATAGTTTTATGAATTGACTGAAATTTGTGAATGCTGTGGTAATGAATTAAAATTTATTATAAAAAGTGTATTAAATTAAACATTAGATTTAAAAATATGTGAAGAGTGTTAGAGAGATTACTTAGATTAGAGATGTAATCAAAGTGCATAAATTTTATAAAAGCAAGTCTTTTTCGTGAAAAATTTTATAAAAGAAATATGTTTCTACTATTCATCATAATCTGGCAGAAGAAAAGTAAGATAAATTTAATGACACTGATGGAGAATCCAAATATTTATGTGAGGAAGCATGCTAATTGCTTGAAAACCCATATTGTTTGAACATATACATAATTATTTATTATTAGTTTTCTGAATAATTGTGATTTTTGTCATCATAAAAAAAATTATCAAAATCAATTGAATATAACTAAATTTCTCTAGTTTTTTAATATATATTAATAATTTATAAATAAGTACAATTATTATCAATATATTTTTGAATTTAAGAAATTTTCTTTAAATAATAATTAACCATAATTTTGATGAGGTAATTTTTAAATATTTTATATCCCAAATAAAAAGTATATATTAGAATTTAAAATGGGGATTCTATATTGCGGAGAATATCATCCATTTTGAACTATAACTCCCTCATGTAAATTGGTATATAAATGTAGAAATCAAATCATTTTTGCTGATTATTTCGCGAATTTTAGACAGCTTATTAAAAGACTTCTTATGCTTTTTAAGTGTTGGTTTATTACTATGGATTATAAAGCTTGCATTTGTCTTTATCAGATCCATTCATCCCTGTTTTCATTTTTTGCATCTGTTTATTTTAAATTTATTAACTGATAAATTATGATTTTATAAATTAATACATTCTATATAAATAATATCAATTAAATTTTTATTCTTTATTCAAATATCTTGAGGAGTTCAGCAAAATTATTGGTACACAATTAGACTAGAAGGAGAATCATTTAGAAAATAGGAACGTTATCAATATGAATTCCAAATATTATTAATTTTAATAAGTAAAATAGCTAGCTAAATTTGATTTATAGATATGGGGTTATGTTTTTCCTGGGTCCTTACGAATAATAAATTAAAGTAATATGACAAAATGAAAGTTTGTATAAATCCTTTATTCTATAAATTAAAATTTATTTTTGTCAGAAAAATATATTACTTCATTTAATATTTTACAAAATAATTGTTTAGAGCAAAGGTTGATAGAAAAACAAAAATTTAGGGTGATCATTTTTTTGAAATAGATTATTTAATAAATTATTATACCCTTCTCATTAATTTTCCCATAATATTTTGGAAATAAAGTATACATAATCTGGAAGCAAGGATTCTTCTAATTTCAGAGTTGCAAGTAGTAATTATGAAGTCAAAATTGATATTATTGATTATACTTTTTTTTTTTTAGAATAACAGAATAAATTAATTGATGTAGGTTTGTTTCTGTGATTCTATATTTTGATATTCCCACCCTGTATTTTCAGATGTAGAAAATAGAAGGAAAAATACTTCTTTAATAATTAGAATTAACAATTTTACTATTGTCTCAAAAAGAGATTATTTTAAATAAAATAGTTGCAAACTTCGAATAACTTTTATTGAGCAACTATTTTACTCAATTCTGATCAAAAGATGCAAATCTCTCCAATAAGTGTCGTATATTGACAAATTACTATAAAATTTATTCCTTCATATATATCAACATTTAAACATGATTCATCCTTCTCCTTTATTTTTTCTATAAATATTCTATTGATAAAGTTGATCTGTAATAATAATATAGACACACTATCTAATTTAGAAGGACTCTATTAATCTTGATAACTTTCAGACCTGGTTATTCTGAAAAAATAGGTGTTTGTTAATAAAAAAATAAATATATAAGTTGATAATATCATCAAACATATTAAAATAGAATACAAACACTCTGTTAGAAGCCATCTGTGTTTTCATTCTCAAGTTAGTCTAGATAATTATATTAAAATTAATGATGATTATGATGGAGGATTATTAGATAAAATTAAATTTCCTAAATTACATATTTAATAATATGATATAAGATAAAAAATTAAAAAATTTAATTTTTCATATATTTTAAATTGAAAAAGTAGATCCTTAAATATTTAATTTACTAAATAAAAATGCAAATCAAATATTTGCTTTTGATAAGTCTTCTGCTTACAATAACTCAGTAAGTGACAGTGACTAAAAATGATACCTGTGATGATTGTACATAATTCAAATCTTCCTCTGATTGTAAATCATTTGGATGTACCTGGACGGAGAAAACAACCACAACCCCAGGATCCTGTGCCAAAACTACTACACCACCACCTATTGCTATTACAAGATATTGTGAAACAATAGAGACAACAAATTGTGCTAAGACATTTGGATGTGCCTTAGTTGAAGGAAAATGCACTCATTTCACAGGATGTTCAGCTTATGTCAAAACTACACACTCAGACTGCTAAGCCATATCTTACATGTGTATTACTAATGGAACAACATGCACAAATGCACTTGAATGTGTTGGATATACTAAAGAATAATGTGAAACTACCCCTAGCTTGAAGAGCCCATACAAATGTAAACTTGATGGAGAAACATGTAGAGACTATAAATGTATTGAGGCTGATTCATCACTTACAACTGATTTAGCCTGCTCAACTTGGTTATTAGGTTGTAGATCAACAGGCGCTGGTTGTATTGATTTAGTACCACCATGTGCTAGTTATTAAGGTACTTCAGAAACATGCCCAAAGATGAAGGGATCAGATGGAAATTGTGAATTTAATGCAGATGGTAATGTTTGTAAAGCAAGAGTATGCACAGGTGCAGATACTGGACTTAACACTAATGAGGCTTGTGCTTAATACTAAGTTGGATGTGTAACAACAGGAAAGGGATGTATTGCAACAAGAGGAGCTTGTTCAACTTATGATGGAAATGCTTCAACTTGTATTGGATATATTGGTACAGATGGAGAATGTGCTGGAGATGCTACAGGTACTAAATGCAGAGCTAGATTATGTAGTGAAAAAACTGCAACTACTGATGCTGAGTGTGGAACTTGGAAGACTGGATGCAAATCAAATGGAAAATAATGTGTTGATTCATTAAGTGCTTGTAGCTCATATGATGGAACAACCACTACATGTGCTGGTTTGAAAGGATCAGATGGTTAATTGCAAAGGAACTTCAACAACAACAGCTAAATGTGCCTTAAAAGATTGTGTGACTGATAGTAATGACACATTTAAAACATAAGCTCAATGTGAAACTATTTAATCAAACTGTAAAAACAACAGGAAAAGGATGTGTGGCAACATTAGCTGCATGTTCTTCATATTCTTATACAGATGATGGAACATCTTGTAATTCATGGTATGGATCAGATGGTAGATGTAAACCTGGAACAGCTGGAAAGTGTGCAGCTAGAGTTTGTACTGAAGCTTTAACATCATTAACTACAAACAAATAATGTGATGATTACAAGAGTGGATGTGTAACCACTGGAGCTGGATGTGTTTCAACAACTGTTTGCTAAGATACTGTTAAATAAGTTACTTGTGAAGGAACATCTAATTTGTGGATGGAATTCAATCTGTGTTTCAAAGACTAGTTGTGGTTAATTATTGACCAAATCTATTTGTGAAAGTGTCAAGATAAACAATAAGCCATGTAAATGGGATACAAGCACATGCAGAAGTGCAAGATGTGATGATTTTACAGCCACAGATGATAATACTTGCAATACCTTACTTGAAAATTGTGTTACTAATGGTACGAAATGTGTTGATGGTACTAATTGTGCTGCTTAATTTAAAGGAACATAATAAGCATGCTAAGCCTTTAAAGCCAAATGTACTAACGATACTAATGCAGCTGCAACTGTTGCCTGTAAAGCAAGAACATGTGATGATTCATATCTCACTTACGATAATGATCAAGATTGTGGTAATTATTTTGACAGGTTGTGTGACAAAGGGATCTGGTTGTATTATTGACACAGCTGTATGTTCAAGTTATTCTGGTACTCCAGAACAATGTGATAAATTTAAAGGAAATAAGACTACTAGATGTTGGAATACCAGTGCTTCTGGTGCTTGTGTTGATAAATAATGTACATAGGCTACTAGCATGGGAGATGACACAGCATGTGAATCATTTTTAACAGGATGTTTATATGATGGCAATGGAAGTTGTGTAGCTAAAAGTGCTGCATGCACAGCTTATACAGGTACTGCCATTACTTGCTTAAACTTTAAAGGAAGCAATTAAGCTAATCCATGCTTCCAAGGTGTTGGAGGAAAGTGCAGAAATAAAACATGTGGTGACGATACAACTAGTACAAGTGATGGAGATTGCAATACATTTTTACCAGATTGTGTTACTAAGGGAACTGGATGTATTGAAAAGACCTCTTTATGCCCTGCATATCAAGGAACAACTGATAAATGTTTAACATTTACTGGAAAATCAGGAGCTGATAAATGCACAAGATTTGGAAGCCTGTGTATCAAAAGCTACGACCTGCGCTTCAAAAACAGGAATAGCTGGAAATGATGATTGTTTATCATATCACGCTGATTGCAGATTTAAATTTGGAGACACAATTTGCATGCAAAGTTAAACTGCTTGTACAAGTTATACATTGACTGGTACTGATGATGCTGCAAAGTAGACTTATTGTAATTCAATTACAACATCATCAGCTGGTTTATGTAGTTATAGTACAGGTACAACAGGCACATGTTCTCCTAGAGCATGCAATCTATGGGTGAGTACATTAACTAATATTACATGGTGAAAATTATAATGGAACAGCTTACATGTAAATTAAATGGTGCTTCTTATTGTTATACTCCTGTAGCCTCATGCGCTTCATACACAATACCAACAAGCATTACAGATAATTCAGCTAAATTAGCATGGTGTAATGCAATGTTCACAAATGCAGTTACCGCAACTAAGTGTTCATTTGATTCAGCCACTCCAACTACATGCTCCAATATAGATAGTTGTGAAGAGATCATTTCTCCTACCAGTGCTGCTGATTGTAATAAAAAATTAAATGATGGACAATGCTAATTTGTTAACAACAAATGTATTACTACTAAAAATGCATGTACTGGTTATTTATTAACTGGAATTACTACAGGTTAAGCTACTTATTGTTCTGCTTTGAAATCAGATAATTCAGGAACTGTTAAAAAATGTTCATATATTTCTGGAACTTCTACAACTACTTGTGTTGATGAGGTAGTAGCAACAGTTGCCAATCCAGCTGCTATCACTGTTGGAGCTTGTAATACAATTTCATCACCAACTTCATAAGCAGATTGTAATTTAGGAACTGGAAGTTGTAAATATTATTCAGGAGCTTGTTATGCTAGGGTTGCATGTGCAAGTTATACTGTTGTTGGTGCAGATGCAGCTGCTAAGCAAAACTTTTGTTAGAATATGTATGATAATACAGCAGATGAATATTGCTCTTATAATGCTGGAGCTTGTGCTGCTGGTAAAACTGCTTGTACTGATTATTCTACTTTAGCTGGGGCAGATGATGCTGCTAAAACATTAGAATGTTCTAAACTCAGAATAAAAACAGGAAGTGCTTGCGGCTTCACTGCATCAGGAACTGCATGTGCAGTTCCAGCCGATGCTGCTGCTTCATGCACACTTGTAACATCTGATATAGCTGCTGATGCGGATTGCGCCTTAAGAACAATATTAGGATGCAAGAAACATGCTACTAATCCTGCTTGTATTGCAAATGATGCATGTACTGATGTTACTCCTACTGGAACTACAGATGATGCGAAGACCACTAGTTGCTAAGCTAATATTGGTCCTGATTCTAAATATTGTACATTTACATCTGGTGGTGCAAAGTGTGTAGCTGCTTAAAGTGCATGTTCAGGTTATTCAAGTCTTCCAAGTGATGATACTAAATTAGCTTTTTGTCAATTAAGAATTAATGAGAAAGGATAAAGATGTACATGGGTTACCGCTGCTACAGCTTGTTCAGATCCTTCAGCTACATGTGTGAGCTACACTGGTCTAAGTGGTACTGATATACTAACACAATGTTAAGCTAAAAATGATTTGGCTGGAGTTAAATGTTCATGGAATATAGGTACTACTGCATGTATCCCTGCTCCAAAAACCTGTGCTGGTTGGAATAGTCTTCCAACTTCAGGATAATTAGAATTTTGTTAAGCCAGAATTAAATCAGATGGTTTAAGATGTTCATGGGTTAGCGGTACTACATGTACAGATGCTCAGGCTGCTTGTACATCATTAACTGGTCTTCCAGCCTAAGGGGAATTAGCTTATTGTTAACTAAGACTAAAACAAGATGGAGTGAAATGTTCATGGAGTAGTGGTGCTACCTGTTAGGATTAGCCAACAGCATGTTCAAACTGGAGTACTCTTCCATCATCAGAATAATTAGAATTTTGTTAGGCTAGAAGTAACGCAGCCGGAAATAGATGTTCATTTGTTGCAGCTGCTACTGCATGTTCTGATGCTCAAGCTGCTTGTACTGGATATAGTACACTACCTTCATCAGGATAATTAGCATTTTGTTAAGCAAGAGTTTAATAAGATGGAACTAAATGTTCATGGACTGCTGGAGGAACAGCTTGCAGAGCTTATTCATGTGAAGATACAGCATCTCCTTAATCATAAGCTGATTGCGATGCTACTGGCTCAGGATGCACTTATTAACCTCAACTCTAAATTTGTTATAAAAAAGAAGCAGCATGTACAAGTTATACTCCAACAGGTGCTACTGAGGCTGATAAACTTAACTATTGTAATAATCTATTAAATTCTGCTTCTCCTGCTGTTGGATGTACTTACATCAAAGGAAAGACTAGTGTTTCAACATGTTCAGTATTAGCTGCTTGCACAGGCTATGATGTTTCAGATATAACTGCTGCAGCCGATAAATTAGCTGCTTGTTAAGGTGCAATACCCTCTACTGGTTCATGTACATACTTTTCAGGAAATACATGCGTTGCTGTTGCAGCTTGCTCTACATATACTGGATATACTGGATCAGATGTAGTAGGTGATTGTGCAAAATAAAAAGATGATACTACTAAATTATTATGTTTTGGATCTGGTACAGCATGTGCTGCCGCAACTTGTGAAAATGTTACAGGAGCAACAAGTCTTGATGATTGTAAGAAATACGCCAATGGTTGTATATACTATAATTCTAAATGTTATACTTTATCAGCAACTTGTGCATACTCTACTGGAGGAACTAATGCAGTTTCATTTTGTAATAATCTAAAAAACACTGGTGGTGATTACTGTACAGCTGATGCTGATACTGATGCTAATTGCAAAGACAGAACATGTACTGATACTGCAACAAATAGTTTCTAAACTCATGATGAATGTAAGACTTATCATTCAACATGCAAATCAGACGGCTAAGGTTGTATCCTTGCTTCAAAGACATGTACTTAATAAAGTGGATATCTTAGCTTTTGTGAATGGGCATTAGATACTAACAACAAATCAACTTGTGCCAAAGGAACGGCAGATACTAATAGTGCTGCCTGTACAAAGTTAGCTTGTGAGTTGAATGTTACTGCAACAAGTGATTCAGAATGCCAATAATTCAATTCTGATTGTTTGAATAAAGGTTATGGTTGTATTCATAAAACAGAGCCTTGTACCTCTTACTATGGTACAAAAACATCGTGCTAGGCATTTACAGGAAATAGTAAGAAATGCTATGGAGATTCTGCTACTACTACGAAAGCTGCTTGCAGAGATAGAAGATGCAGCGATTTGGCTACAGCTACCAGTGATGCCGACTGTGAAAATTTCTTATCAGGTTGTTTATTCAATGGAGTTGGATGTGTAGACAAAAGTGCTGCTTGTAGTGCATATAGGGGAAACTAAGATACTTGCTCAGGATTTAAGGGAAGTAATGGAACTAAATATTGTTGGGGACCCAGTGCTACAACTGTTGGCAATTGTGCAGATAGAAAGTGTTCAGATAAATCTGGTAGCACTACCGATACAGAATGTTAAACTTTCTTGCCTCCTATTGCTCCATCCAAAGTATAATTATGTATCACTGATGGTACAAATTGTGTTGATATTGGAAAGGCCTGTTCATTCTTTAGAGGAGATGATGCTAAGTGCTCCTCCTTCACAGCTAATGATGGTCCATGCAAAGCAAGTTCAGTTTCAGCATCTGCTGTTGCTTGTACTCCTAGAGTTTGCTATGAAGCTCCAAATACATATACAACAGATGATTAATGTTCCAAGTATCACCCATCATGTAAAACAACTGGCAGAGGATGTAAGAGCTCTGTTGGATGTGGGGAATTAACTTCTTAAGCTTCATGCACAGCAAATACATCATGTCAATGGGCAGGATAATGCAGAACTTTAACAACTACATGTGGTGCATTGACTACCTAAGGTCAAACTATTTGTACGAATACACCATTATCAAATGGAAAGAAATGTGCTTGGTACAATGGTCCTTCTTCCAATGTTTGTAGAGATTTCACATGTGCAGATTATGATGGATCTATTGCAACTCACAAAGATTGCTAGGACAAAGATACCACATGCACTACTACAGGGGCTGGTTGTATAACCTTAGGAGTATGCTCATCTTATAGATCTAAATCTATCTGTGAAGCTGCAAATACAACTGAAACTTCGGTAAGATGTACATGGAATTCTACAACTGCAGCTTGTAGATAAAGGTCTTGTGCAGATGGAGTGTTTACCACTGATGAAGCTTGCAACACATGGCTTACTGGATGTAAAACTTCAGGAACAGCTTGTGTAGGACCAAACTTTGGATGTGATGTGTTTACAGGAAATCCTAAACTCTGTTTGAAGAATAGTGCTGGAAACCCATGTTTATATGTTAATGGAATTTGCTATGATTATGACAATTGCACAGATGTTAGTTCTTCAACTTACTCATTCTGCTAATCCTTCTCTAAATAATGTGTTCCAACAAATACTACTTGCAGAGCCATAACTCAATGCGATAAATATGAATATATTAACTCATGCACAATTGGTGTTAATAATACTGTATGTGGATGGTTACCTGAAGGTAAATGCAAAGAATACACAGTGTGCAGTGATGCTACTGGTACTGACTTATCAGCTTGTACCAGTTGGGGTTCTACCTGTGTTTCAGATGGAACCAAATGCGTCGATAAAGGAACTTGTGCTTCATATTTAACCACTTAAGCTTGTGATAATGCAGGTACTGATGGATCTTGTTAATGGACTGGAACTGCTTGCAGATTGAGAGAATGTACAGATAAAGTTGCTACAACTGATGCTGAATGTTTAGCTTATACTGTTAAGAGTGGAGTCTGTACAACTGATGGAGCTAAATGTGTTCCTAGAGCTACATGTTCTTCTTATTTAACTGAAGCAGCTTGCACAATTGGATAAGATGGAATTCCATGTGTTTATGATTTACCAGTTGGTGCTACTACAGGAACTAAATCATGTAGACCTAAGGAATGCACTGATATCAAAGGAACTACTAATGATGCTTGTGTATCAATGATTCCAAATAAGGCTTGTGTTTCTAATGGAGTTAATTGTGTTAAATAAGATACATGTGCCAATTATAAGAATAAATTATCATGCAAAGCAGGAGGTTCAGATGGAAAATGCGCATTTACTCCAGCACCAACTGTTGCAGATCCAAATAATGGAACATGTGTATCATTCAAATCATGTGAAAATGCCAATAGTGATTAAGATGCTTGCAACAGTAAACCAAAAGCTTGCAAATGGTAATCAACTACAACTGGAACTACCACTACTACTAAATGTTCACCAATGGATTGCCCAGGAGTTGCTTCTGGTACAACTTGCAACCCATTCCAAAGTTTCGATGGAACTTCAAGCACCATTTTGTGTTTTGGTCAATAATGTATGTTCAGTTAGCGATCCATCAACCCTTACAGCAGAATAATGCTATAAACCAACAACTGTTTACACATACACTTGGAATGAATCCACTAATAAATGTGTTTCATGCAAAGCTCCAACTAATAATAACAATAACTCAACCAATCCAAACACTACAGACCCAGGTACTAATACTGACGATAATGGATACATCTTAGGTGTTACAATTCCATTGGCTATATTGGGAATCTTTGTTTGATTTTGATTTAAAATTTATATAGGGAAAATTACATATATTAATAAAAAAATTCATTTCTTACAATCAATTTTGATAGAAATCATTATTCTTTCAATCTTTTCAGTTTGTTCATTTACAGATTAAAATATGCTATCACTCTACAATATTTTGTTCTATTATTCTCTCATCCTATTAAATTTA